ACAAATCTGGGTGTAAATGTTGTAAACGGGCATCTAAAATGGTCATAATGATCTAAAGAGGGAAAACAACAACAGAAGGGTTTCAGATATCCGGTCAAATCAGAAAACCAGAAAGTCCCGTTGGCCCTATGATCATTCCCCCTCCAGGACTCACCGTGATGTTGTAGTGGTTTCCGTGTTGTGGACTCATCTGCTCATTGCAGAACACTTTCGTCAATGTTGAACAAACCGTCCTTTTTTTGGAGCAAACGTAGCATGAGTAGCTCAAAGCAAGTCATGCTACAAGCTCGGATCATTGAAAAGTCGTGATGGGACATAAAGTGGACAGCATCGCTAGTTTCCCATGACTCCAATACAGCTACTGCCAGATATTAACTCCATTCACCATCCATGTGGGGCGACCAAAGAGTAATCATAAATGTTAGCGTGTGCAAACTTGTGTATCGCGCTGACTGGGAAACATCAAAGGCTGGGGGATTCAATCCTACCACAGAATCAGGATCATCCCAAACAACTCATCTCCATAAGTTCAACCGAATGCTGAGTCATAACATGTCATAACCAATGATCATGCTTGGTAGTACATCCAGTAGAAACCCTCATTTCTTGCCTTGAGATCCCACTTTGGATTTAAACTTGGTGCTTGCGTTAGTCCAGCCGAGTTGTATGCAAGTAACTTGAAAGTATTATATGATATTATATGTATATATATATATATACACATTGTTTGACATATCTTTACATAGAAATTGAAAATAAATATATATATATATATGTATGTATGTATGTATATATATATATTTAATTGTACACTTTCCCCAACACCCCAACCCCTAATGTTTGGCACTGCTTCGAGGGGCGCTGCAGTTGTCGACGACTGCTGGGAGGGTCGCCGCTTGATTTCGTCGCTCGTCCCGGCTCTGGGTCGGCGGGTCGAAGATGATCGAAGGCTCATTCCCCCGAAAGGCCAAGGATGTTTCTCTGAAACGGTGGAGTTTATAAGAGGATATAAGAGGTATATAGATGTATCATGTAATTAGATGTTTATAGACATGATTAACATGACCAATAATGGATTCAAACCAAAATGAAAAATCCCCTGCCCTCTGGTAAAGGCAAAGGTATGGCAAAGGCATTTTCAAATTCAGAATAGTATGACATGGGTTTAGTAAACCAAGATGGGAACAAAGACAATGTTACCCACAGGAGTAAACATTCAACCAGATCATTTCTACATGGATGTGCTCCCACATCCAAGTAAAACCCCCTTAATTGGGACTCGGGACTTCAAAATAAACATATCCACTGCTGAACCAGGGTTTCTGCATAGCATAGGTGTCGATCAACATATTCAGTATGCAGAAGATGTGAATAGCAAAACCCCTGCGTGGAAGCACTGATTGACAGGAAAAACTGCAGAGGATCCCAGAACAAATCTGGGTGTAAATGTTGTAAACGGGCATCTAAAATGGTCATAATGATCTAAAGAGGGAAAACAACAACAGAAGGGTTTCAGATATCCGGTCAAATCAGAAAACTAGAAAGTCCCGTTGGCCCTATGATCATTCCCCCTCCAGGACTCACCGTGATGTTGTAGTGGTTTCCGTGTTGTGGACTCATCTGCTCATTACAGAACACTTTCGTCAATGTTGAACAAACCGTCCTTTTTTTTGGAGCAAACGTAGCATGAGTAGCTCAAAGCAAGTCATGCTACAAGCTCGGATCATTGAAAAGTCGTGATGGGACATAAAGTGGACAGCATCGCTAGTTTCCCATGACTCCAATACAGCTACTGCCAGATATTAACTCCATTCACCATCCATGTGGGGCGACCAAAGAGTAATCATAAATGTTAGCGTGTGCAAACTTGTGTATCGCGCTGACTGGGAAACATCAAAGGCTGGGGGATTCAATCCTACCACAGAATCAGGATCATCCCAAACAACTCATCTCCATAAGTTCAACCGAATGCTGAGTCATAACATGTCATAACCAATGATCATGCTTGGTAGTACATCCAGTAGAAACCCTCATTTCTTGCCTTGAGATCCCACTTTGGATTTAAACTTGGTGCTTGCGTTAGTCCAGCCGAGTTGTATGCAAGTAACTTGAAAGTATTATATGATATTATATGTATATATATATATATACACATTGTTTGACATATCTTTACATAGAAATTGAAAATAAATATATATATATATATGTATGTATGTATGTATATATATATATTTAATTGTACACTTTCCCCAACACCCCAACCCCTAATGTTTGGCACTGCTTCGAGGGGCGCTGCAGTTGTCGACGACTGCTGGGAGGGTCGCCGCTTGATTTCGTCGCTCGTCCCGGCTCTGGGTCGGCGGGTCGAAGATGATCGAAGGCTCATTCCCCCGAAAGGCCAAGGATGTTTCTCTGAAACGGTGGAGTTTATAAGAGGATATAAGAGGTATATAGATGTATCATGTAATTAGATGTTTATAGACATGATTAACATGACCAATAATGGATTCAAACCAAAATGAAAAATCCCCTGCCCTCTGGTAAAGGCAAAGGTATGGCAAAGGCATTTTCAAATTCAGAATAGTATGACATGGGTTTAGTAAACCAAGATGGGAACAAAGACAATGTTACCCACAGGAGTAAACATTCAACCAGATCATTTCTACATGGATGTGCTCCCACATCCAAGTAAAACCCCCTTAATTGGGACTCGGGACTTCAAAATAAACATATCCACTGCTGAACCAGGGTTTCTGCATAGCATAGGTGTCGATCAACATATTCAGTATGCAGAAGATGTGAATAGCAAAACCCCTGCGTGGAAGCACTGATTGACAGGAAAAACTGCAGAGGATCCCAGAACAAATCTGGGTGTAAATGGTCACTTAAATCAATCAATCAGCCTATAAAAAGGGGAAGTTGTAAACGGGCATCTAAAATGGTCATAATGATCTAAAGAGGGAAAACAACAACAGAAGAGTTTCAGATATCCGGTCAAATCAGAAAACCAGAAAGTCCCGTTGGCCCTATGATCATTCCCCCTCCAGGACTCACCGTGATGTTGTAGTGGTTTCCGTGTTGTGGACTCATCTGCTCATTACAGAACACTTTCGTCAATGTTGAACAAACCATCCTTTTTTTGGAGCAAACGTAGCATGAGTAGCTCAAAGCAAGTCATGCTACAAGCTCGGATCATTGAAAAGTCATGATGGGACATAAAGTGGACAGCATCGCTAGTTTCCCATGACTCCAATACAGCTACTGCCAGATATTCACTCCATTCACCATCCATGTGGGGCGACCAAAGAGTAATCATAAATGTTAGCGTGTGCAAACTTGTGTATCGCGCTGACTGGGAAACATCAAAGGCTGGGGGATTCAATCCTACCACAGAATCAGGATCATCCCAGACAACTCATCTCCATAAGTTCAACCGAATGCTGAGTCATAACATGTCATAACCAATGATCATGCTTGGTAGTACATCCAGTAGAAACCCTCATTTCTTGCCTTGAGATCCCACTTTGGATTTAAACTTGGTGCTTGCGTTAGTCCAGCCGAGTTGTGCGCAAGGAACTTGAAAGTATTCTATGTATATATATATATACATACACATTGTTTGACGAATCTTTACATAGAAATTGTAAATATGTATGTATGTATGTATGTACGTATGTATGTATGTATGTATGTATGTAATGTATGTAATGTATGTAATGTATGTAATGTATGTAATGTATGTAATGTAATGTAATGTAATGTCATGTAATGTAATGTATGTATGTATGTATATGTATGTATGTAACTTGACTGTATCGACAACTTGACAAAAACGACCAACCAAAACTCCAACCAGCCACCAAAACGCTCCGTTCCCTTCTGCCCAGCATCCGTTCAACCTCAGCACCGCCAGCACCGCCAGCACTGTAGCCGCCCTTGCGTTCCGCCGTTGTCAGTATTCGCGACGTCAGTGGCACGTTTGCGCCTTGAGAAGAAATCACAGGGGATGGGTCAAAATGTTGTAATCCCCACACGGGCTTTTGAGATAAATCCATCAGGGTATGCCGTATGCCTCAAATCAATTCGAATCCTTGTGGATGTTCATCAACCCCAGGGCTGGTTTTATGATGTTTCATTGGTGACGACCAATCCCATGTCCCCATGCTAAAATTGTGTCTTATGGGATTCCCATGATATTGAAGCCTAATGGGCCAAGTGCCAATGCGCTCCTATTGAGCAGGAAATTATCTGCAAGAAAGTATCCTTGCTACAATGGCATATAATGCTTGATTGCCGGATGGAAACCTGACATAAACTGCACAACCAACACATGCTGGCATAGAAGCAACACATGGTAACTATCCCCTTTCAGTCTTTTTACTTACTCTGTGGTATTCTCTTTCTTATATAATCTTCTGAAGTTCGTGATAAATCAAGATTGATAAATCCCAAATCAATCGGCAACCATGGCTGTTTCCTCTTGGCCTCCCCAGGCCACAGACGTATCCTGACTTGGAAATCTCAAATTGGCGGTGAACTTCCGTTCCCGAAGATCCATCATTTCTGGCATCAATTTATTGTAGTATGTTCATTCACGAAACATGGCAAATACTTCAACTGACATGAAACATATGTGCTTTCCTGACACACGGGGCATGTATGCGAAATGTTGGCCACTAGTACGTACAAGCACAACATGTGGCATCAGTCCATGCTTGCAACACCCATGTGGACAAGTCCGCTACAGGTCCTATGATATGTGCGGGCCATTTAATCATTCAACTATTGCTCAAAATTGTCGGCCCATGTTCCCATCATCACCAGTCCATTTGTCCAGTCTTTTTTTTCCCTTGTTATAAAGTGTGACAACAAAGCAGACGCTAGTGGTTTTTGCCATGTATATACAGGATGTATCAGGATGTACAGTATTTATGATTCTTTCTGGATTAACACATTCGCAGCCCAAACTGCTTGATTAGATGATAGGATTTGGGGCGTGATCAGATGGCCACATATGGCCACCACATATGGCCACCCCACATATGGCGTCTTAGGTTGGGCTGCAAGGTTTCCTCAAACGAAACCTGGACCAAGTAGCAAATGATCACAAACCAAAAGCATTTGCAGTCTCGTACGATTTCGGTGCCAGATTTGTCCACGGAAATGCGAGACTGGACGCTTTGACCTAGGCCCAGGGTGGACCAATCCCGCTTCCAAATCCACGGCTTGGCCCCAAACAACTACACTACACTGCCATGCTTTTAGTCCCTTGATTGATTGATTCTTGCTCCAGCCCGGCATGTAGTTGGCTCTTCTTGACTCCACGAGATTGAAAAAGGGTATCGTACAGCAGCACTGACAACATAATACTGTGACTTGAACATCAACTGCCTCTTGACCATTTTTTTGCAAACCAAAAGTAGATCAAATGCTCATGAACCCAAAGTTAGTAGAGTTCGAGGGATTGAAAAAACAATACCGGAAGGCTGTCAGGAAATGGTCCAAAACACACAGTGTACCCCTTCGGGACGAAAAGTGTTGATGATATATGTTCATATCCAACAAACACAAGGTTACTATGTCCTATGTATCTTTGCATGCACGCACGCATGCACGTACGTACGTATGTATGTACAGTCATATGCACCCAGATTTTTTTGTATGCATTTCTATATATATATACAAATATCTATATATACACATTTATGTTACTTGAATCTCACCTCAATGGGTGCCCATGACCACAACTTCTGGCAGTCCAGGTGTCTGAATGGATCAAACTCCTGGCAGTCCACGCGCGCTCCGTGCGCTTTCATGATGGCCATTGCAATATATTAGACTCACTTACAGCAACACCCAGAAAGGTAGAAAAGTAAAATCCTACAAATTTACACAGTGATTGCTTTTCTATCTTGTTGGGGGCTGCGATAATTGATCATGTGAGTGGATATGAGTGGTGTTTTTGTCATTTTCTTGTGGAACTCCCTGCTGATATAGTTTCCAGCATTAAAGGAAACAACGTCATATGGGTATGTAGCAAAAGTATCAACCCACCAAAATCGATGGCGTACATCATGGCTACCAACCTACAAAATCAACCCAAATAAATTAATCATCGAAGGAAGTTTAGAGGTCAAACTTCCGACAATATGGACAAATGAAAAGCAGAGATGGGAAGAGTCAGAGAAGCGAAGAGAAGAAGAAAGAAGATCACAAAAGAGAAAGTCTCAGAAGAAAGAAGATCCAGGTGCGCGAAAAGGTAGGAAAGTCGCGAAACACTGTGGTTTTCCAATGATTTGTCGCTCCGGAGGGTCGAAAAGTAGGCTCGCTAAAGCGGCGGGTGCGGAGCCAGCTGGCCAGATGAGAGATGCAAAATTGCACGCCGTTGTGGCGCGAAGCACATTGTCAAAATGTACAAAGCACACCAGGTCCGGACCACTTTTGGAAGTTGAGATGTCGAAAAAGTGCACGCTGTTGTGGCCCGAAGCACATTTGGAAGTCAAAATGTACAAAGCACACCAGCTACAGACCACTTTTGGAAGTTGAGATGTTGAAAAAGTGTACGCCGTTGTGCCGCAAGCACATTTCGAAGTCAAAAGTGCAAAAAACTGACGGGTACGGAGCTTTTGGACGTTCAGATGTGCTTTCGCGTGGCAGGCGCAAGGGATTGTGCACCTTGTCAAAAGTGAGCAAAATGTGAGGGTTTTGTTGCATTTCCAAAAACGATGGCAGGCGTGGGACATTTGAAGAGGATCTGCAAAGATGCATTTCGCGTGGCAGGTGCAGTACAAGAGACAAGTTCATCAGAGATGTTAGGAGGTCAGGGCGCTGATTTCCTGAGAGGGGTTGCATTTTGGAGCATCAGATCTGTAGGTTTGCTAAGATGATTTTGCGTGACAGGTGCAGCACTTGGTATGACCTGGCATCACTTTTTCGTGGCAGGCGCAGTAGTTTAGACAGATTAGACAGGTGGAGTGGAAAAATCGCAAGAAACGCATTGGTAGGAGGCTGTCAGCTCTGCACTCAACTTTCCATTTTTGAAAGAATTCTCGCAGAATTGTTTCGTTTTTGATGTTGTCAACTTCGAAAAATGAGGAGGTCTCGCAGAATTGTTTCGTTTTTGATGTTGTCAAGTGCAAAAATTGAGGAAGTCTCGCTGAATTTGCTGCGTTTTTGATGTTGTCAAGTTCAAAAACTGAGGAAGTCTCGAAGAATAGCTTTGTTTTCAAGCTTGCAGATAGACAGATAGATAGACAGACAGAGAGACAGACAGACAGAGAGAGAAAGAGCGAGAGAGAGAGAGAGAGAGACAGAGAGATAGAGAGAGAGAGAGATAGATAGAGAGAGAGAGAGAGAGATAGATAGATAGATAGGTAGGTAGGTAGGTAGGTAGATAGTCAGAGAAAGAGAGAGAAAGAGAGGAGACCTCAACAACCTTTCGGTCCATCAGTGGATTCGCTCTGCCATCCGTGATTCACAACAACCAACCTAACCTCTCCTAGAGGTTTCCTGTTCTTGAAACTTCCGCCACGGCCTTGTGCGGTACTGCAGGTATGAGCAATCATATGGATATGACTCACCAACTGCAAAAAATCACATGTTGTCCGTTTTCCCGTGGCTCCCCAAGCCCCTGGGGAAACTCCATGCTCTGACGGCCAGGAACATTTCCCATTAGTCTTGCATGTTCTGGGTTAAGACCTCTAAAATAGAGGTCATTGAGTTCTAGGTGTATGCGTGCATGCAATCATTCATGCATGTATATAGACATAGGTGAGTATGTAGGTATGTGGTACATGTAAGGTGGATAGGTGTCTCGGCAGGTAGCCATGTATGTGTGATGTGGTATGATGTGGTATGATGTGATATGATGGGATATGATGTGGTGTGGCGTGACGTGACATGACGTGAAAGTAGTGCGAGGTAATAGAAGTGCGATGTGATACTAGTGCAGCATGATACTAGTGCAATGTGATACTAGTGTGATGTGATACTAGTGCGATGTGATGTGATCTGATCTGATCTGCTGTTTGCATGGATGCATGTGTATGATTAAAAAAAGAAATATATATATATACATATAATGTCCAAAAGAACCCCCCGCAATTAAGTACGCCCAATCCCGGGAAATATTAATAAACCTACCCTGCATTAATTTTTGATATGTTTGTTTCCCGTGTTTTTTCCCGTTGTTTTTTCCCGTGTTTTTTTTTCCCCGCTGTTTTTCATGTTTTTTTCCCGGTTTGTTTTTCCCGTTGTTTTTTCCCGTTTTTTTCTGTTGTGTTTTTCCGTTTTTTCCCTTGTTTTTTCAGGTAGCCCCAACATCTAAATAATAATGAACGTTTGCACCCCCTAAATAAAATATTTTAATTTCAGGGGTCTAATTTTTTTGTGGTTGGATTCGTTTCTCAATTGATTTCCTATCTGAACCCTTTTCAAAAAATATTCGTTTCTCAATTGCTTTCCTATTTGAACCCTTTCAAAAAATCATTAAGATGCTCAACTACCTCATGAACCAAATACTTTATTTAGGGGGGCCCAAAAAAGTATTCTGACATACGCTCCCGCGGTTTTTGGTGGGCAACCCTTTCTCAAACCCTTTCTGAAGACCTCAAGACTCTTTGAGCTGGAAGCTGTAGACTCCAAACTCCAAATCTTTCCTGGAAAGTTCTGGAGTTGAAAAAAAAACAAGAAGGCTCAAATGGTTAGTTTTCTTACCGAGCCCTTTCACAAAATGCAAAAGATCAATCGCGCAAAGGGGGTAGGTAGTCCTGAAGACCCTTAACATCTAAATTAATAATGAATGTTTGCACCCAACTGAAAAAAGTATTTGGATTTCAGAGGTTTAATTTTTTGTCGGATTCGTTCAATTCCTTTCCTATTTGAACCCTTTTCAAAAACTAATTAAGATGCTCAACTACCTCATGAACCAAATACTTTATTTAGGGGTCCCCAAATAAAGTATTATGAAATACGCTTTTTTGGTGGGCAACCCTTTCTCCAACCCTTTCTGAAGCCCTCGAGGCTCAATTAAGCAATTCATTTGGGAATACTAAAATGAAAAGAAAGTTTACTTATGTATTCGTTTTCAATTAGGCAATTCATTTGGGAATACTAAAATGGAAAGAAAGGCCACTTATGAATTCGTTTTCAATTAGGCAATTTGTTCGGCGCCACATAGGTCTGGAACATTTTCCAGGGACCCCCGGCCAATGATTGGCCTAAACTTTATTTTGATGCTCTTAATGTTTGGGGGGTTATTTATAGCACGTCAACATGATATATACATGGATTTTTCCCATACAGTAGCATACACATATTAATATTAATATGTATCCATATATTTGGCATGTATAGGCGGTGTGTAGGATACCATACACAGTTGATGATGCAAGAAAAATACATATATACATACAAAAACACACACATAATCAAAGAGATGCATATACAGTGTGTAAAACATTAAAAACAATGAATGAAATAATAAACAATATAAAACAAATAAATATTCAAAAAATATTAATAACCACAAGAAAAAGGAAAATAATACTAAATGCAAAATAAACAATAAAAAATTGAAAGTAATCAAAAATGAAAAACAAAAAATAACAATAATAATGCTAAATGCATAATAAACTCTGAAAAAAATAAAAAATGACCAAACAAAATAATTTATACTAAATAAACATCTTGAAACATAGCAAAAATAGTTAAATACTGATAATAACGAACAAAAAGTAACTAACTAAAAACTAAAGAAAAATGAAAATAATGATGAAAACCAATTAAGATAATAATAAAGCAAAAAAAAGAAAACAATAGTTTTTTTGAATATATATATATAAATGATAAAAATCAAAAATACCAAAAAATGAATAGCAATAATAGTAATTAAAAACAGATATAACGCACAAAAAAAGTAAATTCAAGATATTAAAAACTAAATGAAGACTAAAAAATGAATAACAATTCACAATAATACAAAACAATCATAAACATATTAAACAAGAACAATAAATAAATGATTAAAAATTGATAATAAAAAACAATAAAACAAGATTGAATAATAGTAATTAAATATTGCTATCACAAAAAAGCATAGATAACCAAAATAAATAATTTTAATGAATAATGCTAAAATAAAAAACAAAAATGAGAATATATCAACAATAGCCAGTAATGCAAAATTCAAAATAATAATGAATAAGACACAGAAAATAGTAATGAATAATAAAAAATGACAATGAACAATGACAATGAATCATAATTAAACAAGAATAATGAAAAATGATCATAATAATATATATATGGGGGTTATCCTAAATTATGGTACCCGAAAACTGCCCTTACGCCGCGCTTTCGCGAACCTTTTCGCGCCCTTTCGCGCCCCAGCAGAATCGGGACATGGGATTATGATCAGGTTTTCGTGTGCATTTTCGTCACAAAGATTTACAGGAGGATTGTATTTAAAAACATTGCTTATTGGAGATCCGTTTTCAAAGCTGCTCTAGTTACATTCCTGCTGTGCGTGATGAGACTGTTCCAGTCCACAGAGTCGATGGCATTGGGCAAGTCAGTGTTCCTGCATGTGAGGACGTTTGACTTCTGGACTTCTGGACACTGGTTTTGCACCCGTTCTTTGAAAAGCTTTTGATATTGCGACGTTGCAGAAAGAACTAGCCCATTTTGGGCCAGGGTTGGGTCCGGGAGGATTCGCCTTTCGCAAACCTTTCGCAGACCTTTCCAGGACCTTTCGTGAACCTTTCGCGGATTTCTCGTCAAAAAAATGAAATTTCAGATCATGAAGTGTCACGATGAGTGCACATTCATGAAGATTCTATGATCATCCCCTGTAGTTAAATATAGTGTTACATATAGATGCCATATACAGTCCCAAACATGAATCCTGTGGCAATTCTGCGTGGAAAACTGCTAAGCATGAATACTATAACATACTATAACTTATATATTTACAAATAGTGGTATTCAGACCTTTTGCAAACTTTACGCCGCGCTTTCGCGGCCTTTCGCCACTGCAGCAAAACACACACATCCATATCTGCAGATGTCACTCGGATACTAAAAGCCTTGCATGGGGGACGACTCCCATATATATATATATACACATAGAGAGAGAGAGAGAGATAGGAATGGGTCACCGGTCCTGCGAAGGAATCCATCCAGGAATGGCTGTGCATTTGCTGGGCGCCAGTCGATCACTCGTGGCAGGTAGAAGCTGCACGTGTAAATCAAGGCCTGCCGCGCCAATGCGGGACATGTTTAGCCAAGGGAGTTTTTGACACGGAAAAACGAGATAAACATGGGGATCTTATGGATGATGGATCACTGATCTTGTGGACAATCTTATGGGTAAAGGATCACTATGAACCATACCCGATAAATTGAATCGATCAAACGTGGTGATTTGATGTGATGTTCATCCATTGAACCACAATAAAACAATCAAGGTCAGTTGGGCGGGGCGCATTTGGACTTGGACGGGCATGCTTGGCCAAAGCTGAGCAAGTTACATGGGTCACTTACAGGTCGGTGATTTTGGGGTAAATGCAGAAACAAATATTATACATATATATATATATATATAATATAATGTAGGCTGCCTAATAATAACACCCCCTATTTTTTTAAGGGGGGGTCAGCATTCCAATAGTAAATTCCTGTAACCCTATGGCTGGGATCATGATATGTATCTGATAGATTCTCCATGGTTTTGTTGGGTTTTTGATGGATTCTGAATGGATTTGGTTGGATTCTGGATACTACACCATGCCCCCTGGACAAGGTCAGAACATTAGTTTTTTGGCAATACTGAAAGTAAATTAGGCTAATTGACTTTTAGTAATGGAGAAAAAAACTGGAGTTGGGAAAAAAAGTTTCTACTATTGCCATGTTGGGTCCACTATTGGCCATGCCCTCTGGACAAGGTCAGAACATGAGTTTTTTGGCAATACTAAAATCAAATTGAGCTAATTGACTTTTAGTATTGGAGATAAAACTGGAGTTGGGAAAAAGTTTCTACTATTGACAAAGTATCATTATTGGCTAGACAACATTACACATTATCTAAAAATAAACACATACATTAAAACATAATTGCATACAAATGTAGACATATATCCGCCGACCCCAGGGAACAAGGGGGAGCGCGTCTGAGAAGCAATGCCAAATGGGCAAGAAAGAGGGTGCGATGACGGATGAAAAAGGGAAGCAAGGTTTTGGACGCTCGGCTGCTGCATTTGGAGGTATTGGAGTTGGTGCTTTTTTGTTGCAGCTGCAGACAGCAACGTTAGGCAGAGGTATCCGTCCGTGGGATGATTCCATCCGGCTTTCACTCTTACGGGGTTTAGAGCTGGCGGGCGCACGGTTTTGGAGGCCCGGCATTTGGAGCAACTTTCTTGCCCCTAAAAGTCCTAAGGCCGTACTTTTGAGTCCTTGCCGCAGGGGGCAAAAAAAGGATCATCGCCGTGAAACCATAGCAATGTCGAGGTTCGCCGTCCGTGGAATGACCCCGTCCAGCCTTCACTCTCGTGGGATTTGGAACTGGCGGGCGCACGGTTTTGGAGGCCCGGCATCTGCATTTAGAGTTACTTTCTTACAGCTTCAGAAAGCAACGTTATCCACACACACCATCATCACCATCTGTGGAACGACCGCGTCCGGCCTTCACGGTTTTGGAGGCCCGGCTGCTGCATTGGGAGCTACTTTCTTACAGCTTCAGCAAGCAACGTTAGGCACAGGCAGCCATCTGTGGCACGACCCCGTCCGGCGTTCACCTGCATGGGGTTTGGACCTGGCGGGCGACCGGTTTTGGAGGCCCGGCTGCTGCATCTGGAGCAAGTTTCTTTTCTTACAGCTTCAGAAAGCAACGTTAGGCAGAGGCAGCCGTCTGTCGAAGGACCCCGTCCGGCCTTCACTCTCCTGGCAGCTAATTTCCCTGAGGATCCAAAGTATGGACTATTTGCATGCATTTGGGTATGCACGCTCTCAGAGTGTCCGACCATGCTATTTGCGGTCTGACCATGATTTTTGCATACATTTCCGAAACTTTATTTTTTGATTAATTTCCGATAAATGGTCACGGATTTATTGGGTAACTAAAACATTTTATTGGATAACCAAAACGTTTTATTGAGTAACTAAAACATTTGATTCGGTAACCAAGACATGTTATTGGGTAACCATGTTATTTGGTAACTTTATAAAACGTGTTATTTGGAAACAATGAAACGTAGATTCGGTAACTAAAAGGTATTATTTAGTAACCATGTGATTTGATAACTACGAACTCTGATGGGGTAACTAAGACGTCTTATTTGGAAACCATACTCTTTGGTAACTATAACGTGTTATTTAGAAACTATGAAACATTGATTCAGTAACCAAAAACAATTATTCGGTAACCATGTTATCTGCAAAATGGCATGTCTCTGTGGGCAACCAAATCGTACGTGTTCGATGGAAACGATACTCTCAAATGATCCACAGCTATCCGCGTGCTTTTTTTTCTTTGGACTGGTGCTCCGATACAGCTGGTTAAAAAAATGACTTGGAATCGTGCCCAGAAGTCTTGGACAGGGGAGGCTGTGAAGTTGAAGAAAAATGTTGCATGTAGGGTTTTGGAAGGGGGAGGTTTAAAACATGCCTTGGAATCTTGGAATGGTGACAAGAAGTCTTGGAGAGGTGAAGCTGTGAAGTTGAGGCATACTCTTGCATGTAGGGTTTTGGGGAGGGAAGGTTTAATAAATGACTTGGAATCGTGACAAGAACTCTTGGAGGGGGGAGTCTGAAGTTGAGGCATACTCTTGCATGTAGGGTTTTTTTGGGGGGGAGGTTTAAAAAATGACTTAGAATCTAACAAGAAGTCTTGGATAGGGGAGGCTGTGAAGTTGAGGAATACTCTTGCATGTAGGGTTTTGGGGGGAGGAGGTTTAGAAAATGACTTGGAATCGTGACAAGAAGTAATCGTGACAAGAAGTCTTGGTTGGGGGAGGCTGTGAAGTTGAGGAATACTCTTGCATGTAGGGTTTTCGGGGGGGAAGGTTTAGAAAATGACTTGGAATCGTGACAAGAAGTCTTGGAGAGGTGAAGCTGTGAGGTTGAGGCATACTCTTGCATGTAGGGTTTTGGTGGGGGAAGGTTTAGAAAATGACTTGGACTCGTGACAAGAAGTCTTGGAGAGGTGAAGCTGTGAGGTTGAGGCATACTCTTGCATGTAGGGTTTTGGGGGGGAGGTTTCAAAAATGACTTGGACTCGTGACAAGAAGGCTTGGAGAGGTGAAGCTGTGAAGTTGAGGCATACTCTTGCATGCAAGGTTTTGGGGGCGAAGGTTTAGAAAATGAGTTGGATTCTAACACAAGAAGTCGTGGAGAGGGGAGGCTTTGAAGTTGAGGCATACTCTTGCATGCAAAGTTTTGGGGGGGAAGTTAAAAAAAAGACTTGGGATCGTGACCAGAACTCTTGAAGGGGGGAGTCTGTGAAGTTGCGGCATACTCTTGCATGTATTGCGTACCATCAAAAAGTATCAAAAAAGTCCCGCGTTTTACGGTGTTTTTTGCTGTTCCCATTTTTCGACTCTTGTGGCCCAAGATGGGTCAACATGGGCCAACATAGGCCGCAAGATGGCCAACATAGCCCCAAGATGGGCCAACCTAGCCCTAAGATGGGTCCAAGATGGGCCAACATAGCCCCAAAATGGGCCAACATAGCCCTAAGGTGGGCCCAAATTGCCCTCAAGATAGGCCAACATAGCCCCAAGAATGGCCAAGATAGGCTAACATAGCCCCAAGATGGGCCCATGTAGCCCCAAGCCGTTCACCCCTATCACCTCAACATGGGCCCCTGGCCGGCTGTCGCGTGTAAGCGCTTAAATTTTAAATATAATCCGGGCGCCGGCCAACGCGCCGCAGCCCATGTCCTTGCCGGAGGCCTTCGGTGGTAACCGAAGGTTATATAGGCCCATGTTTGGCAGTGTCAACCTTCATAACGCTATACAGATTCTTCTGATAGTACCGGAAAGTAAGAATACACTTGCTTAAAAGAACCACCAACCAACCAGTTTCCCCATGAGCAGCACAGAAATTAAGGGCTGGTCCACCTTTATGTTGGACCTGCACATCCATCTCAAAGGTGTCTCCCAGGCCGGTGGCAAGGCCTGAACTGCCGCAGATCTTGGGAATTGTGGTCAATTGTTTGTCCCCTCGATACTTGGCGCTGTTTCTTGATTGGATACTGCAATCACACTTTGTCTTTCCCCAATTTCCACTGAGTATTGCGCAAGTGCTTTGTAGCAGTTGGAATCTAGGAAGAGCACTCCTCAAATTAAGGATCCGGGAAAAGACTGTTTGAATCTTGACAGCTAGCTAGAACACAGGCTGAATCCAAATGTAAGCTAACTCATATCACATCAATTGCAATATATGCAGAGCAGAATTCAAGAGCAACAGAGTCTGGTGGCTCTGCTTACTTGTCCATCGCTGCACAAACCTCCTCAATGACGCCAGTGTCGCATCAGAAATATCTCGAACTATATCATTTTGACACAAAACTGGGTATAATGGAATAGATGGTACCCTTGCAAGGGTGTCCCACGTCAACATCACAGTTCTGCAATTCTCCCTGGATTGTATTCTACATCTATTACGCACGGGACCGTCACAAAAGGGGCTCACCAAGCTGGGTTCTGCTATGGAAAATGACCATGTTCATCTGCAAATATCTGTAAATCATGGGCCATTTTCCATCGCCATGTTTGTTTTATTGCCGGAGGGTACAGTAAGTGCTGACTAATCAGTTCCGAAATGTTTACTGTAAGTGGAACGATCCTCCAAGTAATCATTGAGTTGAGGCTCTGAATTGCAAGTCCGTCGTCGTGCTGGTCTTACAGAGATCCCAGAAGTTTCCTCAGCAAAGGTCCGCCTTGATCATCCGAAAACTGGTATCATACTGTAGGTATTCAGAAGTTATCACAGTTGAATACATTTGGGTATACCGCTATTCCCCGAAAGTGGCACAATGGTCATGGGGAAAATGATGATCGACTGATTTTGGGCTGTGAACCATTCACATATATATATATATATATTCCATTCTATATCAGCCCTCTAAATGATCTTCCGGTACAGTGATCTTAGTGCTTCCCCTCTGCTTTTCACCAGCTCTTGCCGCTTTTTCCAGCTCCATTTACCCTCTGGTAATCAAACACGTCAATGGAAAAACCGTCATTGTAGAATGTTGTTCCCATCAACACTTCGGGAATTTCACATTGCTACGTTTGAGAACACCAGAGGGTATCGGAAACATCAAAAAAGTGAATATATTAATAGCATTCCAAAATCATGCGAAGGACTGATAGAGATATATAATCAGATATATATATATATATATATTACTCCATCTTAGCCTTTAATTAAAAGCCTAATTAGCCAACTGAGATCCACCCGGAACGCATTTGTCAATGCTACGCGGTCATCTCCAAGTCTCCTCGGAAGTCATGAGGTTGGCCTAGAGCCTCCCAAAACTTCTCGTTCGCGAACATGATGGGCCACTGGGAATCCTTCGGTGATGTAGAGTAGCCGCACGTGGAACCCTGTGTCACTGTTAAAACTGGTTTCCTCTCACCCTGTTGGGATATGTTGGGATGGGGCATGTGACTCCAACGATAGAACAGTCAAGTGGTGGGATGTGCGCATCCAGAACTGTTAAAACGGTAGGTTTTGTTCTAAACAGGGCACATCCACCACTTGACGCTGCCAAGTTGCGCGCATGTCAACCATGCCTCAGAAAGCGTCACTTCCCCAAGGCTGGGTCTGAGCAGGATTGCTGATAGCCATACTCGCTAGCTCTGTCAGGGAGAAACAACATCATCATCATCATCATCAAAGTCGATAGTAACAATATAGGATAGGAATATGATAGTAATATATATATATATACATGATAACAAAAATCATGATACTATACATTAATAATGATCATCAAAAACGCCATCATCAGCCCCATCAATCAACACTTGCCATCCCAACTTCTGACACAGGAGAATGATAGTCGACAGCTACATGTTCCCGATGTTGTCGCTGTTTCATGGAGGTTGGACTTGCCGACAGAAAAATGCCCCATAGTGCTACAACAGTTTCTGGGCAAACTACAACGAGTCCCAAAACTGATTTGAGGTTTCGACGAGGAGCCGGCACACCAACTGTTTTGAAATACCTTTTTGAAATGCCCAGCTTCATTCCACTTGACGAGGGACGGAGCACGGAAACAAGTCATTCTCTGAAACCGCCAGCCAGTCACAAAAAAAACATATGTGAATATATGATAATATGTGGATATCAAAAAAAAACAAGCTATCCTCTGGTAATTATCCTTTGGTAATCAAAGGGCTGGAAGCTCCAACTGTTTCGATGGGACTTTCCCAGAACCTCCATGGCTTGGCCGAGGGGCACACACCATCCGTCGCTGCCTTGATTGACAGATCTAAATGTCGGCTCCTCCAAGGGTGATTTATCATGGGCACCGGGAGTGGGGGGTCATCCCCAATTTGCAGAATATCATAAGACCTCTCAGTCTGTACGTCTGTATATCTTGACTTGATGGTACGTTGTAATTATCGCATTGATTCGCTAGATTTCGTGACATTCAGCAGCACATTATCATATCTTAAGGTGGACATTTATGGTGAGGTCATTGTGCTCCACCAGGGCCATAATTCTCTAGAGAACCACTGGACTCATCATCACAAACACCTATAGCCTACCAAAAAGTAGAACATGTTTTCCAGGATGTTGTAAAGAATGCTAATCCCAGTACAGTTTTTTTCCGTTTCCAAAGGGTATATCGGTATATCATAATGTATGTTGTCATCATCTCATTTCTTGGGATGGAACTGGCAAAAACCCGGCGAACCGGGAACCGTGCTCGTAAAAACAACGTTTTTTTATTATTATTGCGTTTTCGCTCCAGCGAAACGCACATTTGTATGAGCCAATTTTTGCAAAATTTTCGCGCGAGAATTTGGCTAAATTCGCGTTTCGTGGTGTTTTTTTGGACACTTTTCATTGGATCAATTTGATAGGCGCATTTTGAATGCTTTTTGTTGTTTTCAAAGCAGGCGCTTCTGCGTTGAATTGTTTTTTGCTGGAGCGGAGTATGTAGATTCACATATCGCCATTGCCGGCATTCACATACAGGAGAAGATCTTTGCTCTTTGAACCCCACCCAACCCTTCGTGTATACACCGTAGTAACAACACCAGAGATCTCTACAGCATAGCAACATATAACGTACGAAGTACAAGGAACGTCAACATGGCCGCCCCCCTTCGTGTATACACCGTAGCAACAACACCAGAGCTCAACCAACCAACTTGCACCCCGCGTTTGGATTGAAAGCTGGTTGGCCTCAATTCAAGCATACAAATGCGTACAGATGCGTACATGATGGAATGGTTGCACATGTTTCTGGAACTCTGTCTCAACTCATTCATTCGGGTCTTTTTCAAGATACTTCGGCATGTTTGTAGCCCTTCACGGCTAACGGTACATACACCATTTCCTGATTCAGTTTCCCACGATATCTTGCAAACTCTCTTGAAAAACCAGCTCTTGCCGTGCCTGAGTTTCGTTATGTTTCGTTGCCTAGGACTTCGCCTCATGCCTCGTAGGCCATGCAGTGGCTGTAAAATCCGTCAGATTCACATTCACAGTCACGAAAAAACAGGTAATTGCACTTCAGTTGGCACAAGTGGAAAAGCCAAGTGAGCAGTGTCTGAATTACATGCAAAACTGCAAGCTGTAAAAGTGCCGGCATCCAATTGGCAATCCAGTCGTGGTCCTCAGATGCAGAGTCCTCTTGCCAGTGCCAAATTTCATGTTGCCTGGTGTAGTTTGTGTAACAGTTGCACTTCGAAATCAAAAATTGCACATTCTGATATGTTTCAAGCTGCCTCGTCGCTGGCATCGCCGATGTAAAACTCCTGGGCCGCTGGGCTCTGTTCTCCTGGCAGGGGCGAGTCAAACACCAGTTGCCGGGCAACAACTGAACATACCTAGAGCAATAAACAACCATTGAAATGCAAAAGTGTAGTTTCGTAGTTCGTCTAACTTTCTTGCCGGCCGCATTCTGCGCAAATCAACTGCTAAATTCTCCGTTTCCTTTGGTGATGCTGGACCCGGTCTGCTCTGTTGCAACCATTGGAGCCATGACATATCCTCTTCCCACGCCATGGCATCGCAGGCAATGGTATTTTCACTGGAGTTCTGATACTCCGCATGGTGTCAGCCGTGCTTCCAGCACCGCTGCTGCGTTGCCTGAGGCGGCGTCACAATCAAATAGAAGTACAGCATCAAAAGATCAAGGTTTCCGGCAGCTGAACTCAACTTGTGCCAGTTCTCTCCCCCTCAACCATTCTGTGAATATGCAACTGACATGGAGCTGCAAATGGAACAGCCTAAAAACCGTCTCCCTTTCCATCGGTTTCAGGGGGAGGCCCCCCACCCGGCACCTGGGAGCTGGCCCCTGGGCAGGTCAATGAGTCCAACTGGACCCAAAACAGAACAGCTTGGAAACTTTCCAAACTGAGAGACGGAACAACATTCGACCGGCCGAAATCGCCAATAAGACCATCAAGTGAGTCATATTGGGAACATCCCTTCAAGGCTCTGGAAAACCATCAATTTTGCCCGTAGCAACATATAACGTACGAAGTACAAGGAACGTTTACATGGCTCTCCCACCCGACCCCACCCCTTCGTGTATATACCGTAGCAAGAACACCAGAGATCTCTGCAGCGTAGCAACATACAACGTACGAAGTACAAGGAACGTTAGCATGCCCCCCCCCCCCCCCCCCCGGCCCCACCCCACCCCACCCCATCATGACCTCCGAACACACGCTAGAAACGTGCGTTTTACGAGCACGGTGTTCGGTCCGCTGGCAAAAACAAGCACCAGTGGAAATCCTATGAAATCTTTGGTTTCTGTTTCACCAGCCCTTCTAAATCCTTTTTTTGGGCCCCTTATTGAGCAGCTCCTCTCCACATAGTTGGCAGTTGTTTTATTCAAAATCTCAACGGTTGGCTTGTCTCTCTCCAACTCCTCCAGGCTGAGCCAGTGGCCCAGGGACAGCTACGTTTGAGGACACCGGATGGGTAACACATGCTCGGAATCGACTGTGCAAAGCTGGGCATTTCCGCTTTGGCTAAAGTAATACCATGTTTTTGGCGGAAACAAAAGCTGGTGACCTTTGGGTCCTTGGTGAGATAAGATATCATACACACAAGGCATATCATATCGTTGTATCTGGTGTAGATTCACTCCAAAAAACACCCTACACCTAGCAGCGGTTTCTGAGTTGTCCAAAAGTTGCAGAACCCCAGTTCATCCCATGGTCTACAACATCATGTTATGTCATTTTGCCATGTTTCCCTATAGAACGTTAACGTAAGTTGGGGTTAATTAAATCCCACAACACTCATTGGAGCAGTGTTTGTCAAGAACAAAGATTCCCATTCATAGTCCCATATCAATATGCACCAACAATCTTGAACCAACCATCATCTATCAACTAAACATAATATAAAATAACATATTTAATCAAATGTAATACCATATATGATTAATGTTGTATCCCAATAATCTTTGATGGTTAAATTAAAAGAAGCTGAAATCTCTAGAACTGATGGTTGTCCCCGCATGTTTGATGCTTAAATAATCATTTGGCACCTCCGAAGCTGATCGTTATTTAATGTTATTTCTTGGTTACAGTAAATCCCAATATTTAGATAGATTGAAACCTCTAACTAAAACTGATATCTATTGATAGTTACATCCAACCTTCATATTCAACCATAGATTTACCATAGATTCTACCTTTGACCCATGCCCAAACCGCGCCTCAACGACGAGGTGCGCGAAGTTGGTGAGCAAGGCATACTGCTCCTAGAGGCCCGCAAGGCCAAGGTGGGTGAGGGCTGGTACCATTAGAACATTTAAAAACACCAAACAGTTGGAGTCTCTCAACAAAAATAGCACTTGTGATAGTTTTATGATGTTTTATGTCACTTCATGTTAGTAGTTTTCACTTAGGCGTAGATTCGTAGATTCCTGGTGAACTGGTTAACAGCTCAACACATGATTCACCAATGTCTGCCATGTCTTGGAGTGTTGTCAACACTAACCAGGATCAGCTGTGGATGATACCACCGGAAGAGTGGAGCAAAACAGAGTCAAAAGGCTCAAAAGGTGCTATGTTCAGAGGTCAAAGCTCCGCTTAGACCCCTAGTTGGGGAGCTTACCTACCAGTATCATCCAATGCCTGGCGAAAGTCTCGGTGTTTGTAGGTAACACCACTCTGGTAATTTAACATAGCCATGGAAAATGGCCAACTCAATCATTTGGCTCATTCTAGTTCGGTAGATTTCAAAAAAAATCAGGTAAGGTGATTTTCCGTTGCTTTGTAAACGATTGCCACTACACGTTCTCTTCCTAAGGAGTTGTCGATGCCGACTCTTCAACTCCAACACGCTCAATGCCACGCCCGTTCCCGTTCTCGGTGTCCGCTTCGAACTGGCGAGGCGTGAAATCCGCCACACAAAGGGTACCATAGCCTCATCAGGGTTGGAAACCAACACACCCCCATGAGCCCCCTGAATTCAACACATATATAGTGTTAGAATGTTGACGGGTAAAGAACGGTACCGGGGTTCTTAACGGTTGACCATGGTTCACAATGGTTGATCGCAGATGATCGTGGTAGACGTGCATGATGATCAATGGGAAAAAACCCGTTCCCATCATGTTTCCCCAAACCCGGTCCATGAATGTGAAATTAACCATTATAAAACCACACTTTGGATATATAGACACAAATTATAACAACATAACATGATATAACTCAACATATCACCTATAAGTTTTAATACAATTGCAATACACTATAATACAATATGGTAAAATATGAATAACTATAAATACATGTTAAATGTAATCACACATAAGATACTGTATTAATATTATTACATTTGTTTACTGACAGTTCATATAACATCACCGCATCACATCACATAAATAATCATGGCATACAATATACACTATGATACAATGCACTATAAGATACCCCATATTTTCATGTTAGTTTACTGAGCTTGGTCGGCTTTGCCCTCAGATCGGATGGGCATTCCAGCGGCGCTATGCCAAGCTGCGTTCACCCCGGGAGCCCACCAAGGGCGCTCCGGCATAGAAGCGGAAGTGCGGTGGGCCTACACGTGCGAGCCAGGCGTGAGGATTTCGTGGGGTTTCACCAATTTACAAAGAATTTTGGATTACAGAAATGGGATTTACTTTGAACTGTTGATTTATAAATATTTATGACGGAATTTACATAATGAATCAGAATGAGATATACCATATGATATACCTACGGAATCGCAAGTGGGTTAACCTCAGTTATAAGTAGCTGCTTAGCTAACTCACTTAGTAGACCTTGCCCGATAGTGACTGCTTACTGGGGTCGAAGATGGTCAAACGGGCAAACAACCACGAGTTGATGTGGTATAATGTGGCATATCTATAGACATACATAGACATACATAGGTCAATTAATAGATCAATGTGTATACTTGGGGGAAAAATGGGTATATTTATGTATATTTGGTATATGAGTGGTACATTTAAGGTACATCTGTGGTCTGTGGTATATTATGATGGTTTATCCCAACAAATCACGATTTCGCACCAAACCCCTGGCTGGAAATCACTGGAAGCACTGCTCGATGGGAAACCATGGCTTTGCCCACAAATATGGGGAGGTCCTGCAGATTGTCAAGCAATTTTTACAAAGTACTGACTGCTGGGCTTTTTCTATTTTCAAGCCAAACAAAAAAAAACTGGCTACTAACTGCTAGTATCAGTAACTTCGCGTCACCCAAGACTCCCACTTGGGCATGGTTAGTGACGCCCTCGACTCCCAGGCACCCACAACGAAAGGGTTCAAGGCCAGACGCGCGTCTTTGGTGGCATCCTGGAGGTGGAGCCATGCTGAAATCTTCATGTCTTTTTTCGGACATTTGTCAGCCGCTGAATTATAGCAAGTTTGGATATATTATATATATATATTGGAATATATTGGAATATATGTTCTTCTTTAAATAGATTTTTGGAGATTCACCTCACATGGAATTTCATGGAATTTTCACAGAAGTACATTATTTTCAAATAAAGTGTCATCTTTCTCAACTCAGCAGTTTTCCACACTTCTCACCGGGACGGACCTCGATGATAAGGATCTCTGCCTGGGCTCAGCCGTCATCAAACCCCGAGGGACACACGGCGTTTGTGCTCCCTCGACGGGGTGCAACCAAGCATCGAAAGTGGGCACCAAGATATAGTTGCCTGGCAGAGATGATCATCCCAACTGCAAGGAATTCATAACTTCATATGTGGCAATGGTGTCACCTTGGGGGTATGGATCTACACCTGAACACTGCTTCAGTCCAAGTGAGCACCGAACGAAACCGCATGTTGCTTGGTCAATCCAGGTAACCGAAACGCCGGATCCAGGTCACAGAATAGTCTGAAGAAAGAGCAAAACTGTGTAGCAACCACCAACCAACAAAGGTGTTGAGCACGCCTCAGCCTCAAATGATAAGAGGCAAAAACATGCCAAAACTGGACTACATGAGAGCTGGGTTCCACAGTTTGCCACCCAACGAGGTGACCCTCCCACTAATGACCCTGTTAGGAACTCCATCTTTGTTGGACACTCTGGTCCCATCTTTTTCACACCCGGAGAAGTGGTTCTTGTGCCGCGGTCAAGGCACACCACCCTTCTTCTCTTGGACATTCCACGTTTCGACCGTGATCTGTATCCTGAATGGCGACTTAATATGGCATAACATCAGCCATTGCTTGGCCAAAGATTGGGAATATCAAGTCGCTGGGCAGCAATGGAATCACAAATAGCAGGTCATTGTCTGCCTAAGACTATGTTTGACTAGTCTTATGGGTTTGTCTCAGGAGAGGGTAACCCCCAAAACAATAATGTTTTGTTAATCATGTTCTCGATTCAATGTGCCATTTTAGAGATACCCTATTTTTAGACATACCATACACACACATATATATATATATACATAAACCACATCAACCTATCCATTTTGACCCATTCCCCACGGTCCAGGCATGGGGCCAATCATCAAAAAGTTGGATGTTGATCAACTATTCTCGAAATAGAGGTTGTGCGCCCCCCCCAAAAAACAGAAACACTTCCTTGGCTCTTACGATGTTTACAGTGATCTTTACTCCATGATTTCTGCTGGATTTAAGGGAACACGTACAGGAGACCATGGTTGTTGCCAGTTGTTGGGATCTCCTCATTTCCATTGCAGATTTTCCCTGCAGAAAATCCCGAAAAAAAAAAACAAAACTGCAGATCCGACCAACATCGGTGTCCCAGGCACTGTCTCGAATTCCTTCCATTTGCCCTGCCAGCTTTTGAACCAACAGCGGTTGGGATCAATCAGCACCTCTGCGTGAGAGAAATTCTCAGTTTGGGTCAACCCACCGACTTGGAGAAATCATACAATCATGTGTATACTGTATATATATATATATACAAAATAACATGGTGACATCGTTTGGGTCACTCTATCTAGTTATAGTAAAACTTAGTAAACATGTCTTCCGAAAAACCTGGATAAACTTGGATGATTTCACTGCTATTTTATCTTTGTTGTTGTTTTCCGGCTTACTGTAGAGCACAAGTAGACTTGGGACTTAAACTTGCATTCAACTTAGGACCTCAAACCACTGGATTCTCAACATTCAAAAAGTACCAAGCAGTCTTTAAATGAATGTATGATGTATATATGTATACATACATATTACAGTTCTGCATTTGCTTTATCGTATCATATCATCATCTATCATCATGTGTATTATATGTGAAACGTATATTAGTAGATACTGTAGATATATGGAGGTTTCCTAGAATGGGGGTGCCCCAAAATGGACGGTTTATAACTTATAATGGAAAATCCAAATAAAATGGATGATTTTGGGGTACCCCCATTTCAGGAAACCTCCATATGATTGCAGTGACTATGAAGTGACCACTGTTCACCGCGACAACCACCAACCACCCAACCACCATCGTCCAATCTGGTGCACCAGGTGGGAACATTGCGTGTCAAAGATGCTCATCAGAAACTCTGTAACCTGCCCAGCAAGAAACCAATGGAAGGGGTTTCCATAGTCATGGGGGTATCCCAATAGCTAGGCTAGATGGTTTATTTCACGGAAAATCCAAAAACAAAATGGATGATAACTGGGGGTGCCCCTATCTTTTCGGAAACCTTCAATTGAATCATATGGGTGTGTCTGAACATATCTAAAGTTAACAGGTCATCATTGTTTTAAAATGTTCCCTACGAACATGACCGTGCATTCGCATGCATTTCGGGCATACTCCTTTGAAGACAAGCCCAAACCTTTCAAGTTAGATCCAGGAAGTTGTTAGTTTGATCGTTTGGCGTTGCTTGGGCCGAAGTTGAGGGGTTTACTCTGGCGGGATCAAAGAATGCCATTAAGGGGATGGCCAACAAAAATGGGGAACAACACAACCCGATGCGTCTGGCACTTTTTGAGCGTGCGGGAAAAACCATCCAACTTGGGGCATTGGGTATTGACGTAAATTCTGTTCTGCCAAATCCATAAACGACCAAGAGAGGCACAAATGATTGACCATCAGCCAGTCACCCATTCCTGCGCCTTGTCAAAGAGTTTCTCTCGTGGCCTGTCTCTGCAACAAACAAATCAAGCTGCGGATCAATATCTCTAGGAACATAAAGCCATTGCATGCGATTGCTGAAGAACATCCATAATTATCAACTATTTTGGTTTGAAGACCATTGAACACCAAGGTTTGGACCATGTAAAATGTGACAGCAAGGGACTCATCCCCTATGCCCCTGCTGCTTGATCCATTGGGGTTCTCTGAAACTGGGGTATACCCAGAATTTCTGACCATTTTCATAGGGGACATGGGAAAATGATGATGGGAAAATGATGATGAACTCGTGGATGAATCGGGTAGCCTATTTTCGGACTTATCTTCGGGATTGGAGGACATACATACATATACATACACTATCACGACACTAACTAATATAATTCCCGGCTTGGTGCTTTCAACCCGTCCCCCAAAAAATAGGAACTATTATGAACAGTCATACCAAATATTTGAACAATTATTAATTATTATCTAAAACTATAATCAGGTTATTTGCTAATTGTGAGATAAATAGTATTATATAATAGTATCATATCTATAACAACGCATGGGAGCCGCAACTTAAACTGCCGTCCCAGATGCGTATCCAGCATTCCTAAGGACTTCAGAGCATCGATACCTCAGCAAAAACGGGTTGGCTTTCAGAATAACTGGTCCAGAAAAGAGGTGTGTCACATAAATTAGGGACTTGTTGCTCGAGGAATCCCAAAACATTTCTGGAAAAACATGTGGGTTATCTCAGATGGGGAAAGAAAAACAACCTTTCGCTGCCATCGAATCATTGACCATGAGAAAGGAAGAAAGGACTGTGTATGAATATATGAGCCAACCTCCAAAACATGCGCCGCACAACCCATAGCATCAAGGTCGACCTGCTGCGGTGGAAAAGTAAAACACCCCTCTTCATGGTTTTCCATGTTATGCCCCAAGAATGTGTCGTTTTTGTTGGACATTAGGGCATCCCTTTTTCCCGTCTTGACGCCCACACTTTCAGGGTTTATAAGATGTTTTATTAGGTTTCACAATGGTGATCAAATCACTTATATAGTGTGGTACAGCCTTACGTGATGGTTTGCTAGAGAGTCCTAGTCTGAATGATCGCTTCAACATCTTCAACCAATTTCTAAGAGCATTGCAGTAATTGCTATAATCATATATAGCATCATCCCAAACAAGCTTGAACATGGTGAAAACAAATAGTGTTTTGCAACCACCAGTGACCACCAGCCAGTAATCTGGTTCACCTACATGTAATTGCATTTGGGAGAGGGCATCTATGACAAGGTGGTGGGGAGGTCGTTCTCACTTCCTGTATCCAAATGGGTTGGTCAAAAAAATGGTACCTCCGAATTCCACTGATCATTCATAAATGACCATATTCAAATTGACATATAGTTAATGTCCTTTTTTTCCCACCAACACTGTTTCTGTTTCCCTCTATTGTCTGGATTTTTCGACTATATAGTTCCAAATTACCTTCCAAAAGAAAACAAAAACAACATGTATTGCCACTCCAATGCAGAGTCATTTCTACTTAAATTGCGGTTTCCAAAGAAAAAAAAGGGTTCCCATGGAAAATCCTAGAAAACCCCATCAACATGGATTGGTTTCATGGAAAATCCCATCTAGAAATGGATGATTTGGAAAATCCCATCAACAGGGATTGGTTTCATGGAAAATCCCATTTAGAAATGGATGATTTGGAAAATCCCATCAACATGGATTGGTTTCATGGAAAATCCCATTTAGAAATGGATGATTTGGAAAATCCCATCAACATGGATTGGTTTCATGGAAAATCCTATTTAGAAATGGATGATTTGGAAAATCCCATCAACATGGATTGGTTTCATGGAAAATCCCATCTAGAAATGGATGATTTAAAAAATCCCATCAACATGGATTGGTTTCATGGAAAATCCCATCTAGAAATGGATGATTTGGAAAATCCCATCAACATGGATTGGTTTCATGGAAAATCCCATCTAGAAATGGATGATTTGGAAAATCCCATCAACAGGGATTGGTTTCATGGAAAATCCCATTTAGAAATGGATGATTTGGAAAATCCAATCAACATGGATTGGTTTCATGGAAAATCCCATTTAGAAATGGATGATTTGGAAAATCCAATCAACATGGATTGGTTTCATGGAAAATCCCATTTAGAAATGGATGATTTGGAAAATCCCATCAAAATGGATTGGTTTCATGGAAAATCCCATTTAGAAATGGATGATTTGGAAAATCCCATCAACACGGATTGGTTTCATGGAAAATCCCATCTAGAAATGGATGATTTGGAAAATCCCATCAACATGGATTGGTTTCATGGAAAATCCCATTTAGAAATGGATGATTTGGAAAATCCCATCAACATGGATTGGTTTCATGGAAAATCCCATTTAGAAATGGATGATTTGGAAAATCCCATCAACATGGATTGGTTTCATGGAAAATCCCATTTAGAAATGGATGATTTGGAAAATCCCATCAACATGGATTGGTTTCATGGAAAATCCCATTTAGAAATGGATGATTTGGAAAATCCCATCAACATGGATTGGTTTCATGGAAAATCCCATTTAGAAATGGATGATTTGGAAAATCCCATCAACATGGATTGGTTTCATGGAAAATCCCATTTAGAAATGGATGATTTGGAAAATCCCATCAACATGGATTGGTTTCATGGAAAATCCCATTTAGAAATGGATGATTTGGAAAATCCCATCAACATGGATTGGTTTCATGGAAAATCCCATTTAGAAATGGATGATTTGGAAAATCCCATCAACATGGATTGGTTTCATGGAAAATCCCATCTAGAAATGGATGATTTCGCCATGGGTAACCTCCAAATCCACAGCAATCCGCCCAGGCCACGCTTTTCTTCCCCCCAAAGACCACCACAAAACTTGGCGGTGTCGTAGAGGGTGCCATTGCCTACGGATGGTTGCAGGAATTCATGGAAAATGGCACACCTATAGATGATGTACCTATAAACTATAGATTTATAGATTGTTATAGCTGATTATAGATGATTTATCATTGATTTCCCATGATTTACCTATTAAACATAATGATTTTCCATAGCTATGTTGAATTACCAAAGGAGCACACATGGATTTCAAATTAAATAAAATAATTTGAGAACATGTTTACCGATACCATAGGTTTTCACAGGAAAAAAAAATATACAGTTGAACCTGCCGGGTGATCAGAGCTGCCTGGATGATCACAACGAGCACCCTCGGAGTTGCAAAGCTGACAAAAGCCTGGCATCGAGGATGCTGTGCGGCGGACCCATCAGCCGGATTACCTTCAGTAAATTCAAGCCTGGCAGATAGGGTTTGGAAGATGAGTTTCCCTTCAAAAATCCGTGATTTTCAGGGTCTATGTTGATTTGCTTGGGGGTAGCAGTATCAAGTACCAAGTGATTTTGGAACCATTTTGAGAACCACATCCATTCTCCGGCTCTTCACTGACTCGGAAAAGCGGCCCCAAGAGGAGTGACCATCCACACAGGTCATACAAAAATCATGGTGCTGCCAAGGGATCTGGCCATAGATTGGAACGGTTTTCAGTCCCCAATTTTGAAACACACCTGGGCATGCTTGAATATTGCACAAAAAGTCCTCGATTAATCATCACAATTTCCCCATCAAAATAACCTTTTTGGGGTAAACCTAGTGTCCAACCATTTTCAGACACACACACACACTAGACAAAATTGGATGTTTTAAGTGATCCATCAGGAACTGAGTCCTTAAACGTGCAAATTTGTCAGGAAAACACTAATCCTAGACGAATTAGTCAACCAATAGAAGGTACTCCGAGAAGACAATCACGCCCATAAATACCATCAAAAAGATACCTTCAAATAAAACGTAGACCGTGACAATGATCTCTGTAGGGTTCTTGGCTTAGCCCTTCGCCATGTCAGAAAAATATCGCAGGGACCATGTGTAAAATACCATCGAAAAAGAAATTATAGATTTTGGGGTTCTCGGCTTAGCCCCTTCGCCACTCACACGCACTGATTGCAAAATAATTAATTGAATATGAGTGGAAGCAGACTGTTCAAATAAACTATTGCAGAAAAGTGTTCTTCGTGACTGCGTATCCATGTGTTTCCACATCTGTACCATTAACATGCGTGTGAGCATTCGGGTTCGTGGGCTGCATCTTGTTTTTTGATAGCTCCCATTATTTTTCCTCGATTGTAAGTATTTTTGCTGTTTTGTTACAATTTGGTATGATTTATTCCCCACCTGCCAGGTGAAGGTTGTTAGATTTTATCAGAGTTGTTCTTCTCCTCCTCCTCGGCTAGCTCTTCTCCTCCTCCTTCTCCTCCTCCTCTTCCTCCTCTTCCTCCTCCTTCTCCTCCGCCTGTTTCGCCTCAACCATGTCTGCATCAACTTCCACCTCAACTTCCGCCTTGCCAACTCTTCGCCAAGCTCTTTGCCAACCTCCCAGCTCAGTGTGCACCGCTGGACCTCAACCTGGGACCTTCCCAGCTCAGTGTGCACCGCTGGACCCCAACCTGGGACCTTCCCAGCTCAGTGTGCACTGCTGGACCTCAACCTAGGACCTTCCCAGCTCAGTGTGCACCGCTGGACCTCAACCTAGGACCTGCCGAGCACCGCTGGACCTCACCCTGGGAACTGCCCAGCTCAGTGTGCACCGCTGGACCTCAACGGCCAGATAGAATGCCAGAAGATATGCCAGATAGAAAGCTAAAAGATATGCCAGATAGAATGCCAAGAAGATATGCCAGATAGAATGCCAGAAATTATGCCAGATAGAATGCCAAAAGGTATGCCAGATAGAATGCCAAAAGGTATGCCAGATAGAATGCCAGAAGATATGCCAGATAAAGTGCCAGAATGTTTGCCAGATAGAATGCCAGAAGATTTGCCAGATAATATGCCAGATAGGATGCCAGATAGATTGCCAGAATGTTTGCCAGATAAAATGCCAGAAGATTTGCCAGGTAGAATGCCAGAAGATATGCCAGATAGAATGCCAGATAGAATGCCAGAAGGTATGCCAGATAAAGTGCCAGAATGTTTGCCAGGTAGAATGCCAGAAGATTTGCCAGATAATATGCCAGAAGATATGCCAGATAGAATGCCAGAAGATATGCCAGATAAAATGCCAGATAGGATGCCAGAAGATATGCCAGAACATCTGCCAGAAGATATGCCAGATAGAATGCCAGAAGCTATGCCAGATAGAATGCCAGAAGATATGTCAGATAGAATGCCAGAAGATATGTCAGATAGAATGCCAGAAGATTCGCCAGTAACAATATGTATAAATGTCATGTTGGGGATCACACGAAGTAAAGTAATTCTTACCTTAATTTATTATTTATTATCATGATTTACTATTATTTACTATTTGTTTTTTTCCAGGTTTGATTCTGATCCCTCCTGATGTATTGATCATTAGTATGATTTTGGGTATACCCCCCAACGATAGTCATGTAATGAGGAGCATGCTGGTCCGCCACCAATTCAATAGGTTGAATGAGACAAAGTAACCCCAACACAGCAATAAACCATAATGTCCTTAGCGATGATGTAAAGTGACCCCCAAATGGTTGTTTTTGCTGGGCAGGTAATCACAGCAATGCAGGTACACCAGGGTGATCAGCCCCGGCTTCCACCATCATGCATAGCTTCGCTGGCATGCGTGTGCATGATGGCCGCATGCCCCCTGCTAGAAGGAGAGAAAAAGAAATTACTTTACTTCGTGTGATCCCCACCATGACATTTATCGATTTGTTACTGGCAAATCTTCTGCCATTCTATCTGACATATCTTCTGGCATTCGATCTGGCATTCTATCTGGCATATCTTCTGGCATTCTACCTGGTATATCTTCTGGCATACCTTCTGGCATTCCATCTGGCATTCTATCTGGCATATCTTCTGGCATATCTTCTGACATCCTATCTGGCATTCTGTTTGGCGAATCTTCTGGCATTCTATCTGGCAAACATTCTGGCACTTTATCTGGCATACCTTCTGGCATTCTATCTGGCATAACTTCTGGCATTCTATCTGGCATATCTTCTGGGATCCTATCTGGTATATCTTCTGGCATATTCTCTGGCATTTTATCTGGCATATGTTCTGGCACTCTATCTGGCATATCTTCTGGCATATCTTCTGGCATTCTATCTGGCAAATCTTCTGGCATTCTATCTGACATATCTTCTGGCATTCTATCTGACATATCTTCTGGCATTCTATCTGGCATAGCTTCTGGCATTCTACCTGGCATATCTTCTGGCAGATGTTCTGGCATATCTTCTGGCATTCTATCTGGCATATCTTCTGGCATTCTATCTGGCATATCTTCTAACACTCTATCTGGCATATCTTCTGGCATTCTATCTGGCCGTTGAGGTCCAGCGGTGCACACTGAGCTGCGAAGGTCCCAGGTTGAGGTCCAGCGATGCACACTGAGCTCGGAAGGTCCCAGGTTGAGGTCCAGCGGTGCACACTGAGCTGGGAAGGTCCCAGGTTGAGGTCCAGCGGTGAACACTGAGCTGGGAGGTTGGCAAAGAGCTTGGCGAAGAGTTGGCAAGGCGGAAGTTGAGGTGGAAGTTGATGCAGACATGGTCGAGGCGAAACAGGCGGAGGAGACGGAGGAGGAGGAGAAGGAGGAAGGGGAGGAGGAGGAAGAGGAGGAGGAGAAGAGCTAGCCGAGGAGGAGAAGAACAGCTCTGATAAAATCTAACAACCCTCACCTGGCAGGTGGGGAAAAAGAAAAGTTTTACATCTATCCAGATGTTAAACACACACACACACATACACACACCTGGCCAGGGCCGGGAGCCCTGGAAGGCAAGAGGAAGAAAAAAGCGGACACCAACGACGGGCAAAAGGCCAAAACAGTGCAGGCGGGGGACGGGAACAAACGGACCTCCAGAACCAACCTACGCGGCGAAACGGACCTGAACAGCACAGGGCACACACCTAAACCCCACAACACATTACAGAGGGGCACGGGGGAAGAATTAGGGACCGAATGGGGGATAGTTGGTGACGAAAAAGAAGCAACAACAAAATTAATAGCAAGGACTCAGTTCATCCCTAAAGTGTCGTGCGTTATTCCCAAAAGGGACCGTGGTCAAATCCAGCCACATGGGCATAAACAGCTGTTCAAGTTCCATCGAATTAGATGCACAATATGTTCAGCCTCACCAGAGACCAAAGAGACCATACCTGCAGGAAAAGGACATGCCTGCTGCCTGCTTTGCCATGCTGAAATGCAAAAGGTTGGAGCTGCAGCGACAAAAATGGAGTTTCTGGTAGTTCAGGGTGGCTTCACTGTCGCAGAAGTGCATTTACCAAGGTTCTCAAGGGACAACAGGACCAGCGGGACAACGTAAAAAAGCTGGAAAACGAAAGGCCAACTGTTGCACATTACGTAAATGATTACCAAATTAAAAGTGTCACTTCCGAAATCAGGTCAGTCAACATTCACCCTATGGCACCATGTCGGAGCCACCATAGGAATCACACTAGACAAAATTGGATCTTTTAAGTGATCCATCAGGAACTGAGCCCTTAAACGTGCAAATTTGTCAGGAAAACACTAATCCTAGACGAACTAGTCAACCAATAGAAGGTACTCCGAGAAGACAATCACGCCCATAAATACCATCAAAAAGATACCTTCAAATAAAACGTAGACCGTGACAATGATCTCTGTAGGGTTCTTGGCTTAGCCCTTCGCCATGTCAGAAAAATATCGCAGGGACCATGTGTAAAATACCATCGAAAAAGAAATTATAGTTTTTGGGGTTCTCGGCTTAGCCCCTTCGCCACTCACACGCACTGATTGCCAAATTATGGAATATGAGTGGAAGCAGACCCTGAACAACAGGTAATCACAGCAATGCAGGTACACCAGGGTGATCAGCCCCGGCTTCCACCATCATGCATAGCTTCGTTGGCATGCGTTTGCATGATGGCCACATGCCCCCTGCTAGAAGGAGAGAAAAAGAAACTAGACGACGGATGGCCAGAGAGCGTAGAGGAGCAGGGTCTTCTCTTGTTAGTATGGAGACACAAGTTTACAAACAATATATGAAAGATGTGTTATAGGCAGTCGAGAAGAGGAGTAGCAAGACAAAATAGTGAGAAGTGCAAGACATTAGTTTGCATCGCAAACACTTTTACACACAAAAGCTTTTACACACAGAAGCTTTTACACACAGAAGCTTTTACACAGAGACTATTACACACAAAGCTTTTACCCACAGAAGCTTTTACATACAGACGCTTTTACACACAGATGTTTTTACACACAGACCTTTTTACACACAGGAGCTGCTTTTACACACAAACGCTTTGACACACAGAAGCTTTTACACACAGACGCTTTTACACGCAGACGCTTGTACACACAGACACTTTCACACACAAACACTTTTACACACAGACGCTTTTACACGCAGACGCTTGTACACACAGACACTTTCACACACAGACACTTTTACACACAGACGCTTTTACACACAGACGCTTTTACACACAGACACTTTTACACCGCTTTTACACAGAGACGCTTTTACACACAGACACTTTTACACACAGACACTTTTACACCCAGAGACTTTTACACGCAGACACATTTACACAAACACGTTTACACACAAACATTTTTACACACAAACACTTTTACACACAGACACTTTTACACACAGAAGCTTTTACACACAGACGCTATTACACACAGATGCTTTTACACGCAAAAGTTTACACACAAACAGTTTTACACACAAACACTTTTTGCACAGAGACGCTTTTACACACAGAAGCTTTTGCACACAGACGCTATTACACACAGACGCTTTTACACACAGACGCTTTTACACACAGACGCTTTTAGACACATCGCAATTTTACTTCAGTTTTTGGCGATCCAACCTCATTTCGTGCTCAAGGGACATGCGACAGGGTTGCGCGGGACAAGTTGAAATCGCAATTTCACCTCAGTTTTTGCCGATCGAACCTCACTTTGTGCGAAAGGGTTGCGCCGGACGACTTGAAATCGTAATTTCACCGCAGTTTTTGACGATCGAACCTCATTTCGTGCGCAAGAGGGTTGCGCCGGACAACTTGAAATCGCAATTTTACCTCAGTTTTTGACGATCGAACCTCATTTCGTGCGAAAGGATTGCGCCGGACCACTTGAAATCGCAATTTTACCTCAGTTTTTGACGATCGAACCTCATTTCGTGCGAAAGGGTTGCGCGGGACAAGTTGAAATCGCAATTTTACCTCAGTTTTTGACGATCGAACCTCATTTCGTGCGAAAGGGTTGCGCCGGACACTTGAAATCGCAATTTTACATCAGTTTTTGACGATCGAACCTCATTTCGTGCGAAAGGGTTGCGCCGGACGACTTGAAATCGCAATTTTACCTCGAACCTCATTTCGTGCGAAAGGGTTGCGCCGGACACTTGAAATCGCAATTTTACCTCAGTTTTTGACGATCGAACCTCATTTCGTGCGAAAGGGTTGCGTTTCGTGCCGTCTCGTTGCCACTGCCCCTGCTCCCGCCTTCAAGAAAGAAATAGAAAAGAAGGAGAGGGCAAGAGGGCAAGAGGGCAAGAGGGCAAGAGGGCAAGAGGAGAAAGAGTGTGAGATGAGAAGATGTAAAGATGAGAAGATGTGATGAGAAGATGTGAGAAGATGTGAGAAGATGTGAGAAGATGTGAGAAGATGTGAGAAGATGAGGAGAAGATGGGAGGATGAGAAGATGTGAAGATGAGAAGATGTGAAGATGAGAAGATGTGAAGATGTGAAGATGAGAAGATGTGAAGATGAGAGGATGTGAAGATGAGAAGATGTGAAGATGAGAGGATGTGAAGATGTGAAGATGAGAAGATGTGAAGATGAGAGGATGTGAAGATGAGAAGATGTGAAGATGAGAGGATGTGAAGATGAGAGGATGTGAAGATGAGAAGATGTGAAGATGAGAAGATGTTTTACAGGCCCCCACTATTGGAAGAACCCTGCGCTCAAACGCTCTCGGGAAAAAGAGAAGTTTTATATCTATCCAGATGTTACGCACACACACACACATCGATCCACATTGTGTATCGTACATGAATCCACATGCTTGACACACAGGACTGTCCTGGCTCGAACTTTCCTCTTGCTACCTGGCAGGTCGCTTGAAATTTATGCAGAAAATGATAGACCATGGATTTACATGGATTTGCCAGCAAAATGAGCAAACCATCAAACCTGTTCCTTAGTTTCCTCTATAGGATGTCTCTTCAACAAATTCTGCAAAGCGGGGGATTCCCAGTATGTTTAGAACCCGATTATACCACCCTGCATGATCAGACTGGTTGACCCGCAGATTCCATCCTCAAGGCGCATCCAAAGATACTAAACACAGTGTATCCTCTTCTTTTCGCTATCAAATGAGGGAACCACCCCTTCAATCTTTTGGAGACAAACCCATTCTTCCAGATCTGTGCCTCTTCTGCCCAGGTTGTCATAACGGAGCTCGCGCTGAAAAAACGCGCGACGCGCGTGCTGAAACAGCTGTGAGAGGTCCAAGGCCGGCGACTGAAACTTGATTGGATCTTTGTTGGACCTGGAAAGACTGCTACTATACTAAGCATGAACCTCGATGACCTACGAACGGCCAATCAACTAACCGAGGTTTTTAGTTTTGAGTATAGTATGTTTATGTATTTTTTGGATATTCATGGTATAACGGTATAACTATGGATAAGCGTATAACATCTTATAACCCCCGCAAAAAGTGACCTTTTCCTAAACATCTTTTCTGCATTCGGGGGGTTCATCATCAAAACTCTCCACGCTCATCTTGGAGTCGCGGTCTCCTGCGCAGGGACCTCGGCTACTGGGAACCTATGGTCCTTGCATGTCATGAAATACACAAGGGAACTCCATGGGAACTCCATGGGAACTCCAAAGTTTTCTTTGAAAGCAAAATCTGGGAATCGTGCTTGGGATGGTTGGGATGATGATTTCCATTCATTTCCACGGATACTTAGGACAGTAACACCTGGACTTGTTGGACCAAAAAAAAGAATCCTCGACCCTCCAACTCCAACTCCTTAGAAACTGTCTTAATCTGACTCAGTTTGCTTGCTCTAATGCTGTACGTGCTTCACAACAGAGATAGGCATTGAAATGGGAGACTTATATACATAAATAAATGGTGGATCTCCCATTGCCATGTTTGATTCTGAAGGGGCAGATTTTCCCAATCAAAGTACAGGTGCCCTTGTGTCATCCTTTCTATTGTGGTTCGAAAGGCGCCAACCTGAGCAAATGATCAGCCAATCCACATATGAGACTTGGGAGCGCTTTCCTCAAAATCTTAACCAGCATTGTTCTTCCTGTACACTTCCTATATACTGTGGCTCAAAACTTCAACACTCATGTACTTTTCAAACACGTCAAGAATAACATGTCTTGCATGCTCCCATATGGGTCTGAAAACGGGAAATATCATCAACGACCACTTTCATAGGGAACATGAAAACTAATCCATTGCTGAATTGGTGGTTTCATAATAGATTATATCAGTGGATGATCAAGTGCTTGCAGCAGGGCTGTAAATGTCATGCTGGGCTTCCGGCAGGTGGCCTTGGTGCTTGCAGCAACGCAACACACGTAGTACCGTAGGCACGTGTGCTGCGATGTATATATGTATAACTTGTATAGAACATGATTATATTATATATGTATATTTTGATGTACAATGGTACCAATATCTGTACTAACATTCTTATCATATGCATATATTATACATGTACAGTATCTATGTCTATGTCCATCTATCCAAATGATTACCAAATATATCGAATGTCATCCTAGGTCCTAGCAATTCTTCTCTTGCCTGTTTGCCATTGCATACATATATATATAAATATTGTTCTTGGGAGGCACGACATTCAAGCCATTCACGACATCATCACTGCTACCAGTACCGCCACCATGACCGCACATGTTTATCTATTCTACCACTATCTGTGTTTTTTATATGCCGCTATGCCTATTTATTTAATCCTATTGATTTACTGTCCAAATATACAACTACCATCGTCCAAATACAATCATCCAGGATATATCCCAAATATTCTCCGGGATAGTTGCCCCAATCACCATCATTCCAGTGACGTCGCAGTGAGGTGGTTGATAGTCAAAGGTCTACAACTGATACTACTTGAAGTTTTGCTATAGAAATATCTGAACAATTCTGAACATATAGCACATTTATAGAACTATATGTTGCTGAAATCATCTCTTTGGATCTCTGTTTGTTGATACCGAAGATGCAATGACAACAAAAAAACGCAAATGTCAAGATGTCCTGAGGTGTGAACTCCTCGGGAGGTTCCGCCTCAGCGCCCCAGGGACTTCGACGTCGAAGTCCAAAGTCATGGGGACAATTCATGGGCATTTAACCAACCATAACCATACCTGGGAATATGGTAGTGGGATATATCATCTACGACTGGTGAAGCCGCAGAAGCCTCCAGGAAAAAGCAGCAAGTTGAAATTCACAACCCAGAATATGGAGGTTTCCTATGGGGGATACCCCCAAATCATCCATTTATGGATTTTCTATGAAATGAACCATCCAGCTATTGGAGTACCCCCCCATGCCTATGGAAACCCATTAGCAACACATGCCACCAGTGTCCCAAACTCTCCATGGACCAATCCCAGTGTGGGACTTCTTCGGCCAATGAGGCCCTCGTCATCAGAATGGCTATAGAGTACACTGAGTACACACATGACAGATGTGTATACAACAATGTACACGGACACGCATATCATTTATCTCATATACCATAGTTAGCCATAATTATACAATAGAATTGTCCATCTATATTTCTACCCTCTGGTAATTTCGCTATAGATGGCCCACTTTTATAGATGTACCATGATTGGCCTATGAAAAAAACAACGATTGGACCCGTCGTTAGTGCCGCGTCACCCGCCGTCCAATGCCCTGAATGGTGGGTGCCATTCGACTCGGCGGACCTGTGTCACAGGCCCGATCAATGGAGGTTTTAAATGGTTTTAAGATGTTTATAGATGGGAAGATGGCTTCATACAACCGTGAAGTATGGAATACATTTGCAGTCTAGTAGGCCAATCACAAATGGATGGAAGTTGCGAAGCCCAACAAAGGCTAATCTCGTATACACACACACAGCAGAATCTGTAGATGTTAGACCAAATTTCAGATATTGAATCCCATAGGATTGGTCAAAATATAGATAGAAGTACGGTACGTTTTGTGTTTATGGGTCAAGCTTCCAAAACGGCAGTCCCTTGCATTCCAGGTGGAAAACACAATGCACAAAATATCAAATAACATATATCTGTATACATCTGCAAGATACATCTACTTTGCAATACATTACATACTGAACATAACATGACATTACAATACATTGAATTGCAGAAAATAAACTAAACTAACATTGAATCACAAAACTTAATATAATAATTCCGAACATAACACATACAAAGTATAATATATATATATATACACATATGTACTGTGTATATACAGTACAATACCCTTTGATAATCAAACACGGCTGGGAAAAAAAAACAACAACAACCATACTTCGATACTTTTCCCAGATGCGCCCACCTGGCTGCAACTGAGTGGTGTCTAGATCCTCCTCGGGCTCGGGCGGCTCCTGGTGAAGCCAATAACCCCAGTGAAATGGGATAAACAAATGGGATGCGGCTTGGGTCCGGTCCCTTTCCCTTTCGGGAAACTGCTTTGGGGTGGTGATTGAACATGACCTGCCACGATTTGATCTGTAAACTGGGACTTCTTTCTTGCTCGATTGATCGTTGTCGAATGATCTTGTGCACTCTCTGTACACATGGTTTTCCCTTCTCACCGAAAACATAAGTACCATAAACATCCAAAAACTATACATGAAATGGCGGGTGACGTCGGACTAAAACAAAGCCTTGGGAGATTACCGCTTCTGTTGGCGCGACACAGGGTCCCATTTTCATAACATGTTGATTGTCCAGTCGTATTGTCCATTACTGCCAAAAACACAATATACACCATCAGGAGTGCTAGGGACCTCTCCAAACCCTTTGGTATTCCTTGGCACCCCTTAATCTTAGCACTGCTAGGGAGCCATAAAAGCTTGGGGTTGGATCTAACCAAATGTTCACCCCCCCTAAGCACCCTATAATGTCCTATAATGATAGGATTCCATAAAGCAATTTTGCAGTGCGACCAATGTATACCGGCAAATGTGCAGTAATTCTACCTATAGTTTGTGCAAAAAGGCACCACAAGTACATTCCCATGTATGTATGTATGCATGTAATGTAATGTAATTTGCTGTAGTGTAGTGTGTGTAATGGAATGTAATGTATGTATGTCTGTGCGTGCGTGCGTACGCAAGTATGTATACGATACATGTATACAAATTTCATTTATATATGATTAGTGTGTGTATGTATATATATATATGTAAATATAATATTATTTTAATATACATTGTCATATATGTACGCATTTACTTGTCAAAGGAAGTTTCGTACAGAAACTCCGAGTTACGGATTGTTACAGTAAATTCTCGCTAGCCCAAAGATCATTGTCCAGTTGGCACCTGCGTTAAGCAAACTTTGTTTTTGGATCCTATTGTGTAGCAGTCCTTGGCCCTGGAAACTTCCGCCACCCGCCTCGTGCAGGTTTTACTTGTATATATTTGTATATAAATTCTGTAGACAAATGTTCATGCTAAATCAATAATGCTGGGGCCTACATATTTTTTCCTAAGAATTGTCCACTATCGACCCATGTCTCTTGCACCCAAGCGTGGTGACTTCAAAAAGAGGACGTGGTGACATGACCTGCAATGGCTTTCACATGGTTTCACCATACCTCACAATTCCCCATTGTTAAACCATACCTCTATTTGTAGGTGATGTTCCCTCTAAAACCTACATTTCAAGTGGATTTCCCCACCAGCATTGCTGGATATGCTGGATGATTGAGTAGTTGCTGGGCAGCTGCCGTTCCGTCCTCTCCCGCATCTACCTGTCACAGTGCTAGCGGGTCAATATCTTTGTGGTATGTAATTTAGTACGATCTAAGGGGGGTTCCATAAATGGGTGATACCCCAATAGCTGGATGGTTTACAGTGGAATATCTGATTAAGATGGATGAATGATGATTTGGGGGTATTCCCATTTCAGGAAACCTCCATATATATATTATATATATATATATTCTAGTGGGATTAGAGTATAGTAGGATTGCAAGGGATCCCAGCAATCTTATAGATCTTATAGGATAATGGCTAAATCAATAAGTTATAAGTTATAACATCCACTTGTCAAGAAACCTCGCAATGTGCCTCCGGTTCCTCTGGTTCCTCCGGCTCCGGCGGGGCGGCCATGGACTGCAGCGCACGCGCCGACAGCGGCGCGGCAGGTTCGGCTTCTGGCGGGTCCACCGGGCCCCTGACAGGGCAGGTGAAGTTTGTAGGATCTGGTGGGTCCTTTGTGGTCCGTGGTAACATTTTTTCTAAGAGACTAGAGGTATCAAACTTATCAAACATGTTGAAATATTATGACATATCGTGACAATTCATGACATATGTTGAACATACAATCAACATCTGCAAACAAATACCAGACTTGTTACACAATAAATCTATATAAATCAATTTCAATGGGATACTGTATCTGCTGTAGACACGCATTTTGGTGGGCAATATCTGGGTGTGCGCAAGAAAGGACGCCTTCAACACCCCAATGGGAAGCATGTCGACTCTAGACATATCTAAGTTGAACCGGTGCTGTCTTGCACTACTGCAAAAGACCGGGTTTATATGTTCTGTTGTAAGCTAGTTAAATAAATTTGATGGGTCTTTGCGTGTTTCAAAATCGATTCATTCTGGGCCTCTCAACCCTGGGATTGGACCCATCAAGACTTTGCCACTGATGCAGCCCAGACACTCCAAATCTTCGATTGGCTGAAGATTTACCACTCGTTCGTCACTGACCTAAGGCGCCCCTTGGCAGAGAAAAAAGAACACCATACAAAAAAAATAAATGGGTTGCAGGCTAATCACAGTCATTGAACTGTATCTGCTTCTTGTACATAAGTTACATAAGTGCTATGTAAGTGCTCTATAGTACTCTTACATTCCCTCAAATGAAGCTAGGATCCCACCAAAATACCTCGAAGCCCCGAGGAGTACAACGAGTGATTGGGAGTGTTTTTTTCTCTATCAAACTATCCACTTCTTTGCTGACATAACCCACACCATTTTTTTGGCGGTCAGTCAGTTGAATTCATGTGTTCCTTGTGGTTGGCAAAATATGGTATACTCCCAATGTTTGATGGGTTCAACACTGCTAAGAAGAAAAATAAACAATTAAATAAACATGGTATATGATCCCATGTTTGATGTTGAACATACTGGTAATGTATAGTCCCTGTGTTCAACACCTGTTTTTCTTGTGGCTCGCCTTTTCCACCTTTTCCCACCTGGCCCTGGCCATCACCGAGAGGCGGTGCCATCGTCATACATCACCGAGACCGAGATGCGCGTGCAGGCTGCACGCCTTAGGATGTCAAGCGGATCGGATCTAAGAGGATTCACGACTGACAAGCTGGGGCCAATGATAGCTAAGTTGCTTAACTCTACTAGCAATGCATGTGGTTGGGCCAATTTATGAGGGGTATAAATATAGTCAATAAGATTTATACACTAACTTATAACTGGGGGGGCACCTTGTGGTAATCCGATTCACTGTTCAAGATCTAACACCCCCAAATTAAATGGTCTCAGATGTGTGGTCTTTTCGCCATGGTTCCTGGTGGGTGTTTAAGATTAGGGGACTGGCTATAGATCTCTCATGGTATCTCCATATTCTAGAATTCTCTAGATTTTGTATAAAGTAAGATCAACATAAAAATCAGCCACTCAATCCATATATTGTTGCTTACAGGTTCTACAAAAGGATAAGGATAATCTAAAGACTTGAAGGACCTACAAGACTTGAGCTGCAAGGAGGTGCGAAGATCGCTCGCCAAAAATCGAGAGCTTTCACAAAAGTACAGCATGGCAAGCCCAAAGTAGATAGAACAATTGGAAGGGAGATACTGCTCCATGATCAGCCGTTTTGGGGACAACAATTCTACTTTTTTCTTGGATGAGATGATGAGATGAGACTTTTCTCGCGGAACATGGGCATTTCCACGACCCAGACCCTTTCCGCAGAGGAAGAAGAGTAGGAAGCAATGTAAAAAAACTGTATATTACTGTATGTAAAACCATTGCCTCATGGCAACAAGACCAAAGCAAAATGCCCCGGGAAGACATGGGAAGACATGCCAATCTTCGCCTTCACAGCAGATTTGTGTAGCTCGGCCCCCGACGCAGGTTTTCCAAAGATCATTCCAGGACGGCCATTGCACAGCACTCTGTCGCCTACCCCGGCAGCTTCTTTATCAGTTTCTTTGCAACAGGATATCCTGTGGAACGAGAAAAGAAAAAAATCCCAGGAAAACTTGATTTGCAAAAACAAAAACAAAATGTTACAACCCTAAAATGGATGGCTTCGAAGTTCGAACACCCATCTTTGTTTGCAGAAGGGTAGATGCACAACATGGGTGATGCAGTTTCCTAATAATTGGGGATAATTATAGGTGCAATCGTACGAGTGGATATGATACGAATGATATATCATATTGGTATAAACATGATATAAATTATATTATGTATGATATTGATATTGTATGATATATATGTATATGATACATGATACGTTGTTACATGATACATGATATGTATGATATGATATAGAGAAATGCTACAAATTTAAACAAACTATATATTGACAAATCCTCCTATCATGGGTACATAGGCATGGATCAAAAATTCAGCCTATAAAACCTGAATTTGGACAAGTTCATCGCATGTTGACTAGACGTTCTAGCCCCGCTGGAGGGTATATATCCAATATTGCCCAACTGGGCAGGGCTATAAAATGTGATTATTAATGAAACCCCAAGAAAGCAATTCTCTGGGTCAAACTTTGGTTGATCACTTCATATGTTCTCAGGCCTCGATAGAAGCCCCCTGCCAGCTCGTTCATCTCAGCCTCCCGGTGACCCCCAAGCATGGTTATTCATGGTTATACCATGTTATACGGTTCTACCGTATACAATGTATATTATATATATACGTATATATAACTAATTAACTAATTACATCTTAATTATCTTTTCTTCAAGTAGGAGAAACATATTGTAGGCTTATTTTGATTAGGATACACATGGCTCCAACTGGTAGTCGGTAGAGTCACGATTCAGGATTGTATAGGTTACCGTACCCTCCGGGAGCCAACATGTCCGTGGTTCAGAGTTAGTGACTCCTTGGATAAGACACAGTTTTGAAGGCTCTGACCCCTAGTACTCACGGAATTCATCACCAAGGTTATCAAGCCCTTACTATACACCAGATGCTGGTCCACATATGGGGCCAGGCAGGAATCCGCCCGAAAAGACAAAGCTTCAAGCTGCCGGCATGTGGTCTGAACCAAACCAGTGATTCAATGATGTCCCAAACCAAAACTACAATATCTATAAGTTTTCTCTCTTCGAAGCAACGTTGATGGCACCAACCAAACACCTTTGTCACAATTCACAACAATTTTCTCGAGCATCTTTTCCGAAAACCAAGAGGGTTGTCGTATTGTCTTGAAATTGCGGCCTCAAAACCTAAACAACGTCTGCTTTGAACTATATTAAAATCTTTGGATCCCATGGGCTCCATAATCTGCCGAGATGGCTTCATCTCACAAAAAATAAAAGTAGGTTAATTCATGTTAATTCATTCTTCACAACTGGCTGAAGTTATCCAAAGTTTGTTCATTTCTAGTGGGCAAACATGTGATTTTTGCCATGGTGTTTTAGGTACAAGCACCCTGCAGGGCCCAAGCACCTTGTGGCGAGGCAGGGCCGCCCTGCAAATAACGGCTTCAGCGCGTCGACAACGCGGCGGAGCCGGAAACAGCTGCAGGTGGCCGGATGGCTTTTTGATCAGATCATGACCATTTGAAACCGCGCCACTTGAAAGCCACGGACAGCCGCAAGCAAGCACTCTCTCCCAGTTTGGAACACATCCAAAAGGGCTTCCAGCCCTGGATTTGAATCCCAAGAGTCTGAGGCTTCCAGAATTTATTTTGTCACAACATACCCCGTATGAGGAAAAGAATGGAAAACCGCAACATGGCTGCTTCATCGCAGCTTCCCCCTGTCTGAAAAAGCTTGGAGAACCCCTACCGTTATGGATCTCACTGAAGATGGCCAGGATCATCAACGCCTGGGAAGGGCTTCCAACAGTTGGGCACTGCCATCCATCAGGCTGGCCAGCTGCGTGTGGACCTGGCTTGGAGCCCCAAGTCACGGGGGTTCCTAAATCATGGGGGTACCCCAATAGCTGGATGGTTTATCACGGAAAATCCCAAAGCAAAATGAATGATAACTGCGGGTACCCCAACTTATGGATGGTTTATAAATCTTTATCATGGAAAATCCTATTAAAATCGATGACTGGGGGGTACTCCCATGACTTAAGAAACCTCCATTCTTGGATGATTCACTCTTCGGACTCCCGGACGTTCCCCCCCTTTTTTGCCTCGTCAAAGGCACTTAGCTCGCTGGCCAACTTTTGGTGGAAGGTCTGGTTGTCAAACACCGCCCTAGCCAAAGGGGAACCAATCAATAGGGAAATTATGATTTTGGGTGTTTATGTATCCGATTCAAAAAAATTACCTATAATATATATATATATACATAATAATAATATATAATAATAATATATAATAATAATATATAATAATAATAATTATTATCAATATAAATATATACATATCGCTGAGACTGGTGTATATCAGGGCATTCCATGGGAAACAAATAGTTGAATATATGTGATCACTGGGTATGTCGTGAATTGATATATGCAAGCACGCTATGTTTCTCGGATCATCTAAAACAGCAGGGTTCTTGCGTATTTTTGTACCTCAAACAGTTCCCGGGACATGACAACATGATTTATATACTCTGGCTAATGCACACAGTGCTCATGCATTTGGACTACTTTTCATGATACATTGGGATTCAAATTGAACTGTGGAGGCAAATGCTCAACTGATGAATTTCCCAATCATCAACAAATGTTTGCCTCCAGTTCATCATCCCAAATACACGCGCAATAGGAAAGTAATACAGCATAGCGGACCCAAAAAACACCAATAGTAGAACCATGTGGAAAACAGACAATTGAGTACCCTCCTCCAGTAAATGAATGTAGATATATGTAGATATAAAAAAAACATGGTTTCCCTAGATTTCCCGTTCAGTTTCTATGTTGAATGTTGATGTACAGTGTGGCTAACCAAAATTATCGATGCTTTGGGACGGAAACCCTTCGAGGTTGTGGATGAATCTCCTACTTTTTCTACAATGATTTCTTGGAAGAAATCTATATCCATTAAATGTCCATCAATGCCGACTCTATTCATATAACATGTGTGTTATACATATATATATAACTATTAGATCCCACTAAATCGCATTCTGTTCCCAGTATAACACCATTAAATCCCATTCTATTCCCATCATATATCTGTGAAATCCCACTAAATCCCATCAAATCCAATTTTGTAAATCCAATGAATCGTGTTCAAACTTAACCTCAGCCTCTATTGTCCCGGCCTGTGCCAAAGCCGCTCCTTCTGGCGCGCCACGCGAAACCTGTAGGCTGGTTTTCGGTCATCTATCCCATAATGGAAATTCTGAATGGGTGTGTTCGTTGCATTGTTGCCGACTTTTAGAAAGAAAACGGATAAAATTCCGCAGCAGCTGCTCGCGATTTGTTTCGATGACTTTTCCACGCAAGGGTTAACAATTTTTAACAACCAAAACAAATGCGTTCTATCCGATTCTATCCTTAACTTTTGGCCATCAGTTTTTGTTCAGTTCAGTCTGTGACCTCTGGTGGTTTCTATAATTCACATAGTTTGACCCTGTATGGTGAAACCTGCCATTTTTTTTTAGAAATGAACTAAATGGATCTAAATGGAGGTTTAATGAGGTTCATAGCCGGGAAAATCAACGAACCAAATAAGAGATGTTGCGTTAAATTCCCCTTAGATTCCCATGATATTGTTTGTTTCTCACAAAATTGTCTTTTCATATGTCTATCCCATTCCCAGTACAGTAGATTTCTTCTCAGATTCCCTTTTGATATTCCCATTGATATCGCCATTAACATTTCCATTGATATTGCCTTTGTATAATCTTCCCATGGATAACACAATTGGATATCGTTTCTACCATCTGTTTTTAATTGTTCATCATCCCCCAACTATGCATATGCCGCCTTGTTCGTATTCCCAGAATACGTGTACCCCATGTGTTTTGTTTTACCTACTCCAAATATATAATATTGTCATTAATATTGCCGCTAATATTCCCATGCATATTCTGTTGACAATTCCATTATATTATCATGTGTTCACAAAACTGTCCTATCATAGTTCTATTCCCATAGGTATCCCATACGATTTCCAGATGCTCATTATATTTCCATTGAAACCCAAATATACATGGCATAAAATCCGATAAAATTCTAACAATTCTCGCGTTCCCACCCATATGGTCATTGATATTCCCATTGATATGGCCTTTAATGTTCCAATGAATATTCCCATTAGATACCATATTTCTACTGTATGATATGATCTATCATAGTTCTAATAACTATATATTGGGTGAGTTGCTACAAATGGCATCATCATTAATTCCCCCCAAAAATGCACTCAATTCTCCAGATATGTGGCGCACCCAAGCATAAAGCAACCCACATATTACCATAAATGGGCGGTAAGCATCATCCCCAAACGTTTATTGTTATTCCACAAAAGAATCCCCATGTAATGGTAGGTTTTATGGCATTGGCTATACCACATTGAATCACCCCATTGAATTCCAGTAGATTTATTATTGGGTTCCCGTGAACATTCCCATTCATATTGCCATTACTGGGAATTTCTATCAATTGTCCTATTCCCAGTACATTCATGTTCCCATTGATATTGCCATGAATATTCCCGTTAATATTGCCATTCATATTGTCATTACTTATTATAAAGTGGGATTATCATTCATTGGTTGTGAATAGGTACGCCGGGTACACTCAATAAATCTATAAATGGGTCATTGCCCATAGCTATGTTAAATATCCAGAGCCTATTCCCATTAAATCCCTATTAAATCCGATTCATATTCCCGTCGTACTCCCAGTTGCTTCATTGCTATGTTTCTTTTTAACCATATTCCAGTAACATTCCATTGAATCCCAGATATGAATGGTATAAACTGCCATGATTTTCCATCACTAGATTCGCATTTATCATTAATATTACCATTGATATTGCCATTCATATGCGATTACTAATTAGTGGGGTTGTCAATATTAGCTAATTAGTAATTACTATTTCATTAGTGGACCTATGAGATGATTACCGATAATTTCTGGCTGGAATATATTGATTACCATTTATATTGATTGCCATTGAAATATTCCCCATATTCCCATTGATTATCATATTCCCATTTGACTAACATGTCCATTGATATTGCTCGGGTTATCACTATTACTAGAAACTATATAATTAGTAATGATTATCATTATCTAGCCGTTAGCCAGGGTAATTATATATCATTATATGGGATTATATTGTCATATATATATATGAATGTATATATTATATATATACTGATATATATATACATATATATATTGTATATATAATTCTAAATTATTACTATTATTCATTATCTATTATTATATATCAAACCAATGCAGTTTCTAGGTGCTAGCCTGCAACTATTAGACTACAATGAGTATCAGTATCGTTGTCATGAATATCCCCAGCAATACTAATCACTATTAACCAAATATAATAGCTAACAATTACTAGTATATAAACACTATTTCCATTGATTACTATTATCATTAATGAATATTGATACTATTAGCATTATATAATTTGTAATCCCAGTAATTGGCAATTATATATACCATTATCTGGGATTAAAAATAATGTGGCTACAACAATAAATAAGTCATCCCATTTTTGATGGTTTATACCACCCATAAAAAATAGTTATTTTGGGGATGATTTATTATTGTTTTAACCACATTATATAAATTTCACATATAACCATTAAACATATACATGGTAAATGATCACTATTAATCATTATCTATTATTATATAATATAAATCATGATCATTATCTATTAATTACTATTAATCATTGTTATAATCTATCATCTCTATTGTTATATCAAACTATCTATTATCTAAATATGGCTGTGAATGAATCAAGATTGTGTATGGAACATTCCGCGGTGTTCTGGACGTATGGAACGAAGGGGCTTCGTAACTGGTCTTGTTCCGGACCTTTGGAGTGTGATGAAATATAGGCTATTCAAAAATAAATTCATAAATAAATAAATGAAATTAAATAAATAAATGTAATTCAAAAAAACAAATAAAAAACCATATATCAATAAATAAATAAATATATATACTGTATTTATGTAACGTATTAATTAACATCTCAAGGATATGCATGTTGAAGCTACTCACGCTGGCTGCCGTTCATTTTCACTTCTCATCTGCACGACATCCTTGTTGTACACCTGTTCAACGCAGCTTTGCCTTGCATGGCTAGTGCTCGTGCACTAGATTAGGACGCAACCGGTAGCCAGCGTCACCCACTGGCTACCATGTGAAGCTGTCCGCTCAGCTTCAGACCTGTCACGCAGGTCCCACCTCCTACTCTTAAAACTCAGAGGTCCTATGGGGTAGATTGTGTCCCTGCGTGACAAGACCCTAGGCTCCCATAACCCACGCGCAGAGGATGGCTTAGGAGCAATGCATGTGAGAACCTGCCATGTGTTCACCCAGGAGTAGGTCAGGGGTGGTGTGGGTGGTCCAGGTCTGGAACGGGTATGGAACGGGGTCTGGAACGAAACGGCCCACTCCAGCACAGCACTGCCACCACGCAGCACATCTCTATCAAAATTGGCAGTTTGGAGCGAGAATAGCGCAGCAAGCAATTCTTAGCCAGCTGGCAGCAGCCAAGCGCATCTCTACCATCAAACATCACAGCTGTGCCACAGCGGGCAGCAACTGCAAGTGGTACAGGCGCAAGCCTGCCACAGGTTGAGAGGGAGGGAGGGTTACAAGCAATTCATTCTTAGACTGCCAGCTGGCAGCAGCCAAGCACATCCCTACCATCACACAACAATGTAGGTAGCAGCTGTAAGTGCTGCCGGGACGGACTTGCCAACACAATCACAGGGCTTGGGCATAGTAAACGTATTCTTGCATGTATGCACTCATGTATGTATGTGCGCTCATGTATGTGCTTACAAACGTAAAATCAGATTGCCCATGTTCAAGTATATATATATATACATATATAATTATATGTATATGTATATATATATATATACATAATAACGTATGGATCAGAGGTATGGAACAGAGGTATGGAACGGATCCTTCAAACAGGTATGGAACGGAGGTATGGAACGGGGGTATGGAACGGGTGTGGTCCCGGACCTTGTTCCGGACCTTATAATTTGTTGACTTGCACCCATATATATATTATTATATATATATATTGTTAGCCATGAATATCCCCAGTAGCCCATCCCAGCTGGGTCTTCCCCACAGCTCCACCGCCACGGCGCCGCCCAGGTCGCGGCTCGCCAGCGCATCGCTGGGCGCGTCCGTGGTCACCAGCCGGCACTGGCGGCGCCAGAGGCCGCGTGTCCCCGGGAAAGCGGAGAGTTCCAGGGGAGTTCCGGGGGATTTCATGGCATATGCCATGTATTGATATAATGGTGATATTAAAAAATGGATATCATGTGAGATCATGGGGTTTTGAAATGCTATGTAACGTTCTATAACTAACCAACTGATAATGTAGTTTAATGATAAAACAGTAATAACTCTGGAGTATAAGTGGTGGTTTCAGAATGGGAATAATCGGAATAATCATAAAAAAATCTCATGGAATTCACTGGGAATATAATCCCTTCCCTTATTCATATGAGACACCCCAAAAAAAAACATGGTAAAAAGATGTAAAAAGTAGATAAAAGTAGGGGATTCAAAACACACATTTGGGAAACACACATTTGGGACCATCACTGGGTTGTTTCATTCTTAGGGGGATCGGATTATCCAAAAGTTCTTTCGATTCAGATCTTAGTTTCTCTTCATTTTGGGTATTTACTATGGAACCTGCAGGGTTGCAATAAAGCTGTTGATTTTGAGACCAAGTCTCAGGACTCAGGACAAAAAGCCGATAGACTCTTAGACAAGCAAGCAGCATTCATCGACACTCGGAAAAAAAAACAGGAACCATTCAATAATTGACATGTGGTATGGTTGGTACACAACCTGTGGAAAAATGCAGTAAATATATATGTATAATATTGTATAATATCCCATAAAACACCATTTGGCTGGTAAATCTCCACGATACTCCACGATACTCCATGATATCCTACTTGCACTATTATTGGGAGATCCCTTTAATGGATTGGATCAAGGAAAAATTAGAGGAAACCACGCTTTCTATGATCAAATATCGGGTTTCCTGTGAATTGTCCCTTAAGCCATCTTAAACCAATCCAATGACTCCTAAGACCTATGGTATCCTCTGGTCATTATCTAACATTGCTATAGAAAATCAACACTTTCAATAGGTACATCTTCACAACTCATCAATACATGGGCCATGTTCAATAGCTATGTGAAATAACCAGACTACAGTCCCATTAAATCCCTATTGAATCCCATTAATTCCTATAAAGAATGGTGATTTCCCTATGTTCAATCACCAGAAAGTATTTCCATGATATTCCCCATTGTTGTTGGTGAACTCCCACTAAATCCCCATGTATCCCCTGTATTACCAATATAATTCAGCCAAATGTAATCCATGTTGTTTTAATAACCAGAGGGTATATGGTTCAAATCCCATTAAATCTTATTAAATCCCATTAAATCCATTAAACCGCATTAATAACCATCTGGGAAAGTCAACACCCCAACCCAACGAGCCCCACCTGACTGGCCACTGCGCATGCAGCTGAAGGCCTAGGATGTCGTCTAGCACCGGGAACCAATGGCTATGGCTAATCAACACCTGGTATATTGTCATTTGGTATAATAAACAAAATTGTTGGTATAATAACCAAAACCAGGTGACAATAACCAACAGCTAGTATAGAACACTATATGTTGTGGCTGATAATAGTTGGTATAATAACCAAAGCAAACGGTCTAATAACCAAAACCTGTTGGGATTGCTAATTATGAGTCACAAAAAATAAGCAAGGTCATACACATGTTATGTTCTTCAAAAGCACCTTCAACGATACCCCAAAATGTCCATTGAATTCTGACGAAGCAAAGGATTTTCGTGTTTCAAATCTTAAGACATCCTGAAATGGCACACACTGTTGTGAAAAAAACCTGGAAGTGAATCACGCTGGATTGAGAGTACATGTCGTTGGATGGTTGGATATAATTCATATTATATGTCATATCCGAAGGCATGACACCTCATCACCATCACCGTGAAATTGCACTGCTCCAGGCGCATCTCTCATAACTATACGTGTACGCTATATATAATTATATACATATATGGTCTATAAATATATATATATATATGTGGTATAGATATAATTATATATAAATATGCGACATATATGATACATAATGTCACATATATATATACCATATAAATATATAATTATATATACCATATATGTATGTGATATATCATGTATCACATGTTATGCATCATATATTATGTATAAATATACAGTACATATTTACAGTAAGTCAAATCTATCTGAATGTACCATGCGGCCAGGCAATAAGCTAGAATGATATGGTGCAAAGGCTGCATCACATGTCCCAAATGGTTTCCTTGTGTTCCGTTAGGTTTTTGTTGGCAATGAGTCTGGCACGCTGTACGGTTGCGATGTCCCTGTTGTTTGATGATACCAATCATCCACGCATCGGAAATAAGGAGGGAATTGATCAATGGCCATTTCAGAAACCTAAATTGGAGGTACCTACCGTATATGGCCTATATGAGGCCAATGTAAGGGAATATCCAAACAAAATATGGCCTTATATGGTACAGTACCTCCATTTTAGGATCCTGAAATTCCCGTTGAATTGAGGAGTACAATCCTGTTCTCCTCTGACCCCATTGCTTGATGCTTGAACAGATTTCAAACATATCAACGTGTTTACACAATTATGTATGTGCACATATATCTATACATATATGCATCACATTTCAAAATCGACCAAAAAATCATTCTCAAGAAACACATGCTCCATGTATGGTATATGTTTTTAGATTTGGATGATATTTGGGGTGAATGTCGGTAAACATACCATAATATACCATACATGGTGGAGCAAAAGTACATATATATATGTATAGTAATATTGTATTATTGTAATATATTTTACATAATTGCATATGGAACATGACTGAGTCGCTATCTAGTCCTACAACAGCTATACGTCCAAATATCTCTCCACCCAGTTGACCCTTGCCGCAGTGCTACGGACCTTTGCCCGGAAAACCAAGGCGCTGCTCGAGTGAGGTGAATGACCAGGGCCTAAGTAAGCAGAAGAAACAACGGCTGCACCAACGCAATTACTTGGGTATGATTCTTTATATATTACCTAGATACAATACTATATACTATATACGTATGTAATCATGTATGTGTATATATATATATATGTATATGCAGTATATATATATAGTTATATATATATGTAATTATTCAAATTTCCTAAACCAGACTTAAGGCCACTTGAGGATGATTTTCCTTACTAACCATCCCTGTAATTTACATACATCTATATATAATAGATCTATGTAAAATGATTTAATTTAAATTTAATTAATAAATGTGTGGGTAACCCCCGTGGTCCTCTGGTGGACGTCCGGAATTTCTCTGTTGAATAGGTTCGAACCAGGGGTATTGTATAATGGTATTATAGAACTATCGACCAGCGGTCGATAGTATCCCAGGATTGTTTGAAGGAAAAAACCTATCTATTTGTTGGAGTAGAATACATGATGGGTTCCTTTAGAATTGTCCGTAAACCAATCCATTTATCTGCCACCTCTATAAGTTTTGCATTGTCATCAATTGTCTTGTATCCCATACAAAAGCCATGCAAGAACCACTTGGTAGGTGTATAATCATTCATGCCTGGGAATTGGCAGAAACATCCCGTACCTTCAGCAAACCATGTTCTGAACCGCTACTGTTCTATCTTCCAGCAATCAAACATGGCTGGAATTTCCTGCATTTGATGTCGATCAGTTTCTTTGATGTCTTTCAGCAGGCCACGTTCGAGTAGTGGAAAAAAAAACAGGGCCGACCCCTGGAAGATGGTATCGTACTGGGGTATCATCATCCGAAAAGTTTCAACTGTGCTGAACGATGGTATCGGGCTGAGCCCTTCACGGATCCTCCAGCATCAGGCGGTTGATCTCACCTCAGCCGTCGGGCGGGGGCTTGTTGTCTTGGTGATAGGAAGATTTGACGGGAAAAATCACGGAGATTTCAGATTTAACATGACTTAACCAACAAACATGGGGATGTACCTGTAACATACTTTTTTTCTGGCTATCTCAAAGATGAGGCTTTTCCAATCCTGAAATTTGGGGGATGCCCTGTTTTTAGCCAAGCCCATATCAGTTTCTCTGGGAAATGATCAGCTTCTCTGGGCGAGTGAACTGGGATGATCAGCTTGCGCCATTGCGGTGGCCTCCAGCTATCCTTTGTTCATGGCTATGGTCATGGAGCTGGGATTGCCTGGGGTAAAGCCTACGAGAATGATCTAGACATGATGGCTTTTCCACATCCATGTTAGTTTGCTGGAGGGTAAATCATCCTGCTGATGATGTTCAGGGTACTCAAAATGCCACCCTATATGAGCCACTGATAATGTTGACCTTTCGTCCGCTGATGGGCATGGTTCTGCTCAGGTCCCCCTTTTCTGATTCCTTACAATGCTTCTTGTAATCCTCGTTGACTACTAAATATCCCTCCCGTATCAATGGATGACGATGATTATAGATTATAGATGAATGGTTCCTAATTATATACATGATTGTGGATAAAAAACTATAGATAATTATAGATATTAGATTATATTCAATAATATTCAATGATTCCCAATGATACTAAGTCACTTCAAGTCAATCCTTCACATCCAATGTATGTAAGAACTGCCAGGTAACCCCCATGGTCCATCTTCTCCCATGTTTTCGTGATTTTAATATGGTGTGTTTAACTGGTTTTAAGATATTCAATTGCTTTCAAGTTGGGGTTATGATTTCGATATGATTTCCATATGTTTTTGATATGATATGGGTTATGATTTAGATATGGTTTGAGAATGTTTGAGATATGATTCATTATATGGTTTTGACATATGGTTTGGGAACGGAGCAACTTTCCGTGGGGCTCCGGTGGGTTTGCTTGGAAAAAGGAATCAGAAACAGCAATTTGACAGGTTTTTGGTCGATTTCTCGAAGGTTTTCATTGTTTTGATATGATGTCGATATGATTTTGATATGGTGTTGGTGTTGGTATGGTTTTGATATTATTTTGTTATGATTCTGATATGTTTTGACATGGTTTCAAGACATTTCCCAAAAATCCAACCAAACCTCAAACGTACAGAAATCACAGCTTTGATCCACAGCAAAATCACGATTTTAACCCATATGATGATGTCAAAATCACAATTGAAATTGAAACCATATCAACGTCATGACTGCAAAACCAGGCCACAACCACAATAAATCATACAGTATCTGAATATATCTGAATCATATCGAAATCATTTAAAGAGATTCTGTTTGAAAACCCTCCATCGAGGCAGCTAATATATTAAGTTATAAGACCTCCGATGTGCCCAGTGGCGCGCGTAGCCGTACATCCCTGGAATTTCCTGATCTGGTCATGGTGACAATGGACATTTGGTGCTGATTGTCTGTTTCATCTTTATGGACCTCTATGTTATTTCAGAAATCAAGTGGATCATCACAAATACCAATCTGAACCTTTGAAACTACGAATACCCTCTGGTAAACGAGCAAGCTATAGAAATTCACCATTTTGAATTTTGAATCGGTAAATCAACTCTAAATGGATATAAATGGGGTATTTTCAATGGCTATGTTAAATCACCAGAGGGTATTTCTATTGAAACCATCAACGAGGGCGGTTTCCGGCGAACATCCGGCGACCAGGAACCAAGAGACTCGACAGAGACCATGGTAATCTCATTATCATTAAGCACTCCTTCAAATAGGTGTAATGTGTATATAATAACCTCAGTGTGGGATGGCCATCCCCCAATATAATATGCAATCTAACTCTTGACTCCCGTTTGTTGAATATTGTTGATTACTCTATGTATCCAAGTTCAATCATAGTTGACCCCCAGATCTCCCATTGTTTCGCTGTGGGTCAAACCCTTGGACACCTTCCTGTTCACACCAAAAGAAATGTTTGTGGAAGTTCATCCCTTCCAAGAATCTGGCAAAATGGAGGTTTCCGAAGTCATCCGGGTCCAGTTATCAACAATTTTTCTTTGGGATTTTCATTCTAAACCAACCAGCTCTTGGGGTTCCCCTTCCGACAGCACGCCTCGTTTTCCGCCTTCCGCGACGCAGTGGAGCGCGCCAAGGCGGCTGGCAGGAGCCCTGTAAACTGCGGTGACCCCGGCTTATGATTTATTAACGGTGAACAACGCGTTCTGAAATTGTTTGTTGGCTGATGGGTGATTGAGTGGTTTGACCACTAAGAAAAATGCTGACATTGGGTGATATCGGGTGATATGTTGGTGAAACCCCTGATATTGGGTCTAATATCATCAACTTGAGGAGTTCACAGGGAGATTTGAACCCCATCTCAACAAATCAATTCATAAAAAGTGTCGATGCTGAATGTGTGTGCTTTAGCAAACCTTGATACAGTACAGTAGCCCAATTAAAGACGCCAGGCGGACTGCCACCTTGCAGTGACAGAAAGAGAAGAGAGAGAGAGAGAGAGAGCAGAACCACGTATCAATGAACAGGATATATGATATCTCAAATAATATATATATATTATGTATATATATATATATATTATGTATATATATATATATATGTATATACATCTATTATTTTCATATATCATATATATATATACTTATTATATTGTATAAAATGTATATAACATGTACATATCATACATATATATATAATATGTAAATATCACATACACATCATATATATATAAATAAATGTATATATATATATATTATGTAATGTATATATAATATGTGTATATATATATGTCATATAGAATATATATATGTATATCATCTAGAAAATACATATATATATATAAACCATATACATATTATATATACATGACGTATGTATGTATGTATGTATGTATGTATGTATGTATGTATGTATGTATGTATGTATGTATGTATGTATGTATGTATGTATGTATGTATGTATGTATGTATGTATGTATGTATGTATGTATGTATGTATGTATGTATGTATGTATGTATGTATGTATGTATGTATGTATGTATGTATGTATGTATGTATGTATGTATGTATGTATGTATGTATGTATGTATGTATGTATGTATGTATGTATGTATGTATGTATGTATGTATGTATGTATGTATGTATGTATGTATGTATGTATGTATGTAATGTATGTAATGTATGTATGTCATGTCATGTATGTATGTATGTATGTATGTACGTACGTACGTAGGTAGGTAGGTAGGTATGTATGTATGTATGTGTATGTGTATCTGTATGTATATGTATATGTATATGTACATGTATATGTATGTGCGTGTATGTGTATATGTATACGTATATAATATTGTGTACAATGTATCGATATATATATATATATTATATACATACCATATCACAATTATGTATATATATATCAACTGTATCGTACTGTATTCACATAATATATACATACATTTACATATATATATATATGTCATGAATAAACAAACCAAACCGATTCTCCACTGCCTTCTACAGTACCTCCCAAGCCTTTTTCCCTATGGGCCTGATTCATCTGTATGCTGGAAGAAGCGTCCAGCCAAGTCCACAGAAGGACTGCCGCGCTGCTGCAAAGAGGCCTGGGGCGGTTTCCGACAATGGGGGTACCCCAATAGCTGAATGCGACTGGATTATCACTGGGGGTATCACCACCCATTTTAGGAAACCTCCAATGTTTTTTGGAGGGATGGTTCCAACAAAAAGAAGTAGACTTTTCCCAAGCCATCACATGTTTCTAAAGGGTATTATATGTGGCTACTGTAAATGAGTGGTGGATCCAATGTGGGCTGGTTTATACCCTGGAGCCCTGGCCAAAATACGTTCCAAGGATAAATTGCCTGAAATCAATCGCCTGTGAAACGTGTCCCCTCCTGTAATCATTCATGGTTTGCCGGAAAATCCGCCATTTATAGAATATTTATCCAATCAAAACGAATCAAAACATATTAAACCCCCATTTATGAGGTTTATGAAGGATTTCCCAGCTTGCCATGTTTAAGGACACCGGAGAGTAATCCCTCAACGTGTCATCTCCTCTCTGACTCTTTAGGTCCCCGCCAGCAAGCTACTTGCGTTGCTGAAGGGTACAGGAGAAGGAATGTCCTGAAGGGAAGAAGCTGGGGGAGTTGTTGGCAAACTCCACCAATTTGTAGATCATTTTCCTAGGGATTTCGGCGCGTTTTCTACATCTACGTTGGTTTAGAGCACGGTACTCTCTGTTAAAAGTAAACCTGCAATGGAACAGTCCCAATGTTTTTGAATGGTTCTTGTAGATGGTTTAGCTATTGGACATGCCGACTTCTATGAAAAACTCTGTAAAGTGAGGGGTGGCCACTATAGTCCTTTACTTCTCTAGTTGCAGGATCCATCTCAAAAGCTGTTTCCCAGAACTAGGGCTGCCACTCCGAATGTCTTAGAAATTCAATCACAGACTGTAGCCCAATCAAAACATCACGTGTACTTATAGTCAAGTCCAAAAAAAATAACCATTTATCACTAAGTCACAAGGATTTGACCAACATTTACCACCTATCTTTTTGAGGACTTCGTATGCTTCGCGTTATTCCCCATTCACCCGCGCCTGAGCCACTCTCACCTCGGTTTCGAATCACAAGCCCGTAACTGTATATGATATGTTATGATATAGTACATCTATGATATGGTATAAAATAATATATTATCATGTATTTACATGTATTTACTATATAATATGATATGCTATGAATCTTATAATAATTTACGATATACTTTGATCATCTTTGATATTTATATACTATAGAAAATGCATGGTGTGTAAAACAACTTGAGACATCCCACGGGGCAAACCAAGAACTTGCCCGGCCATAGACGTTGCCAGGCTGCGGCTTCAGTGCTGAAACTTGGCCATGCAAAGCCTGAAACTTGGCGACGGGAGCACAGCAATTGAGTGACTGTGTCAGCATGTGTAGTTTGAGGACCAGACTAAACAGTATATTCAAAACAATGTCTATAGTTCATTCTAGTTGTTTGTTTTACTCTTCCTCTGTAAGACTATAGTTCTGAGGTTCAATTTATTTCTTCATCATGTGATGTAAAAAGTTTCTAGATCCAGCAAAATATACGTCACTTCTCCAGCTGGCCCGCCTTGCCCTGCGAAACATGTCATTAGGACCTCAGCGGATTTGCCGCGAAAACTAGAACCCAAGTCCATGACTTAGTATTGAAACAAACATGCTGACTTGGGGATCCCCCATGACTTAAAAACCCCTCCATATAGTCTCCTGGACTTAGGTCAAAAATGTATGAGCTTGTACTTTGATATCATGTTTATCTCCTGACATGCACATCAGTCCCGGTTGTGGGCCCCAATGATTCTGTAAATTCAACCATTTTGGGTCACTTGACTGGGGGTTGACTTTTTGTTATATATATATTTTTTTAATATGTACATACATAATCATACATATATTTATATCTACAGATTATATCGGTCATTAAAAGCAGGGAGGTTTATCCATTGCAGAGCAAATCAAACAACCTTCCAAATAGCTACTGACCTTTCAAACAATTAGCAAAGGGCATCTGCATTAACATCTTCAAGAAGAGTCTCTGACAAACCAAATTGACAACGTGGAGCAACATTAAAGCCGTGACTAAGCCAACCGCATAAACAAACTATTTCTCTACAAAATCCTGTGCAGCCTGAAGACTCCTGAAAATGGGTTACTTGCATATCCCCTGTCAACACACTGGGCTGCCCAACAGCTTCCGCAAATGCGGGCTCCGAAGTTGACACCTGCTGCGCAGGAGAAGGCCACGTGCTAATTGTATTGCCAAACGTGTTTCCCCGAAATTTTGCACCTATATATTCTGTGTAAATATGATTGTGTATGTATGAAAAATATTATATATATATATACTTCCGATTTAGATTTATATGTTCATTGATATTTGTTTTGCAATATCCAACATGCATATGTACGTGTATATATGATTATATATGTATATGTATATGTACATACGTATGTATTTATAATTATAAGTATAAGTATGTGTATGTGTATGTGTATATGTATATGTATAGATATATGTGTCTACGTATACGTATACGTACGTCTTACATGCATATCACTTACAGTGTGTATAATAAATTAAGAGGGCGGCACCCCGTGGGGAGTGAATTTTCATTAAAAATGATGATAAAACACTGTAAATACCGATGTTTTATGCATTTGGAGGGTCTAAAACCCTAGTAAAACACACGTTTTTCATCATGATCTTGACATGAGATATACAAAAACATTGACAGGCACCAAAAAAACAAAAAAAACAAACCACTAGATGCACCAAACATTGACAGGCACCAAAAAAAAAAATCAGCAACTACTCAGAAGTGGACCCATAGTTCCTGGAAATTTTAGTTTTTTTGTTTTTTTTGGTGCCTGTGCAGGTTTGGTGCATCTAGTGGTTTGTTTTTTTTGTTTTTTTTGGTGCCTGTGCAGGTTTGGTGACTCTGACTTCACAAAACATTGGCAGGCACCAAAAAAAAACAAAAAATCCAGCAACTACTCAGAAGTGGACCCATAGTTTCTGGAAATTTAGTCTTTTATTTTTTTTTGGTGCCTTTGCAGGTTTGGTGCATCTAGTGTTGTTTTTTTTGTTTTTTTTTGGTGCTTGTGCAGGTTTGGTGCATCTATTGGTTTGTTTTTTTTGATGCCTGTGCAGGTTTTGGTGATTCTAGATTGTGTATGTTTGGATCTTGGCCATATTTTAAACTTTCACAGAAACAAACATACCGTTATCTTTGAATAGCTATTCCACCACACAGGTTGCCTGACCTTAATATTCAACAGCTTGACACACGTCTTTGTCTCTTAGGCTTTCTCTCTCTCTCTCTGTCTAACTATTGAAATGAGACTGCTGACAAGACTCTGCAAGATAACAATGATAAACGAGATATGTACCTACTTCTTGAATTGTAACATTCCCACCATCCTTCTTATCCAGAGTGTTAGATGTGCTTGTGTTATTTCCACCTATATAATGTATGCCCTTCCCACCGTACTTCTTATGTAGCGCAAATGCTTCTATATACAATATATATATATATATGCTAAGATGATATCAATCTAACAAGTTCATGAAGAAACACCTATATCATATCAATTGCTTTTAGCAATAGAATTTCTCCATCACCTCCATCACACTAGTCACCTATTGCTACTGTATATTCTGTTCCAAGATGTGCAGCTACCCATTCTTATGGCATGTTGTGCAGCAGATGTTTTCTGTTGTGTGCTGATTGTTTGTAGTTCTTTGCAAGCCTCACAGGAAAAATTGAATCCTGCCACAAGAGTCTGTAAATGCCAGTGATTTATGACAGCATATGAGAGCCTTTGGAGGTGAACTCTATTTTTTGCTCTAAAATAACGGTTTTAAGCCAACTTTGGTCACAAAACACTGTAAATACCAGTATTTTTGACCATTTTTAGAGCAAAAATCACTCCCCCATGAGGGGCCGTTCTGTAAATTAAATACCACGGCCAGGACGGGGCTGCTGCCCAGGGAAGTGCGTTTTGACTGCACAGGGCCAGTTTTTTATGCATTTTGGGATGTCGGCCGTCGGCGGATTACCCAAATGGCTCACGCACCAAATCTACAATCCACTGCCCCCAGCTTTGGGGGTCCAAACGCTTCAGCCGCTAACCCCAGTGTTGGGGTACAGGAAGGCGTCAAGAATTCTCATAGCACGGTAGGCAAGGTTGCTGTTTTCTTTTTTGTGTTTTTTTGACACGTTTTGAATATTTTGCACGCCGCCGCATTAATGCATCAATTAACAAATGATCCAGCATTCAAAAGGCACGCAAGCAAGTGTGAAGAAGCGTTGAATATAAATGGTTTGAGCTGCCGGCAAGGGGAGAATATGAACGCTGAAGGGAAGAAACAACACAGAAGGAGGAGGAACAAGAGGAAGGAAAAATATCAACAATGACTTGAAACCAAAGGGCGGGTGGGTTGTAGCAAGCAAAGGTAACAACCCAAGGAAGTAATATCACTGGCAAACAGAGCTTTGACCATAAATCCTAAACCCTGAATCTGACATAACACCGGAAGTAAGCCCTGAAAATAAAATCGTACTAAAACCGTGGTGAAAAAATAAACAACCAACCGAAAACCCTCAATGAAACCCTAAACAAACCCGATACAAACTGTAGACAAACCCTAAAGAGTTGGTCACATGATAAACCTCTGGGCGGCACCCCCGGCCTAGGGGTAATATTGCATGCATGTGATATATTTATAATACATGTGCGACCGTTCTTTTGGAGCTTCTGAGCGAACCAAATTTGATTAACAGGGACTAGATGTGCAATGGTCAAGTTACATGGGATGGACATCCCACCATTAAATTCGGAATTTCTTATCATGGGTGTATCATGGCAAATAAATCCCTATAGACAGACGAACTTTCCCCAAATTAAAGGGCAAATTGCCCTTCTGTCATCAAACATGGCTAGCTGGACAATCCATGACAATCCAAGATTATTATAAATGATCATAGATGATTTTTTCCCATTAAAGAAAAAAACAACGCGCAAGGGATTTAAACATTGCCTCGTTTGATGACCGGAGGGTCCCCAAGTTTTGACCAAGGCTTGGAGCCTGGGTGTTGAGGACGGCTCCAGGGTTCACCGTGGAGAGATCCTGGCAGGGGAGGTGACTCTCTCAAGAAACTGTAGGTGAATATAGCCCATTACTATATTTAAAAAATATCTATATATAATAAAATAAGGTGTATATATATATATATACATACAATAAATAAATAAATATATATATGTATATTGATAATATCTATATCCATATCTATCTATATATAATATGAAATGATCATGTATACTGTATATATATATATATTTATATTTTTTATATATTTAATATATATAATATATACATGAGATAATAATGTATATATAAAATATATTATATATCTTGTATATATTAAATATATAATAAAATAATATAATATAATATCAAATAATATAAAATACTAAAATATAGTATAATAATTTATAATAATAAATAATAATATGTAATAATATATAATGATGTATAATGATATATAATAATAAATAATAATTTACAATAATAAATAATAATATAATACAATAATATACAATATAAAAATATATAATATAATACAATATAATATAATTTAATATAATATAATATAGTATAATATAATAAAATAAAATAGAATAGAATATAATATACTATAATATCTATCTATCTATCTATCGATCTATCTATCTATCTATAATTAATATGAAACCATAATGTATACTGTATATTATATATATATATAATCAACAAATATATAAAATGATAATGTATAATGTATATATCATATATATATAAATATAATAAATATATAGTTAATATATATATATATGTGTACAAGATATACATATATTTACAGTATAAAGATATATATATATATACATATAGAGAGAGATTTTTTAATTGATAATATATCCATCTACCTATCTATCTATCTATCTATCTGTCTATCTACCTATCTCTCTATCTTTCTAGCTAGCTAGCTATCTATCTGTCTATCTATCTATCTATCCATCTATCTATCTATCTGTCTATCTATCTATCTATATATATATATATACATATATGCGGTTTCCATAAATGCAGGATTTCCGCACAAATGGGGGAATTCCCAATAGCTGGTTGGTTTGGAATAGAGAATCCGAAAATCAAATGGGTGAATTAGAGGTACGACCCATTTTCGGAAACCTATGGAAACCTCCATATATCATACATCACCATTTTCCCACTTTCAAGTAAGTTACCAATCATATCCTGCTGTAGTTGACTTCTGTCCTGCATCCTCATCATTGCTTTATCGTAACATTGGGCAGATTTGGGTTAATCACGTGCAAACAAATGTGGTGAATAAGTACCCGCCGACGTTTGGACGGTCAATTGAGCAATTGGGCAATTGACAATATTGAATAATAATAAGAAAACTAGTAGTTACGGCCCCTGATGCACGATCGACAAGCTATACAAGTGGCAAAGTTGATCTCAATGACTCAATGGGGTATCGTCTTCCCTTGAGAGCAACGAATCCCTGAACCAACCAAAACCAAAACCATGATTTCCCCTCTATGCTGAAACTACTGGAAATCCTAGAATAACATGAAACAACCATTCGATGCGGTTGAACATGATTGGAAAAATCAGTTCTTAAGTTCCCAACAAAAGATCGTGTCCCCAAAAATCCACTGATGTTAAGTTCATATTAATACGCAACCCGAATTAATCAACACCCACAATCCCAAAAAATGTTTGGCAATACTACTTTGGGTTGGTCGCTCCCTATTAGACCATTAAAGTTTCATTGTATCTTGACTACCATAAAATTAAAAAAAATGAGCAGGGTGTTGCTTACTAGGGGGTCGCACATGTTTATTTAATTGCTTTTAAATGGTTGAAAAAGTAATGTTTTGAAGCGATGTCCCGTGCCCGATCTCACCATTACACCCCATTGGGAGGCAGGTTGCCACTCAAAAGAAAAATCTCGACCCATTGGCAGGCAGGCTAGTTGTTTTTTCTTTTTATGTATGACAAACCCTAGTTTTTTGATTGGGGGGACTCTTTTACCTTCTAGAGGAGGGTTGTTAATACGAACTTGGCATTATCAAAATTACTATTTTGGGGGTACCCGTCGTTTTCAGACAAACCCGGATCTTAAAAAAATGATCGTATATAAATAACCCCAAAAAATCAAGTAAATACATGAATATATATATAATTAAATATATATAAATATATATAAATAGTTAATAAGTTATAATGTCAAGTTAGGACTAACCCTCACGGGCAGCATGTTTTGGCAATATCAAAATGAGTTGAAATAAACCACCACATGGAAAATACTGTTTTTTTTGTTTGTCACATTGGGACATGCAGTCACATGCTTTGAACACCACTCCTTTCAAGTCTCACACAGAGCTTTGACTCTGACAAACCTCTGGCAAAGATTCCCCCATAAGGTTGTGCTGGCTCAACACAAACTACAATCATACGAGTTGAGTAATCAATTGCTTTGTTGGATTGGCACCAGCCTTTCTGTGACTTTGCAGCCACAGACTTTGCACTCAAGCATTCTTTCTCTTGTGTGCCGTGCATGCAGGTGTTTATGCTGCTGTAAGCACACCCAAAAAGGGGACATCTTAATTTGCCGATATGGCAAGGCCTTCAGGTGTATATGTACCCATGCTCACTTGAGTCCAAACGGCGGGACTGAGCTCAGAAAAGCCCTTTCCACGTGCCCCTGGAACAGCTTGACAAGGGAGGGAGCCTACCTTGTTGAAAAGGACGGTAGGAGGAGACCAGCTTCTTAGTGTGTTTAGAGGCAAAGAGACAGTAGGGATCTGAGCAACGGCATCACATAGGTAAAGTTTGGCAACGCTTACACTGGCCCATCAACCTTGCAATATTTTTTTTCTCCATCAAGCCAGACTTTTTGAAATAAGCCGTGGCGTCCCTCTTCTCAGTGAGTAACTGCAGAACCCCAGGTGGGATACTTTATTAAAGCAAACGCATAGGGCCTCAAATCGTTTGCGGAAGGCAGTAGCGGATTCTATACTCAAATAGGTACTCGTATGAGCTGTTGAGCTCGTTTCACTACCATCATGTCACGCAAGATATCCACTAGACACTAATAGGCTCTTCAATCGTGATTGATTCCTGAAGCTTGTGACGACTATGCCCCTTTGAAGTTGGGAGCCGGACAATACCTTTTCACGTGCCGCTGAGAAAATCGCACGGCCGCACAGCCAGCAATTCCCCAGTACGCAAGAAACAATGGTAGCCCACTCCAAGTAGGGCTGCCATGGAAAAATGACCATCTGGGAGCTCCTTTGATATCATTGCCCATACTACAGATCCTCTGTGATTGGTGGAGCGCGACTTGGCACTTCCACCTTACGCCAGATGCTGAAAAGCTTCCAGCTCAAGTGTAGCCTTCGCTTTGTAACGGGCAAGAAATAATGAAGCCCTTAAGCCTGTCAGCCATGCACGGTATTGAGTTGAGCCCCAGAATGAAACATGGTTTCAACCCAGTCAGCAGCTGCATCATCCATGTCTTCAACGGTTCGACACTTTTCAATGACTGCAAAAACCCTGGACACAGCAAGATAATAGCGAGCTTGCGTCTTTTGGGTGATCCCGACATTCTCCGTACTTTCCACGTGAACCAGAACCGGCAGCAGCGAGAAACCCAATTGATAGGCTGCGACCTTCTTCAATGATCGACATCAGCATGGCACTGCTCGAACAACCCTTGGAAATAGCAATCATACTAACATACGAATCGGTTAGATGAATAAACCTACAGTCAACCTCAGCCAGGTGAGAAACACGACAACGAAGAGCAAGTAGGATACTGCACAATTCCAACCGGTTGTGCTTTAACCGCCCAACGGCAACTGAAAACACCACGCCAAGACCACCATGAAGCGGAAGCACTTTGCCTGGGGAAAGCCTGTGGGTTCATGACGTTACCTGAGGAGACCCGAATATCTGACCCTGTGTGATTAACCCTATATAGTTAACAGAGTTCTGGTGAGGTGCTCAGCCCTCAGGGTCCTGTCAAATCCGTGGCCATAGACAAGCGCACGCCGCAGTGGACAGCGTTGGTCAAGTGGAGCGGCGAACCCTGGGGGCCAGTCCCATCCGATCACATAGATGCGAATATGACGTCGCCGGCATGAACTCCCCCAGCAAAAATCACGAACGAATAAATGCTAAAAGAATCTCCCAGCAGCCTACACCGTTCATGTTCGCACGCAACGTTTGATGTCACTGGCACTATAGCGCAGCGAGGTGTGCTGCCAACCGTAACCATGAAGGAGTTCACGTTCTTCGGCCGGTAGAAGCCGCCACTTGTCTGCTTTCCACAGAACTTATCCTTCCTTTTACTGGTAAGGCGGATATCCTGTAGTCATCACGCACTCCCACCTGGCCACAGTGTCTTGATCACAGCGGCTGAACCCCGCAGGGGCAGGCGGAGGCCGTGTGCGGACAATGCTCTTTATTGCCTCGGTTTTCACACCGGACCAGCCTGGTCCTTCGCCGCAACCGGGTTCCGCGAGCCCAGCTCCAAAGGCGCGCAGTGCACGGACTTCCCTAGCCGCGTTCAGGACCAAGTTGTTGCCAATCGCCCGCAACCCCGCCGCCCAGACCAGCGGTTGCAGGGCTCACGCTCCATCAACCCCCAGGCAGAGCAGCCAGCGCACCAGGTGTCGTCGGCCAACCGCGGTGACCCCCGACACTTCACACAAACGCCGCTCATCCAAGGAAGTTCAAGAACAGAGCTATTAAGCGAAACAGCCACAGGGATTATGTCAGCTTTCATGCAAGATGTCGAGACGACTTTCAATGACTTTGCAGTCGCAGGCTCAGTCTCCCAGTCTTGGTTCGAACCAAATTCTTGGCTAATTTATTTTTAGAAAAATGATCAAATTCTTGATTAACGCTTTGAGAAGCTCCCAAAGGGTACCCGTCATGAGCACATGTCTCCCCCCAAACATAAGCAGGGTTACCCCTAATGAATCACCCCCCTTGGCCCCTTTAGATTTATTTTTGCTTTGAAAGGAAAATCAATTCAAAGTAAATTGATATCAATTGAATTCCGTGCTAACCCTTAGATTTCTTCTAAGTTTCTCAATTGAAAAAACTTGAAGTTAGATTGCTATCAATTTAAAATCTTTCTAATCTTGAGATTTCTAGGTTTAATAAAAGGAAAATATTTGAAAGTAGATTGTTATCAAGTCAAAGTTGACCTCTTATAACTTCAACTTAGGAAGCCGATTGTTTAGGGGAAAAACCTTAGCAGAACCATCTCTCTAGATACCTACCTTCCAGGGGGGGTGATGAAAACGAACTTGACATTATATATAACTATTGAATATAATAAATATAACATGTATAGATATAAATAAAAAAAGTAATTAATGAAAAAAATATATATATATATATTTATGAAAATTTATATGAGTAAATATCCCCGTTGTATGTCCGATTCAGAAGTTAATACTGCTTGATAGCCCATACTTGATCAATCAAACACACCCAAAAATCATTGAATCAAACATCAGAAATTGTTGTTGGTGATAAATACAAATATATATATATATATATATATATATAAATGTCTCAGTACGTCTCAGTATATCCCTGGGATATCCATAAATATCCCCGTGTTCCGAGTGAATCTCCCCATGTTCTTTTGTCAAGTCCCTTGCCTCGCCTGCAAGACGAGGGCGAAGATCGTCGTTAAGGCGCTTCCGGTCAGCATCGCCACAGTCATCAACCTCAAAAAGCCAGGATCTGGCGCAAAAAGGGATAAAACAAATGTGTATATATATATATATGCATATGTATATTTAAAAAACTAAGAAACTAAGTAAACATATAAATTAAGAAAAAATCTCGCAACAATAAATAAATAATATATATATATACATTCTTAATATATAAATAGAAATATACATACATACTGTGATTGGATAGCGGGCCCCCTTATCAATCTTCCAATCCACCACCAAGCGGCCACCTGACCAACACGCACGGCCTCGTGCTTTTGCCACTCGCTTCCAGCAGTAATCCCTATACTGCAAGGCTGTCCACAGCCAAAAGGAACCAGCAGCCTATGGCTAAGGCAATGACCCTCCCACCACGTCTCCAGGGCTCTCTCGAGCATACCGCATACATGCCTTTGGAAAGGAAAGTGGAGTGTTCTGAAAGACCTGGTTGTTCCCGTGGTGCCTCCAAGTTAACAAGATGTGCAACTGAGCTCGATTCACATTCGCAAACTTGAAAATTTTATAAGTCTGAATTTGATCTGCAGCGGATCTCAGCCACTTCAAACGAATCCGTGCTGATGCCCTGTTCTTTAGAACTTCGTTTTCATCATGCAAGCAAAAACGACCTTGTCTTAGCGTTTCCCTAAGGAAGTTGCCTTCCATGACTTTAGTATGTGCATCTGCTAATTGGGCCCCCGAATGTGCCCAATGAAGATCCCTTCAGCTAGAGTTGGATGGACTCAGGTTGTTGCCACTTAATCTTTGGGTTATCATCCAAGCCTGGTATAGCCGAACCCATGTCAGTTGATCGAGTGCAGTTGAGAGTGCTGATGTCTCGGCTGACAACGTGCTTGTCACTACTCGCTGAATTTTCTTCGTTCCCCAAGATATTGGACTGATCAAGCAAGATTTGTTCTGGGAAATGTCCTTATGGGTCGCTAGGATTATCATTCCTGCGTGGGATTCTGGTTTGGATTTGGGTGCAAACGATGCGTCCAAAAAGGCAATAAAGCGAAGATCCTCGGGTCGAATTGGATGTATCGTGATAGTGACGTCGTTATGTTTCTTGGCTGTGTGAAGGGTTTTGTTCGCCATGATAAGTGTCTGTACTGTTCCATTGTTCACCTGCTTGCAAAAGAGGCAGGGAGCTAACTAAATCAGGCCGGGTGTGGACAGCAGCGTACTGCAAGGATCCGATTAAACCTCAAAGTAGATGACGTTCTGCTTTGGTCACCGGCTCATTCTCTTGTGCTCTGCGCTCAGGTTTGAGACCACATATCTGGATTGTGATAAGGTGATGGTGTTATCTGTATTCTGTTGAAGGTCAATTCCAGTAAAGGTGAAAGTTCTTGATTTCTTTGATCCAAATGGGTATGTAGCTTCTAATGTTGCTTTGGTAGCTAAGGGACTTTTAGTGTCTCTAAGGGTGTAAAACGATTTTTGGTCCTGACAGAGCTTGAGCTCACTAGGCTTTCCACTCAAACTGCCATCAAATCTGAAATAAAAGAGCTAGACAACCAAGATCTACTGAAGCATGACTAATGTACAACTCTTGAGGTATAAATGCAACATGTCAGTGCCAGAAAATGGCCCGAAGCAGCGTGGATCAAAACCAAAAACCAGATTGGACTCCATTCCGCGAATTTCCGCGTTTGTTCCGCAAATTTCCGCGTTTGTTCCGGGAAATTCCGCGTTTGTTTCTGGCGGGATTGTGTTCAAAAAATGGAATGTCCCAATTCACCCATAAACACGGCTGAAAAGCAATGCCACAGGTTGCTAAAGGCCTTTAACCACCCAACCAATTCCAGGTGAGTGCAAGCCACAATGCCCCATCACAAGATTTTGTAGTGGGATCTATCATGGCGTAGTGACACTTGCGGAAATTATGATTCTTTCCCACAAAGTCTTATTTGTTCCCTTGCTTCATGACGGCCCAAACGGCCAAACAAGCAAACAATGCCTAGCGTACTCAAAATATGAAGATGTTCAAAAAACGTCTTTGATTCTGAAAATATATAAACAAATGTATTTGTTTGCAAAAAAACAATCTTTTCGAAACAAATACATAAATTATGCATACTTATGGCTGCCTAGGTATATATATATAATATGTAAATATGCTTGGTTTAGCCAAGGCTTCGTAAATCAACAATAATCTGTGTGGTTTCATGTGAATTTGAGGATCAACCAAAACGCGTTGGCTGGATCCCCAGCCGATCTTTGGGATGCCCCTTGGATAAGAATTTGTTCTGTTGCTTCGTGATGGTCGGAACCCCAAAAAATGCGAACAAGAAGAACTTCTAAATACAGTATTTTCAACAAACATATACAAATATCAAAAACAACAAATAAATACACATAATATCACATCAAACTTGGATTTCAAAGGTCCGGACCAGTGACTGATTCACTGAGCACCAAACCCTGCACTGTACCAAGCAGCGCTGGTGATCCGCAAGATTCTGAAGTCCTCCCACCAAGAATCGACATCACGCCAGGTTGATTTAATGGGTTTTGTACGTTTTTAAACCCAAAAAGGGAATGTAACATGATATTCCCAGGAATTGTATGAAATTAACCATTGAACCTTGGCATGTAATGTAACCAACCTTTAAGCTTCACTCACCAGATTGGTTTAAGAAAAAATGTAATACCACATACAGGAGCACATGGTGCTGACAGTACAAAGCCCAAGGGGGGTCCTGTGAATTTCCCTGAAACCATTCTAGGATGGCATGATCAGCTATGCATCTAAGCAACCAACTGAATCTCCGTGTCGTGCCAGCAGCATGATCAGCATGATATGAGGTGTTGGCTCATGTGGATATTCAACGCCCACTCCTGCTTCATGTCATCACCTCAAAACCCACCGAAATGAACCGAACTCCAGCGAACACCCCGAGATGACACGAAAATGTCCTCCAGATCCCCAGTCTCTGTCTCAGGTCCTGCGTCCGCAGATCAAAGCTCATGCTTGCACATCCCAAAGTATTAGATTATAGCAACCTAGACCCTTCAAATAGCCGAAACAAATGGTAAAAACATGGTAAGAGTCCTAAAATTGATGGTGACAAACGGCGTCTAGGAACCCGCAAAAGAGATGGAAGCTAGCAATTTGCCACTCTTCCCTAGTTGAATTTATCTTGCCTTTGGTTGCTACAAGTGATGGCAAAATTAGTCCCCATAATGTGGTAAACCCAATAATAAACCATCCCCTATATATACATATATATATATAAAATTATTGGGTATACGGTATACCCATGTTTGGGATGATGTAAAATCACCCCCAATGGTTGGTTAATCGGATTGTTCATTAGTGTACCATCCCACAAGCATTCTGGTCGAACATGGAAAAGAAATTGAAACCACCAACCAAAAGAATTGGATTCACAATGTTTCATGCCATACACGCCTACAAAGTGACCTATAGATAGATAGGTGATAGGTGTATCAACTAATATATATATATATTATGTATATACAAGAGTATATCCTTATATACGAGTAAAATATGATGATCTATACGCTTAGTATGGCTTCTTGTCAGTAGGTTTACGGATGGGCTTATATTAGGGATGCATCTGTAGTTAGATGCAGCTGGATCACCTGTGGAGCAGGGAATCACCCCATGTGACTGGGATTTAATTGTGAGTGTAGGGACTTGACACCATCATGTGGTTGGAAACTTGATTCATAGCTCCGACTGGCTCCCCATCTGTTGATTTTAAGAAAGATATAGAAAGATAATATCTCCAGAACCGCTTCCTCCCAACCACCAGAAAGCCAATGAAAGCCGTGTCATCCCGTCTTTTCCAAACTCCCCTAGTCCGCCCTGGTCTGCCATCCCACCTCCCCACGCCACGCGAGAGATCTGTGCATGATCCCGCCTGAGGTTCTGGGTTCAACCGGGGTTCAACCGGGAAATCTGGGCTCTGCCTGTGGATTGCGAACTGTTGCCATCAGCAGCACCACTTTCCAGTGCCATTGATTTCGGCTTCCCGGCGCCGCGTCATTCACCACACACCCCAGGACTTCGAGGCGCGAAGGCTGCGAAGCCACCTGAACGGTGGATTTTTTTTCAACGGTGGAAACACACAAAAACTGAAGATGTCAGTAGGAATTCTATCAACAAATCACGGCATTTAGTGGAATTTATATAAGCAACAAATTGAATTGTGGGATTTAGAGAAAATTGATCGACACATCATGGGATATGGAATTAAAATTATATAATTTAATTAAAGCAACTTATTGTGGGATTTAGAGGAATTTAACGGAATTTAACCCGCAAATGATGGGATTTAATGGGATTCAACCAACAAAGAATGGGATTTAGGGTTGGTTTAGGGTTGACGGCGGTGGGGCAGAAGCTATATGGTGAGGGGGTGCCGAGATTAAGCATGCAAGATGATGGAAGGGGGAACGGTATCTAACCAACAGAGATTGTGATTTTCCGGATTTTAAGCTAAAAAACACACACAAAAAACTACAAAGCTAGGATCTTTAACTAACAAACGATTCAGAATGGACCAACACGACATGGATTTTAAGCAAACATATTTAAAGATATGTCACCAAAGGCTATGTTTTGAAGCCAACAAAATCAAGGAAATATGAGCAACCTCCACCCCCACCGTGACTGGCGCGAATGAGTTAAGGAGAAATCTACTGGAAAACAGCTGTTTTATCATGCTTTACAGTATCATTCAGTGTGATGCATTGCTGTACAAAGAAGTGTCTATGCAATTTGGGGGGGGCTAGAATAGTCCCCAAACATGGAAAAACATGAAACCCAATCTTGTTACAATATTACACGATTCTTTTGGGGTGCACAATTGGATAGACTCTGAACGACTGGATATGAATGAGATTTTGTTTGGAATATTCATGGATATGACAGGCAGGCAGTTTGTTTATTTGATTACACTATATGTATGTAAGTGTGAAAAAATGATCCAAGTGCAGCAAGCAGCAGAGGCACCAACCTACTCTCCTTGTTTTCCGGGGCAGGGGTTGGTGCCAGTTTGTCATGGTTCCCTTTGACTGGGACTGGTGTACTGTTCCTGTAGTGTCAAAATCCAATCAACCAGGTGTGCCAGGTCGATGATTTCCGCCATTCACAAATCGACTGGTCACATCTGAAGGAGGGGGTGAAAGGGAACAGGACAACCCACCGAATCCGGTCACGGGATTATGGGTGGGAAACTGGGAAAAGTCTATATCCAGGTGAGAGGTGAGCCTGGGCAAAAGTTTGAGCTGTACAAAAAGATCACTCACATCGAGAGAGCTCTGGAGCGAAGCCACCGTAGAGCGGGTGCGTGAGGTCATCAGCCGCAGGCCCTGAAGGCGGAAGGGTCTGGCACTGCACCTGCTGGTTTTGTGCGGCCGGTGACCCATGCACCCACACACCAACCGGTTCGTTGGTGCTTAGATCCGGAGAATCATGCATTCAGTAAACTTGTTGCCTTTCCGGACTCTTTTCCTAGTGTGCCCAATTACTTGGTCAACATGTTACAGTCCTGTACTGAACAGAAATTGGCAGACCTGTTTTCTCGATTTATGCACCTTCCTCTCTCCGAGGCAGTCGTGAGGAGGATCCTAGAGGCATACATCCCAATGAAAGCTCAATGCCAACAAATGCATGATTCTCCGGATCTAAGCACCAACGAACCGGTTGGTGTGTGGGTGCATGGGTCACCGGCCGCACAAAACCAGCAGGTGCAGTGCCAGACCCTTCCGCCTTCAGGGCCTGCGGCGCCTGTTCGGCTTCTGGGTAGCCTCAGCTCACTGCAGTTGCAACTCCAAGGCCACCTCGATGCACTGCGTCCACATCCATGGGTGCTGCAACCTCTTCGGGCTGAGTCTCCGTGTCCATGGGAGCGGGTTGGCGGTCATCATTGCCAGAAATGTTCAAATCCACTATGCGAGAGATGGTTTCCTGCAGGTCGTTCATCTTGGCCTGGAGATCAGCTGCAATCTCTTCACCTGGGACCACTGGTCGTGCAAGGAAGTCCGCCGCTTCATCTTGGGCTTGTATCAAAGCATTCGAAATCACTTCCCGATCTTCGCCCGATGAAACCGACATGATCGAAAAGCAGCGAGAGGGGAATGAAAGCAAAAATATGCAAAAACCCTTTCAAAAACCTGTCCAGGGGACACAACTGGGTTATGCTTGAGCCAAAATGTCCGGTGGACATTTTGGTTCAACATTCCACACATATGCCTTGCAACCGCAAGCTCAATGCAAGAATCAAATTCTTTGTAACATAGAGAATATGAAGGCAACTAATCTGCGTTGAGTTCACAATTCACACCAACTTTTTGAGTTCCATTGTCTACCTTCAAATAGTCTTCAAATGGAGCCCCCGAAGAGTCAAAGAACAGCTCGTGGTTGTTGAAGGAGTCAATGGAATTCATATAGCAGTTCAATTTAAGACCTTGAACGCCACCCCGAAGAACACAAGCAATAGGCCATTGCAAGAAAGGTACACAGTTCTTGTTGTATTCGAGAACAAACGTTCACTGGTCACCAACCAAAAACCATGTTTCATGGTCTCATGGTTACCTGTAAGTCCCCATGTTGTTGGATTCCAGTTCACCATCCCTCGTCCCTGCAACTTCCCCCTGGGTGCAGCGACCCAACAGGCTGCGATGGCAGAGCAAAGGGCAGTGACCCCAACGAAACTGCTCAAGAGACCAACCGCCCACCTGAGATGTTGGTAGAAACCCTGCGGGAGCTACGTCTGTGCACAGAACGTCGTTGAAACTGTGAAAGTTATGATCCAGAGAGCTGTCCGGCTGAGGACCTGAGGAGAAACGCATTGATATGTTGTGAGACAGGATTCCTATAGTATAGTGGTTCATATGTGTATATCATTGTATGTAGATGTATTATTATGGATGAATATGAATGACAATTATAGCCTTCCTCGAAGTAGATGTAACATGTCGACCTTCCCTTTGAGTTGGGGCTTGCAAAAATGTAGTGGTTCTCAAGGTCAAACTGTTAGTTGCGGGGATGGTCATCGCCAATAAACCAGCTAGAATAATCCCCTCTAGTACCCATTCAATGGGGTTTTAGTCAATGGTAAACTCCACAGAACGGTTGGGAATCATGCTCGATATGTTTTAGAGGAACCTCTCGCTCTCGACCCTCAGCATACCCACAGTGTATGAATTCGTGATGTCGTTATGCCCACGATCGCATCTTTCATGGCATTTGTATTTGTAAACATCTGGGTGAGTTCTGTAAGTGTCCAATCCGGATACCCCGAAAGTGCGCTGGATTTGTGTCTATATCCCAAATTCATCCAAAAGCAAACTAAACAAATTTACATAATTTCTGCATTTGGGTCTGTATTATGGATTCATTCTTGGATGTATTGATTTAGCAACCCACACAAAAACTGCGGATACTGCTGATGACACCCGCATCTTGGAGAGGGAGATAACCCAAGGTTTACCACAGTCCTCTGGCTTGGTAGTGGTCCTATTCATGGGGACCCAGTCATAGAAGCTACTAAAATAATGTAATGTATATATAAGTTGGCTATATCTCCCCCTTTCAGGATGGTAAAACTATATATAATCGGCCAATCTTTGATTCTAGTTCTAGTTTTAATGGTGAAATCATCAATCCATGTCGTTTTTTCCCAGTTTTGATGCTTAATTCCCGCATCACTCAGCACTTCCAGGTGACGGCATCCAATCTGCAGTGGCCCTCCACGTATGAGTGGATGCCTTGATCGCTTGGAGGCTTAGGCTCGGAAAAAAAAGGGAAAAAAAGTGGTATCAACTGGCTGGTGGTTTCAAAATCCTAAAAACTTGAAACATAGTTGAGCCATGTTGAAACATGTTGAAACGATGAAATCAATTTGGGATCAATCTCCCAGGTCGTTAGATGGACAAGGGACGGCCGACCATCCTACAAAACTGATCAAAGCACGCCTTTGTAAGTTGCTCCTGAACACATGAGCAACCAACTTTATCCTATAGATCCGTATAGCATCCTATAGCATCCTGAAGCATCATTTAGCATGGCAGACGTCATCATTTTGGTCAACTCCGGAACCAAGATCTTCAGTTGATGGTATTTCCGTGACAGAATTCCATTCTGAGTCATTCTGATGTTTGTTGGTTAAAGACTTCGGAAACACCCCATTGTCGTCACCTATACTCTATTTGAAAGACTATATGGTAGTGGAATGGCTGACCCCGTTGTGTAAGTCATAAAGGCTCTTCATTTCGAATTCTTCGCTTCAAACTCTTCAAAGAAAACACACCAACAGCTTCTCTGTTGTTGGGAATCTATAGATACTCAACAAAAAAACACAAATGGTTATGGATCAATACCTATTAATACCATTTTTAGGGGGATGAACATCCATTTACCAGCTATTTTGATGTTCACCAGGGGTACTATTGGTTTTGACCAATAGCCAAATGTGTTGGATCCAAGTAGTTCACATCTGGTCACATCTCCATGAATTGTCCATGCTGAAGCCATGTCCGACCTCCAGATGCGAAGAGATGTTGTCCAAGGCGTTGGACACTTCCTGGAGCAAATCTCAACATTTCCCAACTCTTCCAGGGAACTTCAAAACCACAAAAGTTGACGATATCACTATCACTAAGATTAAGTACGATTATAACAACATAATATAATATATATATAACATATATATAACATATACATATATATTACTATATTATATATACTGTATATATATGTTACATAAGTATACACATTGACATACACACTAAGAACCTATCGAACATCAGGATTTTCCAATGAATCATCCATTCATCCAAAATTGTGTTCACGTTCATTCAATCAACCCAAAGTTGGGTGGCTCAAAACAAGGGTATAGATCGCTACGCAGTGGTCCGTACGTATAGACCGAAGGAGTTGCGCACATGATCTCAAATGAATTCTATCTCTTCAAAAGGGTATGGATCAGGGGTATGGATCGCCTGTGCGTCCGGGGTATAGATCGGGACCTTGCATTTTGAGCTGCAGCCATATATATGAACATAATATGGATATCATTCCCTCTGAATATGGTCGTATACATATATACATATATATATATATATAGATATAATATATATATATCGCAGGCTGGTTGCTATGGATGTTCATTCATAAGCAGTTCATAGGTTTTGACCCGTCCTCCTCATCTCTCCACATTCTTTGTGGGTGCATCTTTCATGTTTCAATATTTTTTTGCTGGTAAATTCCTCATTTTTGGGCAGCTCAATACCAAACAAATGAGGTTTCTCATCCCCGGGGCCTCTAAGGCGACACCTTGCGCACTGGCATTCTCCGCAAGGACCTGCTGGAAGTGTACAAAACGTCCAGCAACATTGGATTTAACCCATTTAACCATCAAATACTGGGGATTATCATCATCAAATCATCAAACATTGGAAATTCAACTTCACTGAATTTTACGAATTATATGGAAATATGTGTTTATTCGATGGATCGCTTGAATCGAAAGGAAAATTGGTGGTAAAATCCATGGTTTCAATTGTTTCTGCCCAAAAGAGAACATGCCTTTTTTTCCCAACCGATGCGAGACTACAAACGGCAGGCACGGGTAAAGAAGCCTCTATGATAGACATTTATGGACTATGACACCAGAATTGTTAGAACATGTTTGAACTTAGAACACTAAGTCAATTTGCCATGTATCCACTGTATCCACCATTCACCTATGTTAATGTTCGAACTTTTCAAGGCAAAACCAAAGAGCTGCCAATTCAACAATTCAAAGCAAGGAAAATCATCCAAAATTCAAAGTCCTGCGGGGGGGGTACCTCAGGGGTGTCCTATTGAACATATGTTTAAAATTCTTTGATTTATTCTAATTGTTGTTTTGCCAAGGACTTGTTTACTTACAGTTCCATTACAATTTACGCATTAGACCACCATTATCATGCTAGCAAATAAACATACCTTGGATCTGAGAATAGGCTACCCCATTCCATCCCTGTCTCATATTGATGCTTATAATTCTAATATGATATTAATATGATTGAATAATATTGAATATGTCAATTGATATCCCTGTTCTTCATGAAACATAGTGTGACAATGATGATACTCCATTGTCATCGTCTCAGCTGCAAAAACATCTTACTTACTTATGGTACCCCCCCAAAAAGATAGTGAGTCGCAATCTACTTTTCCACTTTTTTTGGGGTAATACCTATGAACAAAAAAAATCCCTTGAGCATGGCAGGCATGGCATTGCATGGCATCCACAAGGCCTCAGCCTCACTTTGCGCCAATGTGCCGCGCAGGAGCTGCTGAGCCGCCTGAAGCCGAAGTCTTTGAAACTCGCACAGTTTCCATTGGAAATGCAGACGAGCAACTTACACTTGCGTTTCGAAAAAAAAAAAAATCAACATAATAATGGTTGATGAGTCCTGAAAGGAAGCATAGGCGGCACAGGCGTAGAATTTTTGGCGATACTACATATAAAAATTCCAATAGATTAATCATTTCGGAATTTAAGACATTGCAATGGAAAATCATCCAGGACCCCCCGCCTGTCCAGCAGCTCCCAGCTGCAGCCTAAGCTGAACGCAAAAACAATGGGAGAGTGATTGGATAACAATGGGATGATCATGTCATGGGATATCAAAAAACATATCACTATAGAACCACATGATGGACTCCATAGTAAATGGTGATATTTCATGAGGATGTAATGGACTATATGGAATAATAATGCAATATGGAATATGGAATACTAATGGATATTGATGGACAATTATGTAATAAGATAATGATTGGATATAACAAAGGGATGGTATACGATGGCTACCATTTAGTAATCAAACATGTCCAGCTGGGAAATCCACGATCAACATGCAGCTTTTGATTGGAAAATCACTGAACTAGATACACTAAATAGGGGCCTTTCCATTGGCATGTTTGATTACCGGAGGATAATCATGTTGGACACCCCATAATAAACCTACCATTTAGGATTGGTTTATATGGGTTTATATGGGTTTATAGCAGCCATCTTGATGCTTTTTTGCGGATCGTTTATGGGGTTTTACATTAACAAACCTGGGACAAAACTTGGGAATGGATGTCCCAAAACTGGGTCAGCGACGACATCCAAAGCCGAGCTGCAGAGCGGAGTAGTTGCCGAGATCCAGCTTGGCCGATTCCTCGAGCTGCAGGGCATCTTAAAGCTATGGCCAAGAGATGGATGGCATATACTGCATATACCCTGGGGATCCCTGGGGGATGGTCATGAATCCATTAATTAATAATTAATAGGGATTAATGATGACCCATGATCTTGGAATCCTGGAATTCTATTGTGAAATGGATGACCATATGAAACCACATGAAACCTGTAAATCAACCCAGAAGAGAAAATAGTGTAAATTTTAATCATAATCCCGCGTGTTTATGACATTGAATCAAATTTACCCTCAGGTCATCAAACATGGTTTGCAGGAAAATCAACCATTTAGTTCCAATGACTTTCCCAGCTATAAACCTTCATTTACTCAATATTTAGATATTTAGTTCGGGGATTTCCAATTAAAACCTCCTGTATATAGATGATGTTCATTGATTTTTCCATATAATTTCCCTCTACCTCCATGTATAGTGGAGTTTCCCATAGTTTCCCACGAACTCCAGTGTTTTCCGTTCGGGGATTTTCCAGCTACCCTGGGATTGTCCACGGCTCCGCCCCGCCCTCCGGGTGTCCCAAACGCAAAAGAGACAGCGATGTCCTGTACGCAAACAGCCACGGAATCACAGCGTTATTGTATGGTACCATATCATGCACCACTAGGGTAGATTGGTACAATGTGAGGCCCCCAAGATAGCTAAGTTGGTTTATAACTCCAATAACTATGGTTTATGGTACTTATAACATCTTATAACTATAGTTACTGGGGCTTATAACCCAACTTATAATTGGGGGGCCTCACATTGTAGCATACACATGCAACCATGTAATGCTCAAAAACTGTTTTCAAGTTTGCAAGGAAACTCATCTATGCCTGCAAGGGTGAGAACAAGATACGTGTGCTTCCAACAGGAGTGACCGTAGTTCTCACCAAGACTGTTGGTGACTCAACTTTACCCCAACTGCAAGCACTTTAAGATGTCCTGCAGTTTAAAGTAAACAAAGCTGAAAGCCGGAAACCCACCTTTCCCATTCTTGGGGGTGCAGTTGAGGATACAAATGGGTGAACCCCTGTAAGCTGGGATATGATATAATCCCTATAACTCTAGTTATATATCCACCTATCTATGGGTGCTGCCACACCATCTGCTGCCTTCCCAAATGCGGTTTTCTTCCAGCCACGCCTAGACACGACAGTTCCGGTAGTGCTATTCACAATGCAGGTCCATGGTTCCCCACCTCTCCCCCAACATAAAACATTCACATACCACTCACATGAGCTATACCCACTCAACCTTCCACACTGCAATTATGTCGAAAACAGGCAGTCAACGCGTAGCAACATCGAAAGAACATACCTGTAGGGTGCATTATCTTTGAAACAATGAAATACTCAGCAATCATGTTGTCAGTTGGGGGCCCGTATCCTATCTGAAACAACCACGGCTCGGGCCGAAACTCTGGTACCAGCGTTACGCCCCGAATAGATAAATGGTAGTTACGCCCAAAATATGGTAAAATATGGTAAAATATTGTAAAATAGGTGTTGATTCATCCCCATGGCTACTGTGTATCACCCTTAGAAACGGCCTGAAGCTCTGCTGAGGCGTTCAACCTTAGCATCTGGATGTAGCCATCCAGCACCCCTGGGGGTGTTTAATGGGAACTGCAGAAGGGATGATTTCGATATCAATCATGGCAAAATACATGAATGATTTGGGACATGGTCTATGGTTTTTGTTGGTCTCTGTAGCTTTTGGGAACAAAAAAGGATACACAAGACCACGCAACCAGCAAGGGATTAGAAAAGAAGCAATAGTTCGATCGATCCCAGGATACACTATGTCCCAAAAGGCGAAGCATTTCATGTTCTACTTTATGCAGGGACCATCAATGCTTGGTGGATACCCATTTTTGGAGGCAATTCTGTACAACTGAAAATCAACTGGGACATTATACATTATCATCACATGGATACTAGCGACTGGTTTCATTGATTATCTGGTTTGGGGCTGGGTGGCTTGCAATCCAACTCGAAACCCTGACAAGGGGAATTCACCAGGTTTATCAAAAAAAGAAAACAAAGCCAACAACGAGTTGACTTTTGGGGTCAGTTCGGTAGGTTCTGCCACGTTCTGCCACGTTCTGCCACGAGTATCCTTAGTCATGATTTTGATGCTCCGCGACTCCGCGCTTTCAGGTGATTTGTTCCCAAATGGTATGTGGAGCCAAGAAAATGGAGACAGCACGTTTGCCCAAACCTTCCAGCGGATGTCTTTCCAGAAATAGAAAATAGCTGGGGCATATCTATGCATATCTGGGATTAAGCCTATATAAGGTTCTTGGACATATTTCTGCGGGTCAAAATGGTCAAAGCCCTGGTACCCTGGTGAAGCGCAAAATAGCTGGTACTGGTACTGTAACTGGATGTTCATCTCCCTTCAATATGACAATCATAGACTTTGACCCCCCCATATGTTAAGACACTGCTGTCACTGCTGTCACCAGGCTTCCAAATCTGAGATGCCGTGCTGGGACTGAAGTAATGTTGGGAGTTGCGCTAATGGATCCTGCACAAGGCAAACGCCTCCATGTATATTGAATATGGATGTCTGAAAATGCGCATACCTTCCAAATGGCCATTTTCAACACTCGAGTTTGGAGGTATCATTTTTTCAGACAAACCCACATTATACGAACTAACGATGCGCCGCAATCAGTGACTAATTCTTACAGTACCATCCAGTACGCATATCAACTGATTAAACTTATCGAGAGAATGCCTCTAACAGCTGTTTCGTAGTTCATCAACCCATTCAAAACAAATGGCTAGCAGAGTGTGATACTGCAGCAATACAAAAACATACGAAACGTATAGAGCATATATTTGATACTCCTAAGATCTCCTACACAAGCATCTGAAGTGGGACAGTGTCTTTATGTCTTTTAGAGTTAACATTAAAAAAAATGCGAAGTTAGTCTACAAGCTGATACCGCGTCGCTCCATGAAGCTTGCTTGCTCCGCGGCAGCTGTGATGGACCTCAAATTGACCAAAGTCAAAAAAGGTACCAACCTGTAAGAGGGTAAAGTATATGTATGTCTTCATTATATCATTCTCATGGTTGTTATTGTTATTATCATTATTGTTAAATACTATTATTGGTATCATATATTATTATCATATTGAGATTTCTATAATATAGTCCATGATCTTATTGGGGATCTAGGTAAATCCAAGCTGGGGAGTCAAAGATGTTGAGTCATTGCACTCAACGGAGACCGATTTGGTTTCTTACCTCAACCCATCCTGAGAAATATGAGCCGAAATGGGATACCGTCAGGAAAGCGATATAAATTTACACCACCCATATTCTTATGGTTGAAATCCCACCCATTTATCGTAAAATTGGGGATGGTTTACTATGCCTTTACTCTCATTAGTCATTCAAGATTGGGAATTTGAATGAAACACACATTTTTGGGCAAACGATAACAGTTCCTCAACTGGAAATAAAAATAAACCAGCAATTTGAAGCCAACTGGTAATGGGTCAACACCGGGTACTTGTTTGGCATTCACGCAAAAGAGCTGGTACCAGTAGTTATGGACCTTCATCCCCAAAATATGGGTTTTCATGGGTTTTCCATAGGTTATTTCATAGGTTATTTCATAGGTTTTCATAGGTTATTTCATAGGTTTTGATACATCCCCAACTGCTACACAAACTCACCATGGTCACCGGTTGGCGATCAAGTCACAGGTTGGCCACCGCAAGAAGCGCCACTGAGGCATTGCGGAAACCACTCCAAGATGCCTGCGAGGGCATCAGTTTCAGCACCAGTGCATTGGTTGTCCCGGCACCCATCACCTATAGTAGCTATAGGGATTGATAGGTTTAAAATATTATAAAATCGAGAATCACTACGAGTTGAACCGTTGTGGACTTCCAAGCCATTCTCATTTATATTAATTTATCATGCTCCATTTCGTTCCAATACCCATCACCGTGACTCTGAAACTGGGTGGTACCCGAAAATCCAACGTTTCATCGTTCCAAAAATTACAATGGATTACAAATGGTCAGTCTCTTGTAACAAACAAAGCCTCAAATTGTTAACTTTATTGTCCGTTTAAACAATGGGAATTGACGGAATGGACAACATGTTGTTAATAGATTGTGTTCCTGGCCCCGGATCGAACAAATGTTGTGATTCGAACAGATCCGTCTCCAAATCAAAAAAGATGCATTTTTTTCAGCACGGAATGCACAGGTAAGATCCTGTGATATCCCATGTTTATCATGTTTTTACAGCAATTGTAACTAGGAATCCGAATCCACTGCATTTCCAGTGGATCATGGAATCTTCCAGCAGCGTCACATCGTATATCCACAGCTCAAAGTGAAGACGTCCCTCACCATTCCTGGTTGCTGGTTCCATTTGGTGGCAGGAAGTGGCAGAGTTCAGATACACTCGCAGGGTCAACATCTGACCCCAGCAACTGAGCCACTTCGGGGACGTGAATCAGAGTTGATTTGTGGACCCAACAATAAATGGATTGGGTTCAACGACTTGCACATGATCAGCGCTAAAAGACATCTTGACATATCCTGAAATATCAGTCAACTTTGGTTCCTTTATATCATCCCAGGTCGCTATGAAACACTGACAAATGAGGTGGACGAAGACCCACTCAACCTCTGCTCGCAACATCGTCAATGTTTTTCATGAAATAGTCTAGGCCAGGCAAGTTCTAAAATGATCAAATTTGGGAATGGTTTCCGATATTTTCCTATATTTTCACTGAAAATCCACAAGTTAAATTTCCAATCCACCACTTTGGGAATGATTCTCCTCACGGCCCATGGGCTCGAAGACATGGCGGCAAAGAAGGCCTAGGAAGACGTTCCGGAATCCAGTCACAAAGCATTTTAAAAGAAGTGCTCAACTTTGTGTGAACCCGGCAGTAATCTAAACATCCTGAGATTTATATATTTGATTGAAATAAATTCTGACATGTGTTCGGACATTTGATGACACTTGTCCTGACAGTTCCTGACATATACCCTGACATCTAGCCTGATATGGAGTCTGCCATATATTCAGACATTTCGACATATAATGTTCACATCGGGTTATTAATCCCCATCACAATAAAGTAAGCCAAATCAGGCGGAACAAAACTTGTTCTTGGTATTTGCATGTGTCCATTTATAGTCAAAAACCGTCGACAATAGATGAAAATATATCAAAATTCAAATATAATTCAAATATATTCAAATATAATGTCTTCAATAGGTACATCATCTGCAAACAAACTCAAACAAAGTAAGTATTGCTTATGAAATTCCACGTGTGATTCCCAAGATATTTCAACATCCGGTAAATCAAAACAGCGATAGTCGTCGGTAGACCACTGGAGAGCACATCAAAATTGCAAATTTGGAGGGGAAACACTCTGAACTTCAAACCCCATGGTGGGGTGAAACTTCTTCCAAAACATGAAGGGAATGGAACATCACCCCACTTGGAGCTATCCATTGGCCATTTGTGAGCCCATAAAGTAATACAGCGGTTTTTGGTAATAGTCTTTGGACTCTGATCTCAAAGATCTCCCGAGACAAAAAACAATTCGCCAGAGGGGGGGAGCCTGAACCACCTCTGAACCACATTTCAAAAGATTCCCCCCTGATAACGTCACTGTTTTCTTTTTTTTCTGAGGGGATTTGGGTGAATATACTTAGCTTTCAAACTCCCCTTTAAAGCAAATTACTTTGCTACCCCTCTCACCCCTTCAAAGCTGGACTGAAACCACTGAAATCTCAAAATCCCCAAGATCTGAATGTATCTTAATGCATCAATTAAGTTCGTTTTTAATTGGGCAATTCGTTCAGCAATAGTAAATTGCAAAAGTTTTCTCAAACTGTATTCATTTCAATGATGCAGTTTGTTCATGTTTGTTCGGTAATACATGGCAATACAAAATGTCCGGAGTCCCCAAAAGTATGTTTGCCCTCAACATTATTACGATGTCATACGATGTCCAGTATGCTTGAGGGGGGGTTCTTTGTAAAATGTGGACATTAACGAATTGCTCTCGGGCGAAGATTCTGACATCAACTCTGACATAGTCTGACTTTTGATCTAGCGACTTTCATCACATCTGCTCCGGCAACTTTGATGTGACATTCCTGATCTGGTGGGGCATAAAGTCCAGGAGTTTGCCATATGAGGAGGAGGTGGAGCTGACACAACATTTACTGCGGCAAGAATTTCAGAAAGAACATGAATTTAAATCAAATTAAGGGGTGTGACAATGTCTGACATGTGTTGAAGTCGTCAAACATTTCACAAACCCATCTACCGCAACATCGAAACAGCAACCATACCCAAACTGCAAGCATGGTTCTTATAACAGAATGACCATGGATGATTTGCGTATGCTTTGTGTATGGCCGGAAACTTTCTTGGAATCACGATCCACGGCAAAGGGAACTCGGGTTTCACCACCGCCGGGCGCCATCCTTCGTCTCGGAGTCGTTGGAGTTGAGCCAGTTGAGCACCTGACTGAACCACCCCTCATCACTAGGCATATCTAGGCATCCTCATCCCATTTTGAGGGTTGAACATTAAACAGTTTTTTAACTTCTAACCGAACTTCTAGTCTTACTGGCCCTTGCTTTGTACAGTAGTATATATCTCCACTTTTGTCGGGAGTATGTCAGAGTCATATTGTGTATGGGTACATATGGGTACAGTATGGGTGAAATATATTGAACTATAGCGTATCAATCACAAAAAGATACATATTAATTCTAAGTATACACCTATCAAACCCTGTATTCTTGCGGATCAACAATTGTATTACGTAACACATAACTTATGAAACAAAAGTGTTTCATGTTCCCGCATGTTCTGTAGCAAATTCCTTGATTTTGTCCAGCTTCACTAGTTCAAACCCATCATAGCCCATCTCTGTTGGTGAAAACGCCGCTTTTCCCAGCAAACTCCCCAATTCTTGTTGATTTCACAGAGTGACTTTCGCCTGGAGCGTCCATCAGGTCGGTCAAGTTTCATCTTGTGCCGCGTCAGGACTGTCCGGTGCGTCTGGTGGGTCCGGGGCGTCCGGAGCGTCAGCGGCGTCAGCGGCGTCAGTGGCGTCCGCGTCCACATCAGCATCGTCAGTGTTCAGGACGCTGGTACTGACGTTGCTCCTTCACCGGCTGCCATAGCTGAGTGGAGCCAATCACTCTGGCAATGGTGGCATTCCAACCAATCATGGGCTCCCTCTTCCCATGTTGATTCAATAATGTTGTCCCCTCAACCCAGGTGACTCACTTTGGTTTGATGGCTTTAGGCTTGTTTTTACCCCCAACACACAGGAGATAAATTCTAGGGCTTAACTGTTGGCTTAACTGGATTGAAGGGAAGACATGCAGGTGAAACCGTACTTATGTGTTATTTACCATCCAATATATTCAGATATCCTTATCGGGGTTCTCCATACATCTTCGGAGGTTTCCAAAAATGAAAGTACCCTCAAATCATCCAGAATTAGACCATTGTGATGTTGAAACCAATGGTTTTAGGGATCCCCCATTTCAAGGATCCCCCATTCCTTACTAAAGAGACATGCAAGAAACATGTAGGATTGCATCGGAATTCAAAGCGTCACGTAGGCGAGCAGCTGAGCTTCAAATCGCCCAGGAAGAAGATGCCTTACTAGAACAATTTTGGGAAGACATCCCCTCCTGAAGAAGAACTTGGGATTCTTCTTCGGCGCGGGCATGGCGGGTCTCCGACGACCACTCAAGGTGTGATTCCTGCATGGGGCAAGAAAAACACCTGGAAATCCTCCATGCAGGGGAATATCATGGAACCAAGTGTTCGGTACAAATTGCTTTGTCCAAAAATCCGGCATCCTATGAAGTGGCAGTGGTTTATCATCTGATGGTATATATATATATCACAGTAATTACAGTAGTGTCCCCATGTCACCACATGGCACTCACAACATAATGTTGTTGTCATCTCACATGCCCCAAATAAGTTAGTATGGATCCGAACCCTAGCAGGCCCTAGCACCGTGGCTTTCAGTAAAGATGTTGTTTTACTAAGAATAGGTCATAATAATCATACCCCAGATCAATGAACCATGAAGTGTCAAAGTCCAAAGTGTCATTAAAGTGTCAAGTATCAAAGTGTCATATGTCATAGGTCTTAAGCCATCCCCGTCCCAAAATGCCGTCCCTTCAAAAACCCGGGACGCCGGCTTCCCAGCACCGAGAAAAAGCCATGCCCAGGGTCCAAATCTGCAATACAACATCCACCTCTCGGGCTTCTGACACGTCAGAAACCACTTGCTCATAACCTCCGTTCGTGACGACTTGACTCGACTTGACATCCCGAACTTTGGTGGCCAGCAAAGAGGGCGTGAAGGAAACTATAAGAAATTGTCCTGGTGTAGTAAAAAACATCCAGATTTCTGATCTATATTGGTTCATGATGCCGAGTGATGGGGATGACAGGCCTCACAGCTAGGCTCAAATGATCCAACTTCTGAAATCTGACTGGGCAATCGTTCATGAAATGAGGGCACTACTGCAGTGATACATCACATTGTTTGGGAAACCCAAAGCATAGGTGTATATATACATAAATATATATGATATATATATAGACATACATACATAACATAACATTACTTTGCATTGACATTTACATTTATATTTACATTAACATTAACATTACATACATACATTACATACACACTTGGATAGTCTTGGGGCCTCCACGATTATTCTGGTTCTGAGCAGATAAGTCATTATTGATAAGCCTAAAATTAAACCTAAACGTGGGGTATGTCCATGATATTTTGCGACACCAGCCAGATACTAATCATCATTTAAGACAACTACAGTATATATATATATACAATAGTTAGTGTTGACCCCCATATCCACCTGCATGTACAATGATACATACCTAGAATAATTTATAGTGTATATATTATATTATAATGTATATATATATAAGTATACCATTCAATACAATATACCAAAAAGGGAAAAAAAACATATACATACAATTACAATGTGTGTATATCATTATATATCTATCATTATATATAATTTCCTCGTTTTCGCTGCGGAGCGAACGGTTCGTTTAAAAAGCCTGGCAGCTCAAACTCAACACATTGGCCAAGGCAAAGCTGGCGGCGTCCTAGTGCGATGATTTTCCAAACTATAAACCTCCATTTACTTGACAAATGTTATAGATTCTTTGTTTATTAGGACCACTACTGATACCATGGATAGAATTATATGTTTTGTTTTTCTAATCTAAGTACCTGGAAAAATGGAGGGGTTGGAAACTTTTGAAATTTATTATCTACCTTTTGGTTGTTGAATGTGAGACACCCTCTATTTATCAACCAACAATTGGGAAAAGCAGTCATGGATAGAATGTTATGGAATAGTAATAGGGTTTCTGAACAGTGATACCAGGTCGGAATCGAGTCGGAATGAAGGTCCCGAAGCGTCATTTGATATGCATGTGTATAGATTAAATGTGTATATAGTTCATTGTATGTAGATATCGAGTTTGAATAGCAGTCAGAAGTGTCACTTGGACAAGAAATTATAAGTCTAGCAAATTTAAATAAGCATGGTTAATCTCTCCAATACCCTGCAATAACTCCTGGCAAAACCCGTGGCATTCCAGATCTCTCGGTTCAATCCGAGAATTGGTTTAAAAGAAGTAAGAACATATCTACAGTAAAACCGGTAAAGATTCAGGTGTGATAATTATAATTTTACCTTGAATAGATCCATTCTGATTTGATTCTGTTTTGACCATATATTTTTTGATTCAATCCAAAAGTTCATTCCATATCATTTGCATCATCTCCACATGTTTTCCAAATGTTTCCTAATTTGTCCCAACTTTTTCCAGTACTTGCCCCATTTTCCTGTGGGTTTCCAAGTTTTCCCATGAATTCCATGGTTTTCCCTACATTTTCCCATATGTTTTCCCATTTTTTCCCATCTCCAAACAGTTTCCTGGGGACCGCGTCCCGTTTCGGTCCCGTTCCAAGCCGTCGTCAGCTTTCAAGAGCTCGGCGAGCTTCTCGACGGCGCCGGCTTCCATGCAGCGACCCTGACAGCAAAAGGATATCAAGGAGGTATACCTTGCAATCCGCGGGTCATATATCATATACCCATAATATGTATATAGATCGGTAGAAAAATAGATAGATATGGATAGATAGATACATCGATAGATAATATGCATGTACAATATATATATACATACATGATTATACATGTATAACATGTATATATGTATAATATGTGTATATATATATGTATTATATACAAAGATAATATATGTACTGTGAATTCCATCTAGCGGGTAATGGATAGTAATGGGGATTAAATTGGATAATCATGGTGAATATGTATGGATTTATATGATTTATAGAGTGTGCACCGCTAAGCCAAACATTTACTGTCATGTACTGACAACCCTAAACCTCCACTAGTTGCGGACTTCCCAGCCATAAGCTTCCATGTATGGATAATCATCCGGTTCATCCATTTATTTCGATGATGTTCGCAAGAAAACCTCCATTTCATGAGCTTTTTACCAGTTTTTCCCATTCAAATGGTGGATTTCCTCATGGTCATGATACCGGCCATTCAGGCGCCTGGTTTTCGGGGTTCTCAGTGGCCAAATGTCCCAATGCAACAGCTGCATGGACGCGTTCTTCCATGGTCGCCGCATCCCTACTCGATGGGATGTGGAAAGGGGATGAAAGGGGGAGCTGGGATGCCCGGTAATCCCATCCCTGCAAGCATAGTGTGGAGATATATGGGTAAATTATAATATTTCACTAATCTGAATTAAGGCCATTTGGGGATGATTTCCCTTATTAACCATGATTCCAGTGAGGTCACAGTGAGGTCACTATAATGTGTTCATATATATATATATAATTAGATAAAAATTATATACATATATAATATTATTCGTGTATACAATATCTGTGGGCATTTGCCATTGAGTACAAGCAATGCCTCATTCTTAAACTTCAAACGTCAAAACTCCCTTAGTATGTATGATACATATCCAAGAATATCAATAATAGTAATGATTCTGGCATATTATTAAATCTTAATATGTATATATAATTACAGATATCATGTATGTGTACGCGTCTGTGTGCGTATGAAATTTAATGTAATGTAATGTACTGCAAGGGGAGATAATATAATGTATCGGTGTAATGTAATGTGATGTAAGGGAAAATAGTAAAATGTATTGGTGTAATGTAATGTAATGCAATGTACTGCAATGCAATGTAATGGATTGTAATGGAATGTAATGTCATGGAATGGAATGTAGGTAGCTACTACGTACATACATTTATGTAATATTATGTAATGAAAATGAATTTAATGTTAATGCAATGTAATGCAATTGTACAGTAAGGATTGGTAAGGTATGGTACGGTATGTGTATATTAGTTATATTTAGATATGATATGTGCGGTTCTGCTGTATCCCTTCGGTCAATGGGGATGAAGCCGTGTGGTCCTGAACGGATACCTGCCATCTGTGGTTTGTCTTTTTTTTTCTGAGTGGACGTCACTTTTTTCTTAGCCGAAACTCGAAACATTTTGATAGTTTTTATTTTGTGAATTGATATCCCGCAAAATACTTTGTCCTTGGCTTGCGATCAACCCGATGAACCTCTTCCAATCAATCTGAGATGTAGCTGGTAATGGCCAAATGTGGCAATTATCGGCGATTCAGTACTATCAATACTAGGATGATGTTTCTGCAAAATGCGAGGCTACTCTGGATGATACATATCACAACATGTAGAAATATATCGGTAGAATAAATTATATATACACATGTAACATCATGTAACATCATGTAACCAGCAACCATATAGTTGCTATATCATACTACATCCACATATATGTGTATAACCATACAGTATATGATATAAACATCTCCAGTAGCTATGGCTATTCACCATGCGTTTCCCCAAGGGTTTCATTAAGCCGTGGCACAGCAAGGCCAGCAGCGGTCGCACTGTGCCCTCCACAGCAAAGGCGCGCTGGGTCTCGGGGTTGCCCTCGCTGAGACCTTCCGTGGGATCCGTGGTCGGCCTTTGGAAGGCGTAGGAAAAATGTGGAAATCATGGGATATAAATCTTGAAATCATGGGAAATGTCAAGAATCATATGGGAAAAATCTAAAATCCAATCAATTTTCTTTGATTTAGGAAATCAAAAGGAGTCTTTTGCTAGCAAATATCAGGGTTTGGAAGATGATTGCCAATGGGTCTATTTATTTTTTTTGGTGTAGCAATCTTCATAGGATGCGGATGCTGGTCAAGATGTCAGGCCTCTTGCCTCGCAAAAGGACCAATCATGTTTGACCCCAATATATGGTACAGGCCTGCAGCCCCACCCCCCCCGTCATGGTCATGGTCCCATTCCTGGTCCTGGTCCCCGCCGCCCCTGTGGGAATGGGCGGGATCTATTGTATGTATGTATGTAGGTAGGTATGTATGTAGGTATGTATGTAGGTAGGTATGTATGTAGGTAGGTACGTATGTATGTAGGTATGTATGTATGTAGGTAGGTATGTAGGTATGTAGGTATGTAGGTATGTAGGTATGTAGGTGTGTAGGTATGTAGGTATGTAGGTAGGTATGTAGGTATGTAGGTAGGTAGGTAGGTATGTATGTATGTGTGTCTGTCTGTCTGTCTGTCTGTATGTCTGTATGTCTGTATGTCTGTATGTCTGTATGTATGTATGTATGTAGGTATGTATGTATGTGGGCATGTGTGTGTGCATGTGTGTGTGCATGTATGTATGTATGTATGTATGTATGTATGTATGTATGTATGTATGTATGTGTGTATGTATGTATGTGTGTATGTAAGCATGTGTGTATGTAAGTATGTATGTATGTATGTAGGTAGGTATGTATGTAGGTAGGTATGTATGTAGGTAGGTACGTATGTATGCAGGTATGTATGTATGTAGGTAGGTATGTAGGTATGTAGGTATGTAGGTATGTAGGTATGTAGGTGTGTAGGTGTGTAGGTGTGTAGGTGTGTATGTATGTATGTATGTCTGTATGTCTGTAGGTCTGTATGTATGTAGGTCTGTATGTATGTAGGTCTTTAGATATGTAGGGGTGTAGGTATGTATGTGTAATTGTGTGTAAATGCGTGTGTATGTAAGTATGTTAGTAAGTAGGTAGGTAGGTAGGTGTGTATGTATGTATATGGGTAGGTATGTATGTATATGGGTAGGTATGTATGTACGTATGTATGTAGGTATGTAGGTCTGTAGGTATGTAGGCAAGTAGGTATGTAGGTATGTAGGTATGTATGTATCTATGTATCTAGGTAGGTAGGTAGGTAGGTAGGTAGCTGGGTAGGTTGGTAGGTAGGTAGGTAGGTAGGAGGGTAGGTAGGTAGGTAGGTTGGTATGTAGGTATGCAGGTATGTAGGTATTGTATGTATGTATGTAGGTAGATAGGTAGGTAGGTAGGTAGGGATGTAGGGATGTATCTATGTAGGTATGTATGTATGTAGGTATGTGTGTATGTATGTATGTATGCATGTATGTGTGTATGTATGTATGTGTGTATGTATGTATGTATGTATGTATGTGTATGTATGTATGTATGTATGTGTGTTTGGTGTGTATGTTTGGTGTGTATGTTTGGTGTGTATGTTTGGTGTCTATGTTTGGTGTGTATGTTTGGTGTGTATGTGTGGTGTGTATGTTTGGTATGTATGTATGTATGTATCTATGTATCTATGTATCTATGTATCTATGTATCTATGTATTTATGTATATATCTATGTATCTATGTATGTATGTATGTATGTATGTATAAATATGTATGGCATGTATGTATGTATGTCTGTCTGTATGTATGCATGTATGCATGTATGTATGTATGTATGTATGGTATGTATGTATGGTATGTATGTATGGTATGTATGTATGGTATGTATGTATGGTATGTATGTATGTCATGTATGTATGGTATGTATGGTATGTATGGTATGCATGGTATGTATGGGATGTATGGTATGTATGGTATGTATGGTATGTATGTTTGGTGTGTATGTATGGTATGTATGTATGTATGCATGCATGCATGCATGCATGCATGCGTGCGTGCGTGCGTGCGTGCGTGCGTGCGTGCGTGCGTGCGTGCGTATGTATGTATGTATGTATGTATGTATGGTATGTATGTATGTAGGTAAGTAGGTATGTAGGTACGTAGCCATGTAGCCATGTATGTATTTAAGTCTGTAACTATGTCAGTCTAAGTATGTCAGTATGTAAGTTATAAGATCTTCTCTCATACTTCCATAGACCCTTGATTCCCTTGATGCTACGTTACGAGATCTTGTCTTGTACGTGCACAGATAATTCATGTTGCGTTCCAAGACCTTCTATTTTTAATGCGCAGACACCTGATGGTGTCTCTGAAAGGATCTTGTCTTGTTCTTGCACACTTGCACAGACACTTGATGCTACGTTACAGGGTGCTGGGCTACCGGGGGGGACCATACCATCGGGGTCGTGGGTACCGGGCCGCAGACCGGGACCATATATAGGTGTCTCCAAATGGGGATTGCCCAAAATGGCCGTGCCATCCCCAATAATCCCTTCAACCTAATATTCAACCGAGCCCCCATACACCATGCTTTGGTAGGAAAATTACACATAGTTGTTACTTAGTACACTTTTGTAAGACAACTTGGTGGGGAATTCAACATTCCCGTAACGGTTTACCCAACGAATATTGCAAACACGGCCATGAAAACCCAACGAATATTTGGTGGGTCATTTCATGAGCTGAGTGACGACTGATGCAAGTGGCAGCGCTGACTCTCTGCAGAGCCTTGGACGATGGAGATGCAGATGTTGCCGCGATCAGACAGTGTATATGTGTAAAGCATATGACCAATGTACTTCTAGAATCATATATATATATGCATACGCATGCTGGAAACGGTGTAGATACATAAACTCAAAATCTTAAATATATAATCACATATCTATATTATTCTCTATTATGATGTAGACACTCGCTGTGTGCATACGATTGGTGTTTCTGACCAGCTTTATCATCTCCTTCCAGGAAAGTCATAGCTTATGACTCATAGGCTTCAGGGAAGCTTTTTGCATCATGACATCCGGAGCTAAATCCTTTGGATTCTCCATGAAATCAATTCTTCGAAAGGATATTCAGCATATCAACCATCAGAATCGAAACATTCAGTATAATTTCAGATATATTGATATATTTGATATTTCACGATTGTGAAAAATTGTTTTTACTGAAGACCCATCCCCCCAAAAAACTCCAATGAATCATGAGGTGAAACTATTGTTTCAAGTGAATATGGTGGGATGAACCATTCAACGACTGCAATCCGATCGAATATGGCTGGCTGGAAAATCTAGCAGCTATATATAGTTGGATGGTTTTCCTAGCGCTAAACATCATTTGTTGGGGACTTCCGAGCAAAAAAAAACCTGCGTCTTAGATAATTGTATATAAATTCTTGTATAATAATGTAAAATAGATTTCCCGGCGAAAAAACATGTATAAACATGAAAAATACCCCAGCTATAAATCTGACATCCATTCGCCAGTCCATTTCCTCCCCTGGCTCCAAGTGGCAGTTTGCGCCATCAACTGCTTCCGCAAAGGCATCACTGCACCAGCCACCACAATCTCCTGGGGCGAAATTGGAAGCTGAAGCCAGGGCATCTAGAGAACAGCTTGTGCAGCTGGGATAGCTGGGTTTGTCAGAACATAGGGTACCCCTAAATCTCATCAAAAGGGGCTTGTACCACATTTTCAGGTTCACCCGAAGAATGTGACATAGGCCACAAAAAGGTGCACTCATCATCCCCATGGCATGGCATGGCATGGCATGGCTGAGAATGTAATAGTGTCCTTATCATTGTTGTTGATCCCCCGAATGTTACTGCAGGCATGGGACCACTATTACAACAACAGAACGACCATTTAATCATTTTCATCACCACCCAAATGTTAAACGGATTATAAATATTAAGAATCAGATCCTCGAATCATCAAGGCGGAAAAACATCCACCAGTGACCCACTTGATTTACCAATATCCTTGATGGTTACTACCGCAGATACTGTAGCACATCCAAATGATGGATCGTTCAATCCCCAAAATGTCATGGCTTGAATCTGAAATGTCCACATCAAACATGGTAAAAACATGGCTGTGTCTGAAATTGGGGGCCCGAGTCCAATGGATTATCATCAGTTTCCCAATATGTTCCCATATATTCCCATATGTTTTCCATATATGTCCATCATGTTCCCGTAATTTCCCATCTATTTCCATCTATTTCCCATACTTTCCCTACCAAGAAATGGCCACATCAACCCCCATTGCCAGGTGGCGAACTGCCCCGTGGGATTGTTCTTGGCCAGGCGCGACAAGCAGGTGGCCGCTTCGACCCGTTCGTCCCCATGGCCCTCCTGCGGCTATGCTGGGATGGCTGGGATGGTCCATGGGTTAATGGGGGAATGGTCCATACGGTTCTATCCATATGTGGTATATACTGTGTTATTCATATCATCCATAAAATATACCACAACCGTTAGGAAAATGAGTTAATGGGTTAATGGATTATCTACCTACCATGATGTGTTTTTTTCGCCGAAAACATTGAACAAAAATGAGTTATTCATGGGCATCTATCTCAATTTCATGAATTTCCCGTGACATCAAACCAAAGGACTGGATGTATCATCCATCTGACTTCACCATGGCAACCACCAACCCGTACAGGAGGAACTTAACATAGTTGGACCAACTATGCAGATTAAACTCAAAGAACTGGTGGGCATTCTTGGTGATATAGATATCAATATCAGTGTATATTGTGTATGTATTTAGATATATTTAGATCGATACATTTTGATAATAATACATACATCTACATTTCTTTACATTGTATTTAGATTTATTTATTATTTACATACATACATATATATATAATATTATATAATGAATTATATCTCTGCAGTACACCACCACGATCGACCCAGTAAAAAAAAACAAACGCGTCCTTCAACTGCCTCACCAGTGGCTCCACCACTCCCCCATCGATCAAAGTCACCTGACTTTTGGCCGGCCACAAGGCAGGCCCCAAAAAAAATAGAACAGTAGAATTCAATCCTGAAATAGTGATGACTTATGTAATTGATGATGATGATGGTGATGATGAAGATGGTGATGATGTTGATGATGATATCTATATGTAGTGAAATCCAATCATCTAATAATGATGATCTAAGGTTCTGTTTGTTTTGGGGATGCAAACAATTTTGTCTATGATATATGTAATGATCATTATTTATAGTTTTAAATAGTGCAAATACATATGTGTGTAATATGTAGATATGCATGAATTCATCTACAAACTCTCTCATCCCAAACTGCGGGTCTATTGTTGTAGGGTCTTATTACATTAATCCGTGTTTGTCATGATTAGCCACCCTTTCTTAGGGATTCCCAAAATAGTGAACATTTGAACACATACATATGTGTAAATGGCCTGGTCACACTTGTTCATCAGCTGGGGGTTTTCAGGCAGAATTTTCCAGATGAACTAAGATGATTCCTGAACTAGTACCCTTATAATAATTTAGTATCTGCTCTAATTATGGGTTGTCAATGGTTGTCACCCCCTCTCAGCGGATACACTGTAATCGGTTTAGATCCCCATCCATGATCCCGCAAACGGCTATGTTTGGCCTTAAGTGAGGGTCGAAGACTGCTGGATGGTCATGTGCTCCAAAGATTTTCGTATTTTCTATATTCATCTTGGTAAAACAAGATAGAATAGTAATATTGATTTTGATACCATTTTAAGTTGATTAATACCAGTAGTACCGCACAAGGCTGTGGCGGAAGTTTCAAAAATAGGAAACCTATAGGAGAGCTTGGTTGATGTGAATCAGGAATGGCAGAGCGAATCCACTGATGGACCGAAAGGTGCTTGAGGTCTCCTCTTTTTCTCTCTCTTTCTCTCTCTTTCTCTGACTATCTAACTACCTACCTATCTATCTTCTATGTATCTATCTATCTATCGATCTATCTCTCTCTCTCTTTTTCATCTAATTACCTATCTATCTATCGATCTATCTATCGATCTATCTATCTGATCTATCTACTTATCTATCTATCCATCCATCCATCCATCCATCTATCTATCTAGCTAGCTATCTATGTATCTATCTATCTGTCTGTCTATCCATCTATCCATCTATCCATCTATCTACCTATCTATCCATCTATCCATCTATCCATCTATCTACCTATCTATCTACCTATCTGTCTACCTATCTACCTATCTATCTATCTGTCTGTCTGTCTATCTACCTGTCTATCTGCAAGCTTGAAAACCAAGCTATTCTGGGAGATGTCTTCATTTTCAAAGTTGACAACATCAAAAACGAAGCAATTCTGCGAGTTCTCTTCATTTTTCAAAGTTGACAACATACAAAACGCAGCAATTCAACAAGACTTCCTCAATTTTTGCATTTGACAACATCAAAATCAAAGCAATTCTGCGAGACTTCCTTCAAAAACGGAAAGTTGAGTGCAGCGCTGACAGCCTCGTACCATTGCGTTTTGCGATTTTTCCACTCCACCTGTCGAAAGTACTGCGCCTGCCACGAAAAATTGATGCCAGGTCATACGAAGTGCTGCACCTGTCACGCAAAATCATCTTAGCAAACCTACAGATCTGATGCTCCAAAATGCAACCCCTCTCAGGAAATCAGCGCCCTGACCTCCTAACATCTCTCATGAACATGTCTTTTGTACTGCGTCTGCCACGGAAAATGCATCTTTGCAGATCCTCTTGCAATGTCCCACGCCTGCCATCGTTTGTGGAAATGCTGCAAAACCACACGTTTTGCTCACTTTTGACAAGGTCCACAATCCCTTGCACCTGCCACGCGAAACGAGCTCTGAATGTCCAAAAGTTGTCCGAGGATGGTGTGCTTTGTACATTTTGACTTGGAAATGTGCTTCGCGCCACAACGGCGTGCACTTTTTCGACATCTCAACTTACAAAAAAAGTGGTCCGACACTGAAATGTTTTGTACATTTTGACTTCGAAATGTGCTTCGCACCACAACGGCGTGCACTTTTTCGACATCTCAACTTACAAAAGTGGTCCGACAATGTTGTGTTTTGTACATTTTCACTTCGAAATGTGCTTCGCGCCACAATGGCGTGCACTTTTTCGACATCTCAACTTCCAAAAGTGCTCCGAGACGCAGGTGCTTTGTACATTTTCACTTCGAAATGTGCTTCGCGCCACAATGGCGTGCACTTTTTCGACATCTCAACTTCCAAAAGTGCTCCGAGACGCAGGTGTTTTGTACCTTTTCACTTGGAAATTTGCTTCGCGCCACATCGGCGTGCAATTTTTAATCTCTCATCTGGCCAGCTGGCTCCGCACCCGCCGCTTTAGCGAGCCTACTTTTCGACCCTTCGGAGCCACAAACCATTGGAAAAACACAGTGTTTCGCGACTTTCCTACCTTTTCGCGCATCTGCATCTGCTTTCTTCTGACTCTTTCTCTTCTTTGATTCTTTGATCTTCTCTCTTCTACTCTCCTCTTCTCTCTGCCTCTGCCCAGCTCTGCTTTTCATCTGTCCATATTGTTGGAAGTTTCACTTCTAAACTTCCTTCGATTATCGATCCCATAATAGTTGGTACCATTTCAATATCGACCATGCAGAAATCATCAACAGTAATTTTGATACCATACAGTACAATTTCTATTGATGATTTCTGCATCGATATTTGCACCTAAATCCACCAAGCTTTGGACATACGGTGGTTCCCCCGCAGCTATACGTTGCTCTACCATGCTCTACCCCCACAAAAACCGTAGATATATCTACCATAAATTGCCATAAATCCAACAGTGGACCTATTGAACTAAACCAACTTAGCAAACTAAATCGCATGAAATCCCATGAAATCCCACTAAATCATATTATATAAAACATAGTACATCATATTAAATCAAATCAAATCATCATCTCCCGATTGTTGCCGTTCGATCCTCAGAACTCTGCTTGCACGTCGTCCCGACCACGCCTGGTTTCGGCTCCCCAGTGCAGCTTGTTTGGCGACCGCCAGACCAGCCTCACGATTTGAGGCCACCGAGAATATATTTGTTAAGGTTAAAAAGATGGGTATAGGTATTTGCGATATGGTTATTCATTGTATATATTGTATATATATATATGCATGTGTGTATACTTACATACAATCACCATAAACGCTAGTTAACCTCTAAACTCTAAACAGACTTGGCCAGCTATGGGGCGGCAAACTACAAAACTCCCAACCGTTGGTTCCACACACCGCGCCTCCATGCGCTTCCGGGGATTGTCGGATTGGAGATCCAGCGTCAGCAACTCAGGCGTCCGGAAAGAACGGTGGGGTCCTGGAACATGTCCTGCATAAGCCTCTGGCATGCCTTGGGTTGATATGTGTTAACCACGATATAACCTCGATTTTACCACATAACCAAGATTGGCACAAGTACGTATACTGGATGACATGTAATCAGTTGGATTATATAAACATCAAAAAGTGATGCTTCATTCGAACAAATTGCAAAACAAAATGGCCCCTGAAGGAGCTACAGACTGGCTGATGGTTTTTAAGTCTTCATCCATCTCTTCAGCTCCTTTCAATTACCCGGATTGCCCAAGTTCGGCCCAAACACACGTAGGATTTCAGTGGGTTGAATCATGTTGAATCGGCTCCTTGTCTGCTGCTCAAATTCTTGTGTGGATAATATGTTGGTATGTATTTAAATATATAAGAAATATATATATATATGTATTATAATTTGTAATATTATTGCAGTCATATCATGTCATATTTTTTCGGGGGTCGTTGGTCAAATCCCTCTGCTGCATTGAAATCGTCACATTTCTGCAACTCATCTGTGGCTCTATATCGGCTTCTCCGAGATTGGGAACCAGGCTACCACTCTATTCATCCCAATCACAGTGAAATCCAAGGCTTACTGATAAATCCAGGCACCAGACCAGGCTATCACATTTCTTTAACCTGTATTGAATGTGCTTAGAAATAACTCCATTCAAACTGCAGTAAGTTAATCCAATACACACCCGGCCTTCACGGGGATTGGGGGTGCCGAGCTGGCCGCCATGGCACCAATGGCACCAAAGCTGTGCGCGCCAGGTGGCTACATGGAAATCTGAAACGATTTAAGGGAAAGGTTTGGACGCAAATGGCATGGACATATGTTGAAAGTATGATTGAACACATGTTTGGAATATCGATTCGGACATGATTTTGGACATGGCAAATGGGACGCAGTGTGTTTCAGTATCATGATTTCATGCAAATGGGATAACCCCTTGACAATCAACCAACTTCCCCCACAATCATCTGAGGTAAAAACATCTTTGAGTGAAGTGATGTCCTTCTATAAATCTCTGTTCATGTAGAATTTGTATCCGTCTAAAAGCTGCTGTCAATTTCTCAAGTGCTCATTTGCCCAAACACTAGGACTTTCCACCCTCCTCGGGCAACGGCACACTGCAGGAAATCATCATGGGTTTGCACCAACTGTTAGGTTGTATATCGTCATATAGTCATATAGAGGCTCCAGAAAAAATAGAAACAAAACCATCTAGGATCTGAAAAAACATGTTCCCATTGTAATTCCCACGTTTCCACTTGTTCTATCTATATGGGGGTTGTGCATCTGTGGGTTGCGCTGTATCAACTGTTGGTTTCGCGAGCAGCAAGCCATCGACGTTTGAGTTTCTTCAGGGTCCAAACCATTTGTAGCACCCAACCCCTGATAGGCGCCTGGATGTCCTGTAGTAATTTAGCATATCTCAACGGGGACAACAGGCATTGAGCATTCTTGCTCCAAGCTCAGCCCCTTCAGATTTTGACCCCGCGGCGCCCCACGCCAAATTCCACGGATCAGGTCACCCAATCCTGACACAATTGGCTGATGGGATCAACGGCCACATGGCAATGAAACATTGATGATTCTCTGGTGAAATCAATTATTAGAGATAACGACCACGGGAAACTTTGGCAAGGGACCAGAAATGTGAGGCCCGCTTTCAGACAGTCACACAGAAAGAATCCTTCAAGTGCTGGAAACCAAAACTTCAAGAGCCCGGTTCCAGGTTTTCATCCTTGAAAGGGTGTTTTTATCCAATCAATAAACATCTGGTGGGAGAATGAGAATTGAAATCTGCTGTTGTTGGGGGATGCCACGCAGAGACCGGCCTTTGCCCCATATAGATCTCAGGAACGTCCGTCCTGAATCGGAGCTGTGGTCGGATCGTGGTCGGGTTCTCACTAGACTTCCCGGATGGGGCACTGCCCATCACAGTATCACTACATGGATCCCACAAGGTATAGACAATTGTTTCCAGGATGTTCTAAATAACGTTTAACCTTGTGATTTCCTAATTGTTCTGTCTATCCTCGATTTGTCAAAGTTCTAATTGCAGATTATTGGAATACCAGGGGATTACCCCATATTACACAGCTCACCCTCCAGCAAACCAGCTGGAAATGAAATTCCCACCTCGCGTTCCAGGCGCTTCAAGGCCGCCACGAAGTTTTCATCCGTCTCAAGGCCTTGGGCGGAGTGATTGGTTACAATGGTGGGGACTTCATGAGAAACTATAATAATGACTATATCTAAATATAATTATATATATATATAGACACACACACACACGCACAGACCCCGTGGTTTGCCCAGGAACAGAACTGGTAGCGTAAAAGCCAGTGATTTTTTAACGAACTCAAAAAATTATGTGTGAACGAGATGAGCATAGCATTGCGGTTTGGCAAGAGAATTGTACCGCTATTAGGATTTGTTTGGGTTTACATAAAATATGAAGTAATTGCCCCACCCCATAGATCCATAGAACAATGAACCATATTGCAATTAGGGTTTCATGTAAGGTTTGCATATAAAAGGTTTAAAATATCCCACCCACATGGAATAATTAACTATACCGCAATTACGGTGTTGTTTAGGAGTTATAAAGAGGAGATAAAATCGCCCACCCCAAAGGAAATATTAACTATACCGCAGTTAGGGTTTCATTTAGGGATTACACAAGATATATCTAGACATTCCCACCACATGGAACAATTAAACATACCGCAATCTTCATCGTCATCATCATCATCATCATCGTCATCAACAAAACCATTTCCAGTTCCGGGCCAACCGTAGGGTCTTGCCGGATATGTATAGACATATAGACATATATATATATATGATTATATATGTAGGAAAATATCGCTGTTTTTAGTTTTTACACATAAATGGATGATGTACGTGTGTTTTTTTGAATATGAGCACATGGATAAGAGCAATATATATATATATATATGTATTGATATATTTCATAATGGAGTTACTCGGGATGTAGTTGTTATTGCTGAATAATGTGTATACGTGATTAATCTACTTCTATTTCTACGCAACTGTTTTCTTTTTAAAAACACATATGTTAGTTATGGGTATATAGCTCTAATGTTATAGTCATGCTATTAATTGGTGATATTATGGATTATTTTTGTAAATGAGTATATGGGCAATTTATTTACAACTACAGAAACCCTAAAAAATGTCATTAATGGATGAATGGATGAACCTGCATGGATCATATCTCAAAAAGCAAAATGGAATGGTTTCTGATGGGGTTGAACCTGGCACCTTAGGATGATTTCTGATGATTTGCAATAAAACATCAATCGTCAACTGTCAACCCTATAAGGTGGCTGTGGGAATTAAAAAAGTTCTATCGTTTCACGATAATATTCGCAGTAACTTACTCAAACTTATAGTTAGGATAGGGGAAACAGTATAGTCTGTTTACATGATTATGTGTTTTCATATGTGTATATTGTATATACTTTGCAGCAACCTCCACAACCGCAAAAAAGCGATGGACATGCAAAACATAAATGTCAAATCCTTGTAAATGACTGTTATGTCTTTTTCGGTGACTACAATATATATATATATGCCATACAGATCTACGCAGTGATATTTATAGTATTTTATAGTTAACATGATCACAGTAACTTTTATGACTATCCAACAATATCCAACCGTGGGTCAGTTGTGGCCATAAGAATTTGATGGTTATCATTTGTTCATATTCATTTTGAAACATGAATGATGAATGAATGTTGACCATCTTGAACCCCTCTGTTTGCATCAGCCAACCACTTGGAACAGGACATCTACCTGGATGAGTTATATCAAAATCATCCCAAATTTAGACCAGTGTGGTATATTGAAACCCACGCTTTTAATAATCTTCGATTTAAAGACTCCCCACATCATTTCAGCCAGAAAAGGGGTAACTTGGCGAACCCTCGGCCACTGGCCACGTTGCGGCACCACACCTGCCCTCGGACGCCCAGTGGCGACGCTTCTTGGCCAACAACCTCCGGCGGATCGAGGCATCGGCCCCTTGAAGCTCCTCCCAGCAACCAGCGACAGGACCCAACACGGCTGGAAAATCCAACGTTGCGGGCTGGGAAATCCCTTAGAGATGGAGGTTTTAATGGGAAAAACATTGGAAAATATGGGCATATAGTGGCAAATATGGGAAAATCCATTATAAATGGAGGTTTAGTTGGGAAAATCATGGAAGCAAATGCGGAATTGATGTTGGATTACCGGGATTACCGGTGTACGGCTATATTGGGGATCTGGAGATGCTAACCCATAATTATGGGCCTGGAGCACCAACTAGCGATGCTGCACAAGGTTCTGATGTTTATTGTTCTCAATTGTGTAGGATAATTACAGTATGTAATCGTGTGCATGTATAATCGTGCAGAATCATGAATATGTAAACATATTAAAGTATATAATTGATAGATATAGTAGTTGGTACATGTTCAAGATTTTTTGCGGTGTTTTGCGCGTATCGTTCTACCTACGGGCTTTTTTTTTAGGATGGGGTAGGTTGGGAGATCTATCTTGTATGCACATGTATCTGTGAACCTAGTACGACAAGACCTATCGTTCCGCTGCGCCTCTCAAAAAAAACAATACATACAGATGTATAGTGTCTCTATGTGATCCATGGGTGTGTCTGATAATAGGGGTGCCCATTTTCCCCACTCAAATTCTTGGGCATAGCATGGTATACCCCGTTTTCAGAGAAATCCAGCCCAACCATGTCCTGCAAGATTTGGCACCTTAGCGGATTTTCATCACCTTTGAAAGAGTGTCGCTGACATCTATATGGATTTTGAGTTTTGAACTCCCAAATATGCACTGGGTCCTGGGGTCTATGAATATATTTTTCTTATACTGTTGACAAAAGATACCAGTAGTACCCGCACAAGGCGGAGCGGAAGTTGCCTTAGGGTTAACCTATAAAACCTGTTCATCTTTAGAACTTGCATGCGCCGTGCGCCAACCCTTTGTGCGAACCTGTTGCACGGCTGTTGCACAAGAACATGACCTGTGCGCGACCCCGGTGCGATGCAACGCCAAGCAAACACTTTCTTCACACTTCACGCTGCACTCTTCACACCCCGCACTTCACACTTCACACTTGCGCTTCACGCTCCACACTTCACCTCATCTCAAATCATGTGAGCACTTCTCACCTCATCTCACCTCATCTCATCCCATCTCTCCTCACATGTTATCTAGACAAGTTCTTCTCAACTGTTTTCATCTCATCCGATCACTGATCAACCTTTTTGATTCCCTCGAAGTTTTTCTCAACTCATCTCAGCTGTTCTGCGCGCCAGAAAGCTCTGACTGTCAGAGAGAAGTCCCTTGCACAAAATAAACATTGGGCGCAGAGAGTTTTTCCGCACAGAAGCTTGAGACACAGATGCATTTACATAGGAAAGCCTTTGCAAGATACTTTGTACTACAAAGCTTGCACAAAAGCACTTCCCAGTTTTACTCTGTACTACAAAGCTTGCACAAAGCAAGTCCCAATACTACTTTGTACTACAAAGCTTGCACAAAGTTCTCCCCAGTGCTAGTTTGTACAACAAAGCTTGCACAAAGCACGTCCCAGTATATACTACTTTGTACTCCAAAGCTTGCACAAAGTACTTCCCAGCACTACTTTGTACTACAATGATTGCACAAAGCACTTCCCAGTTTTACTTCGTACTACAAAGCTTGCACAAAGCACGTCCCAGTACTACTTTGTACTACAAAGCTTGCACAGAGTACTTCCCTGTACTACTTTGTACTACAAAGCTTGCACAAAGCACGTCCCAGTACGACTTTGTACTACAAAGTTTGCACAGAGTACTTCCCTGTACTACTTTGTACTACAAAGCTTGCACAAAGCACGTCCCAGTACTACTTTGTACTACAAAGCTTGCACAAAGTTTTTCCCAGTACTACTTTGTACTACAAAGCTTGCACAAAGCACGTCCCAGTACTACTTTGTACTACAAAGCTTGCACAAAGTACTTCCCAATACTACTCTACAATGCTTGCACAAAGCACTTCCCAGTACTACTTTGTACTACAAAGCTTGCACAAAGTACAACTCAGTACTAATTACTTTGTACTACAAAGTTTGCACAAAGCAAGTTCCAGTACTACTTTGTAGTCTTGAAAATCTGCTGACAAATCACTTCCGCAGCCTTGATGCGGCCACTCCAATACGATTTACAATGTCCAGCTGCAAAAGACAATGCTATTACGCATGCAGCCGCGGCACCAAGCCACCTTGACGCAGCCATTGCACTGCGATATCGAAATATTGAATTGCTAAAAACACTAGAGCTACACACAAGCGGCGTGAGAAATTGCAGCTCCAAAACCGGATCTCAGCGCCAAAGCAATTTTGAAGCACTTTTTAAAAAATGAATTCTAAAAGGAAAATCACCAGCGCCAAAATTGAGAAAATCTGCTGACAAATCACTTCCGCAGCCTTGATGCGGCCACTCGAATACGATTTACAATGTCCAGCTGCAAAAGACAATACTATTACGCATGCAGCCGCGGCACCAAGCCACCTTGACGCAGCCATTGCACTGCGATATCGAGATATTGAATTGCTAAACACACTAGAACTACGCACACATGAGCAACGACACGTTGCAGAACACCAAGGGAGAACCGATTCGACATTAAAACGATCGCGGCCGCACCCGCCGCACACACGAGGTACCTTTCATCGCCGCCTGCAAGCACTTTACACGGAAAACACAAGGTTTCGTGCTCCGGCTTCCTCCCCAACACAACCCCCATGCAACAGTCATGGAGCCACTACAATGCGTTTTGCAGCACCACGCACACATCCATTGAGCCATTACAATGCGATTCGCATCCCCGCATTGCAGAACACCAAGCGAGAACCAATTGCGCGTTGAAACGATTCAAACCGCAACCGCCGCACACAGGAGGTACCCTTCATCGCCGCCTACAGCCACTTTACACCAAAAAACACAAGGTTTCGTGCTCCGGCTTCCTCCCCAACACGAATCCCATGCAAGATTCATGCAGCCATCACAATGCGATCTGCAACGGAAGATTTCGTTTATATTATTATGTCTATTGTTATTGTTATGTGATGTAAAGTCTCACACCGCTCTTCTCAAACCACCCTTCATGATGTATTGTTATGTCATGTAAAGTCACTTGAATTAAAAGTCATCCGCAACTCGGAAGATTGCTTCCCAACTTCCTTTGGGAATATATTTATCTATATATATATATATATACATACCCATAACTGCATATACAGATATAATCAAAAAATGACTACAGATTGTGCTTAACGCAACTTTTTGCTCCATGATAATTTTGTGGTCTGTCACTCCTTGATCTCAAAGAAAGTCTATAAACGATCATAAACAATCAAAAACAATCCACATGTGTCTGCCTAATTTTCCAGAGTGAGCACGCTGTCAACCCGAAATGAATAAACCCCCAGTTTTATAAATTGGCGGGCTTCCTGAATAATGATCAATAATGACAAATTGCTATTGAAATGTGTCCCGCCCTATTATTAAACAAGTGGGCCAGTGGGGTTGAGATTAGTGATATTTGCCTAAATTACCAGTTCATAGTTGCTTCATGTTGCTTCAATGACCATTTCGGCATGAAGCAAAACTTGAATAGTTTTCAATTAATTACCAGGTTGTTTCTATTGAATTCAAATGGACCAACGGATTAATTTTTTGTTCATCCTGGTTAACTTTTACTGTTACCATTGCCTTTTTCGGTTGCAGTAACGTGCTCAGGCTGCTCCACCCCTGAGGTGTCGACAACTGAGCTGCGGCCGTATCGAAGACTCTTGCAGCCTAGCATCGCAGTAATTTGGGATTTCCCAGAACATACGTTTAACATTGTTTAACATTGTTTAAGAAACCAGAAATGGATAGAAATGAGGTTCAGTGACTTAACAAACCAAACGTGTTTCTTCTGACTTTGCTTTGACATGTGGATGTTTTAATACTTTCAAAAATCATCTGGAGGCGACTCAATATGACTCAATCCAGGGGGGATACCTATCGGCCAACAGTTTTTAGCCATGTTTGCCGCACTCCTCCGCTTGAACATTCTGACACCTCGAAATCCACACCTGTTGCCACTCGCTCGAATCCTCTTCACACCTGGTTCCGGCACTGGATGCCATGGGTTATCAGACGATGTGTTGTGCCAGCAAATCGCGAAGCTTGGTAGGCCATGAGATTGCAAATATATGTCTTATTTACATCATAGTATAATTATAGTAATATATCAATATTTGTAGATATATATATATATATATAGAGACATATATATATATATATAACCCCCGGTCGTACCGGTCAAAAGGGTCCAGTCCTGGAAAAAAATGCCTTAAATCGTTTGGTCCACAACCTTTTGGAATTGATTTCCAAAGGGTACAACCCAACGGATTTAGCTCCGAAAAGCCAACCACCAAGTTGCAATTTCCCGGGCAAACAAATTAAAATCCTGTTCCACAACCTTTATGTGGACTAACATTTCTCCTGGTCCACCATTGCGCTGACACAACTCTTTTCCTGGGTCATAACCTTTATGATGATACATATGTACCTACCCCATTCAGATCGTCAAGTCGACTGAATTGGAAGATCACGACCTTTCAAAAACTGCTGAGGGTTTGGCATAAACACTTTTCTTGTCATATCATTCAAATCCTGGGTCACAGGGATTCCACCGGCTCCATCATTTTTTTGCTCGCATGCTGTCAAGATCTTTCAAGACGGGGAGATGGATGACACTGGGCGTTGGAGGTCCAGAACTGTTTCTCTCTCTCTCTCTCTCCCTGTTGGACCTGTTTTGACAATCGGACCATCACCCTGCATGTTCGAGCCTCATTCTACAATATCCCCGTCGGTACAAAAACGTGGGGTACAGTCCTGGAAAAAAATATCGGTCTAAAATGATGACCCCTAACCTTTGAGAGAGGTTTTAGAGCTTTAAATTCCTGGCTCCTAACCTCTGAAGCCGAAATCTCACTTCCAACCACCTTTTTGAATTTTCTTTGCTAATTTCCTGGTGCCCAACGTCCAACATACAATAAATTTACCCCTCTGACATCCAAGTAAAAAAAATATTTCCTGGATGCTTGCGTTGGTAACATGCCATATCTTCCCCCCCTCAATCTGATACGGAAAAAAATGAATTCCTGGCACCTGACTTCCCGGCTGACAGCTCGCAGTTTTTCAGAGTCCACGGCTTCACGAGTGCGGTCCGGCAGATGCCCACGGCAATGCGCAACCCTTTTGCATGGACAAATGTATCTTCAGGAAAAAACGCCTGTTTTGCAATTTGGCCACGCGTTGGAACAAAATTCTTCAATTTGTCCCATCATTTCCTATCTATGGATGGTTGACCTGGTGATGCGATTTTTTTCCTGTGGGGCCAGCCTTTGAAGATCATCCACAAGAATTCGGCCAAAAAAAGGTCCAGCCCCTTGGATTTTATTTTTGACACCTGCGCCTCGGCCTCTTCAAGTCACCTTTTTTTGGTTGGTGAAGCTGAACATATGTGGTTCTACCCTTTTGCAAGGACAAATGCATTTTCAGCAAAAAAACATATGTTTTGTAATTTGGGCGCGCGTTGACACACAATTCTTGAATTCGTCCCATCATGTCCTATCTGTGGATGATTGGCCTGGTGATGCGACTTGTTTCCTGTGGGGCCAACCTTTGAAGATCATCCGCAAGTATGCAGTCAAAAAAGGTCCAGCCCCTTATTTTTTTTTTGACACCTGCGCCTCGGCCTCTTGAAGTCACCTTTTTTGGTTGGTGAAGCTGAACATATGTGGTTGTACCCCTTTTGCAAGGACAAATGTCTTTTCAGAAAAAAAAAAACTTGTGTTTTGCAATTTGGGCGCGCGTTGACACAAAATTCTTGAATTCGTCCCATCATGTCCTATCTGTGGGTGATTGGCCTGGAGATGCGACTTTTTTCCTGTGGGCCAACCTTTGAAGATTATCCGCAAGTATTCAATCAAAAAAAGGTCCAGCCCCTTGGATCTTATTTTTGACACCTGCGCCTCGGCCTCTTCAAGTCACTTTTTTGGTTGGTGAAGCTGAACATGTGTGTCTGTACCCTTTTGCAAGGACAACTGTATTTTCAGCAAAAAAACTTGTGTTTTGCAATTTGGGCGCGCGTTGACACAAAATTCTTCAATTTGTCCCATCATGTCCTATCAGTGGATGATTGGCCTGGTGATGCGACTTTTTTCCGGTGGGGCCAACCTTTGAAGATCATCCGCAAGTATTCAGTCAAAAAAGGTCCAGCCCCTTGGATTTTATTTTTGACCCCTGCACCTTGGCCTCTTGAAGTCACTTTTTTGGTTGGTGAAGGTGAACATATGTGTTTGTACCCTTTTGCAAAGTCATGTAAAGAATCATACCCCCTCAATTAATCATGGTACATTTTTTTCCTGGGGTTTGACATTTAGATATATGTTCTAGTAAACTCCCATTTGATCCATCCACCTTCAAATTCCTGACTACTAACCTTGGGAATTCTACAAGCTTACCCATTATCAGAGTCATTCATGATTGATTTCCTGATGCCTTACATACACAGACTGATAGATCAACCCTCCCTCAATCACAACAGACAGAATTGATTTCCTGTCACTGTACGTCAGGAAGCTTTCAGGAAAAAAAATCTGGGCCTTTTCTGGTATGATATTTTATTCCTGGCCCCATATCATGCCCCGGGACCCTCACCCACTGTCTGCTAGATTTTTGGAAAATAGTGTTTTTTTAAAAGCGTACTGAACCCCCAGGAAAAAAAACTGGTAGTACAGAGGAGGATCTACAATATCAACAACTGACAGCTATCCGGGCGAAGTCTTCCACATGCCAAATGACTGAAAACCCAGCGTGGCTGACACATCGCCAAAGATCAAACTAAATAAAATCCTGCCCCACAACGTCTTTTGACAAAGATTCACTCAATAGATGGTCTTTCAATGGTTCATAACTGTTCATAATTAAAATCCAGTGAAGCTATCGGATTCAACCTTTTTACAAACCACTGAAATGCATTAAAAAGTAAGATCACAACCTTTATGTAGATCCTACCTTCTCCTGTTCGGCAGATTGGCCCAGAGATTTTTTTCCTGTACCCCAACCTTGTTTGGAAAACCATGCAATCCTTGCAAGCAAATCCCCAAGACATATAAAATCCTGTGGTACAACCTTATGTTACTAATCCTGCTTTCCTGGCTCCAACATTTGTTTTCCTGAACCCCAACCTTGCAACATTCATGCTGGAATGATTTTTTCCTGACTTGGCATTTTTAATTTTCGGACTGGACCTACAGGAAAAAAATCTGGTCCAACGGGGGCTTATATATATATATATATATGTGAAAATACATATGTGCATACGTAAATATGTATATATATATGTGTATATATATATGTATATATATATATATATATGTGTGTATATATATAAATGTGTATATGTATGTATGTATGTATGTATGTATGTATGTATGTACGTACGTACGTATGTATGCATGCATGCATGCATGTATGTATGTATGTATGCATGCATGGCATGCATGTATGTATGTATGTGTATATAATTATATATATATATACACAATATTAAATATAGTATGTATATTACGTAAACGTGCAAACATGTACATTTATGTATATATGTATATATGTAAATATGTAAATATGTAAATATGTAAATGTGTACATATGTAAATATGTAAATATATAATATATAATATATGTGTACAGTATTTAAACATATAAGTATGTATACATATCTATATAATCAAAAAATGACTAACAGGTATGTATGATGGTATATGTATGTACATAGTATACGTGTATACAATAATATAATATATAAATAAGTACGGTATTGGATGGTATATTTAAAAAGTGCAGGGGCTGCCCAGTCGCCTGACAGCATCAGATGCGTTCTGCTTTTCCCTTTCAGCCCTTTCAGCCTCTGTCGGGATGCGGTGGGAGATTTCTTGGCCTGTTTTCAGCCCACCACTGGAGGTTTTAATATGTTTATAGCTGGGAAATCATCTATATAAGTGGCGAATTATATCATATCTGGCTGAATCATATTAATTCATCTATTAATTCGCTAATCTGAAAAGTTCGGCTATATTGGGATAATTCATGAGAATTCCCCATAAATAAACACTGATTCGGTCACAACGAGGTCACTATAAGTTACCCAGACCATCCCAGACCCATCCGCAAAAACATTGGTCAATTGGGTTCAGTGGGGTTGACCATTTGCACCAAATATATAGCAATCAAGTAATTTTCATAACACAGTATTATCAAAATACTTTCAGAGTCTTTCAGAATCTCCAAGTGTAACTGACTGAATATGTTGAATATGTTGAATATGTTGAAAAATTGCCCTTTCATTCTTTGAGCCGATGGAGGATGATCCAACCCAGCCCACATTTTTGTATGGTCCACGCGTGACCCATTTGACATAAAATCATGAACACCAAATTTGACCACCATAATGTACAGTTTTTGGTTTGGGATGGTTTGGGTATGTAGTGTTGACCCACCTTGTATATAAAACAACGGTCCAGTCGCACGTCACGACGCGGATAAATTGCAGCGGTTGCTCCATCTGCCTTTTCACTGGTATTTAGTGTTCTTGTTTGCTCTATGCAACGGCTTCACATGGTTGTGTCGAGGTCCGTTCTTTGAAAAAATGATTTGTCACCAGTTTCGAGCATCTAGCACGGGGCTACAGCGAAATGCACGGGGCTACAGGGAAATGCATGTTTTTGGGATCACCGCCCCGAGGCGGACGTCAGTTTTTCCATCAAACCGCTGCGTTCTCTCATTTCAGCATTTGGCATGTTGCAGGTGTTTACGTGTACGTAGCAAATGCTTGCTGAGGTTCAACAGGGTAGGGTGGGGGGGTTGGGGGGATTTTTTGCGCATTGCATTTTGTTTGAGAAGTTAAGAGCGTAGTATCAAATGCGTGTAATATGCTACTTGAGAAAGTTAAGAGCATAGCGTAACGCCAAGTTATTTTATCAACATGCAAGGGACAAAAAAAACGTTATTACACCGAAACCACCCCAGCCCTCTCGTGTGACAGGCGTGGAGGAAAATGCAGATGCACATAGTGTAAAACCGCTGTGGCATGCAGGAACACGTCCCCAAAAATGCGTCGCAACATACAACCGGAACAAACAACCACGCCTCGGCTCGCTCCCGCTGAAGCGCTTGGCACAGCTTCCGTGCAGCTGGGGAGTCAACCACCTGAGAGTTGCCCTAAAGGATCAGTGACTGATCATTAGGGTTTAACCTGGGGACTTCTGTTGATAGTTATGATTTATCTGGGCAAATTATAATAGTTCACAAACCTGATTTGTTTGGCCAATTTGGGGATAGTTACCCCGAATCCTAACCCAGTGAGGTCACAGGGTTCGGTCCACCTCAAGGAGCTCCGGCAGATGTTGCGATATCAGGCTGTGCTTCAACTTTGAGGCCTGGCTCTGGGTACCCCAAATGGTCACTTTGAACGAGGAATCAAATGGATGCGTCGGAAAATGATGTATCATATATTTGTGTATATGTATATACGTAAGATATATATATATGTGTGTGTGTAACTATAATTGATTATCAAAGGAAGTTGGGAAGCAATCTTCCGAGTTACGGATGACTTTTACCTGTAACAATACACTCAATGAAGGGTGGTGTCAGACTTTACATCACATAAGAATACACTCAGTGAAGGGTGGTGTGAGACTTTGGTGTGAGACTTTGGTGTGAGACTTTGGTGTGAGACTTTGGTGTGAAACTTTGGTGTGAGACTTTTGGGGAGGAAGCTGGAGCACGAAACCTTGTATTTTTCCGTGTAAAGTGGTTGCAGCCGGCGATGAAAGGTACCTCGTGTGTGCGGCGGTTGCGGCTGGGGTCGTTTCTGTTGCGAATGGGTTCCTTCTCTGTGTTCTGCAACGAGTGGTTGTTCCTGCGTGCGTAGTTCTATGCGTTTCTTGGACCTGTGGTTGCAGATCGCAGTAGAATGGCTGCATGGTTGTTGTAATCTGGTGTTGCCATGTGCGTAGAGAGATGCGGGTCAGCCACGTGATGCTGCAAAACGCATTGTAATGGCTGCATATGGCTGCATGAATGCTCAATAGGTTTTGTTTTGCGGAGAAAGCCGGAGCACGAAACCTTGTATTTTTTCCGTGTAAAGTGGTTGCAGCCGGCGATGAAAGGTACCTCGTGTGTGCGGCGGTTGCGGCTGCGGTCGTTTCTGTCGCGAATGGGTTCCTCCTCTGTGTTCTGCAACGAGTGGTTGTTCCTGTGTGCGTAGTTCTATGCGTGTGTTGAATCTGAGGTTGCGGATCGCATTGGAATGGCTGCATGATTGTTGCCATCTGAATCTGGTGTTGCCATGTGCGTAGAGAGATGCAGGTTTGCCGCTGCAAAATGCATTGTAATGGCTGCATGAATGTTGCATGGGCTTTGTTTTGGGGAGGAAGCCGGAGGAGCACGAAACCTTGTATTTTTCCGTGTAAAGTGGTTGCAGCCGGCGATGAAAGGTACCTCGTGTGTGCGGCGGTTGCGGCTGGGGTCGTTTCTGCCGCGAATGGGTTTCTCCTCTGTGTTCTGCAACGAGTCTGAAGAGTGCAGTGTGAAGTGTGGGGCGTGAAGAGCGCAGTGTGAAGAGTGAAGAGTGCAGTGTGAAGAGTGAAGAGTGCAGTGTGAAGAGTGAAGTGTGGAGTGTGAGTGTGAGGTGTGAAGTGTGGAGTGTGAAGAAAGCAGTGAGAAGAGTGCAGTGTGAAGAGTGAAGTGTGAAGTGTGGAGTGTGAAGTGTGAAGTGCGGAGTGCGAAGTGGAGCTTCAAATATGACATGTGAAACAGGACACCACTTTCGCAGAATGCATGCACGCACGGGCTTGGCTGGCGCACGGCGCATGCGAGTTCTATAGATGAGAAACGTCTTAATTATATATCCCTAAGGCAACTTCCGCCCCGACTCGTGCGGGTACTACTGGTATGTATACCCCGAAATGGCGGCTTTAATGCTGAAAGTGATGATGAACCAGTGGATTTAGGATTGTTTTTGGGCGCAATTTTGACTGAAAGTCTGCAGGAAACCATCAAGCAACGGCTATGTAGATATCAATCACTTTTTCATGAATTTACCATCAAACTTGAATATCCCATTCCATTCGCATAAGTTTATCATTAAGTGTTATCTCAAAAATGGCAATCACACCCAGTACCCTCCATGAAAGTAGATCATTTTCCTAGGGGTTTCCCATAGGTTTCCTCATCTACCCTCTGGTAATCAAACATGGCAATTAAAATTCCCCAACTTATGATCATGTTCATTCATTTTTCCCATTTTTCAAGGATTTTCCATTGCCATCTTTGATTATGATAGGGTATGTTTGTTTACCCAGGATTGTTCGCCTCTGCGTCACTGATCTCATCGAGTTCCACGGCCATGGACGGCTCCAATTTGAAGCGACCCTCGGCATCTGGAAGCCTGACGCAGCGGCATTACCGCGATAATCCTCTGGTAGTCCAGCAGGACCAGGGAAGATCTCCAGTATAAACAATATACCTCTATCGGCTCTATCATGTATAATATTATGTCATACATGATATCACACTATATTTTAAGGTTTAATACATCCATTCTATTATGCTAGATCATAAAACCATGCATTACATCATGGCAACCACATCAAAGTAAATTGAATAATCATATGGAACATTGTATTTCATTACGATACTTTACCTTGTATCATAGTTGGATTTATACCCGATTCGACATTATATGATATTACATTATACCAATGTTGGACAAAAATATGTATAAACCTGTCGGAAAATGCACATGTACATCTACACAACCTACAAGAGACATCGACGAATGTTCCAACCATCATCTATGCAAGGTGTAGAGCGAAATATGATATGCTCTTTCAGAAGGAGTACTACCGGAAAGAACAAAAAACATTCAGAATCAACATGAATCAACAACATATTTTGTCAGGTTCATGCACTTCAAGCTGGCCCTTGCATGATATCCGTGTATATAAATTTCCAATTGTACTTTTCTCAATGGAGAAACATGTCAAATGCGACGGAACAAATCATGTTCCTGGTGTCAAGTCACTTGAGGAATCTTTAGGATGTATTCTCCCCCGGCAGAATCACTGTTTGCTGTTTACTGAGCTTGATCTAGTGGTTCTGGCGGATGAGAGTACCCTCCGGCTCCGTTAAACCGCTAAAATCCTGCTTTCTGGGAAGTTGTGGATTGATCTCCTGCCGACACCAGCACATGCTGATGAATCTAAACCAACTCCACATTCGAGATGCAGAACTTCCATGAACTTCCATCAATTTCCAGTCCTGGATCAATGTGGATAAGCTATACTGTAAACATCAATCTGAATTCAAGCTTGTGTGGGATGATTTCCCTCGTTACAGTGACGTCACAGGTTGTCGGTTGTCGGCCAGGTTGTTTCACCATCCGCTGAGTCTCCGGACCACCAGTGCGATTTTGCCAAGCCCCAAGGGACTTGCCTGGTGCAGTGTGGGTGGACGACCCCTGAGCCAGGGTTTAGGTCTATGGAAGGGACACATCATCCCAATGTATGGAGTTTCAGTGGGGGATCCCCAAGTCACCATGGT